AGAAGCAGAAGAAGCAGAAGAAGCAGAAGAAGCAGAAGAAGCAGAAGAAGCAGAAGAAGCAGAAGAAGCAGAAGAAGCAGAAGAAGCAGAAGAAGAAGAAGAAGAAGAAGAAGAAGAAGAGCCAAGGATGACGATCCCAACGCGAGAGGAAGTGTGCACGTACGATGGAGACTGGATTCGCTTACGCACACGACGGCGTGTGCGTATTCAAACCACCAGCGAGAGCAAAGCCCTACCGGCGGAGCCTGATCCAACAGCGAAGGTGTCTGCCGACGCCGAGCAACTTCTAGAAACCCAAGCCAATGAAGGACATTTCGCATCCGAGATTACCATGGCCGACAAACTAATCTTCATCACCGCTTCGCGCCGACTGGGCAAATCGAGTCTTGCAACGAGGAGTGGGGATGGCATTTATCTGATTGCAGGCACCCGAACGCCGTTCATCCTGCGGGAAGTCCCCTCCTCTTCCTCTTTTTTGAGAAACCAGGGTCGAAAGAGTCACCGCCGGACATTTCGGCTCATCAGCCCCGCATATGTTCATGGTGCGATGTTTGGGGAAGCCACGAACCATAGCCAGACGCACGGGCTGGAAACGGTGGAACTGGTCTAGATAGATATAGTGAGAAGTTTCGGCTATGTTGAGGCAAAGTTGTCAAACCAATATCTATCTACACTTTTTATCTATGTGAAGCTGCTATCCCCCATCTATCAGTTTATTACAGAGGCCTCCCGATAGGCGGGTCCAGGCGGGTCATTCCCGCTTCTTTATTCGTGGAAAGCTCAGCCACAGAACTCCTACACAGGCGATGAGCGCCAGGATGATAGGTTGCAACACCCTTACACCCCGACTGGCCGCAATCGCACCGATGGCGAAGGGAAAGACCGTGCCGCCGGTACCACCAAGGGCCATTGCAAATCCGATGGCACTCACATGTATATGCTTCGGAAGGAGCTTGGTGGCCATCATCACACATCCTATACAGCGGTCAGCGTCGGTGGTATCAAGTAGAAGGGTTTGATGAACACCCACCAGGGAACATCGGGCCCAAGAAGACGCCCAAGAACGCCACGGCGATAGCGCTGACGACAAACTGGGGGACAAGCCAGAAAATCAGCTGCAGCGCCAGAGCAAACGCCAGGTAGATGCTGACGCAGAGCCTCTCGCCGTACCGCTCCGTGATGAAGCCCAACCCTGCACGACCGACAGTCATGCCAGCCCAGAAGCCCGTGCCGGAGATACCGGCGTTGTAGGGAGTGGCGTTCCGAACTCGCAGCATGAATGTGATGACCCAGCCTCCGAGGCCGACCTCGATGCCCATATACCTACAGTCCTGGTGGTAAGCAACAAACTCACTGTTGAACATCGACGAACTTACGTGAAGAAAAAGGCGGCACAAGTCCAGGTGATGCGGCTCTTCAACGCCTCGCGAGTCCGCCCGCCTTTCTTCTCCTCGCCACTGGCACTCTCGTTCGGATGCTCCCGTCGATAGACCTCACCCGTCATGTTCCAGAACGTCAGGGTCAGGCCCACCCACTCCAGCACGCTCGCGCCGATCATCACGTAGTAGAAGGTCCACCACGGTAAGCCGGCCGAGACCACCATGCTCGTCGCGATCAGAGGCGCGAGCAACGCACCCACGCTGTACATGGCGTGCATGATGCCCTGCACAGCATTCGCCTTGTCCATCACGCCGACCCAGGCACAGTAGCACGCGTCGGTGAGGCCGTTGCCGAAGCCGGAGATGATGTTGATGACGACGATGGCTGGGAAGGGTGGATGCAGCGCGATGACGATGTAGGTGATGATGTGGCACAGCGGTGCCATGACACCGATACCGCGCTGCCCGAATTTGCTGTGGATGGAAGCATTGAGGAAGGCGGCGAGAGCGTAGCCGGCAAAGGGCGTCAGGAAGATGAGCGACACGGTCGTGTAGTCCAGGTCGTAGTACTCCTCCAGTGAAGGGATGAGAGCGCCGATCGCAGCATCGTTCATGCCGGCAATGACGAATGAAAAGAATGCGAAGCCGAGGCGTGGAACGTTGCCGCGAGGGCGATTCCAATGCTGGATGGTGGCCGAGGCGGTCGGTGGTGGGACGTCGTCATCGCGGATGTTGTCGTCGGTACTGGAAGATGATTCGGACGAGATACGGCGTGGTGGTTGTGTGAGACGGCGGGATAGTTCACGGAGTGATTTTCCAGGCGTCTTGATGCTGAGCTCTATTGATTGGTCGCTGGTGATGGCAGGCTCCGGGTAAGCTGGGGGCGGGGTGGCCGTCTTGGTGACGGTGGCCGTTTGTGTCGCCATGATAACGTGGCGCGCGACTTGGAAGGGGGGCGATTGGGACGATGGTTCAACAATTCAGCCCATTGTTAAGGCGGGAAGAAAATAACATAAGACTCTTCGGTCCCCATGTTGATAATAAAATCTACACCGGTAGCCGGAGATGCACGCAGCGGTGAGGTTACTGTTGCGGGCCTCTTCCGGATGGAAAGCTTCCCCGAATTGGAGCGCGTGGGGTCGGTAGCGGGTAAATCCAAGTTGATGGGGATCGGCGGGGCTCAGAGAGTGGCATTCCATCGCTGTCTTTGGCGGAAAATCCGAGAATTTCTGCGGGTGAACGCATCTGACTTGACTCCTCCCATATTAGAGGCTGATGGGCTTCGTTCGTAGATGGCTGAATTGGTATCGTTCCATAGGCAGCAGATGAGAATCAGCGAACAACGTGGGTGGTTCGGCCCTGCCAGATGCAGTTGTTGCTAACTCCTAAAACGCAGGGTCTATATCATGGTGAAAAAAGGATGTTGGAACTAGTCCATCTCTGATGGTCTGCTGAAGAGTGAATGTCGACTCGAGGCTCGCATATCGCAATGAGAACTTGGCCTTCAAGAGATCAAATATAGTTGCAGAGTTGTCATGCTGTGTACAGCAGCAGAGGCCAGCATTGTACACAGTCTTAGGCGAGACACGAAGAACGATTCTGGTACTGTCGAGTGTTCAGAGTAAGTCTCGATATAGACTCGGGTACCTCTCGTCCACGTGGTCACACAGGCGCAGAAGGCATCGAGCATGTGGAAGTGGGGTCCAGAGAGTTTCGAGGGAAGATTTGTCTAAGCCCAAAAGTGACTAGCACAGCCTCGGCGGATCTCGGCGCCTAGCCCGCCGACTCCGTCATCCTCACGAGGCGAAACTGCCCGCAGAACATTCCAGCGCAGCCTTACAACATCTACACCTCACTACGTTGCCCACGGCTGCCTCGAGTGGCGGGCTCTCACTAATCGAGCTCTCGCTATACCGTACATAAGGCTCACACCCTCTTCCGCCGCCCACCATGGCTTCCGACTCCCCCAAACCGGACGAGTCCTTCACCATGTTAGCCACTTCCGATGTCGAAGCCATAGGCGCCCACTGCCAGATGCCATACTGCCACCAACTCGACTTCCTACCTTTCCGCTGCGAATCATGTCACTCGACCTACTGCTTGGACCACCGGTCCGAAACCGCTCACCACTGCCCCAAAGCCGGCGAGTGGGCCCGCAACCGCCGCCTCCAGACCATCGGCCAGTCAACGGGCACGACATCAGCAAAGCCGACACTAGCGACCGGCACACAATGCTATGAAACAAAATGCAAGACTTTCGTGAACACGACGCAAAGCGTGGGCGTGCGGTGCGACAAGTGCAACAGGACGTACTGCCTGAAGCACCGGATGCCCGAGGACCACGACTGCAAGAACGTGATACCATTGGGGGCTCGGGTGAGCAAGGACGGGACGGTGGAGAAGACCAACAAGGAGAAGATTCGCCTCGGGTTCGGCAAGCTGCGAACCTGGGGCAAGAGCCAGCAGGCCGACATGGAGAAGCGCATGGCGGAGCTGAAGCCCAAGCCCAAGCCGTCGAGCGCCGCCGCGAGGATGGCGGAGCTGAATAAGCTGAAGCGCGAGGCGAAAGGTGACGACAGGATCACGGCGGCCAAGCGCGTCTACCTGCATGTCGAGGCGGAGAAGGAGACGACCCGCGCGAGGATGCCGCAGATGGGTCTGTGGTTCAGCGAGGACTGGAGCGTGGGCAAGGTGCTCGACGACGCGGCCAAGCGGCTGCAGGTGCACAACATCAACAACCAGGCGGGCAACGAGGAGGATCGGCTGCGGGTGTTCCATGTCGAGGGCGGTCGGGTATTGGAGTTCAACGAGAAGCTGGGCAAGGCCGCGCAAAGCGGCAATACGATTGTGCTGTTGCGCGGTATTGGTCCTTCGGCACCATCGGTGCGGACCTGAGCGTTGGGCATCAGCGACGGCGTTTACTGGAACGGCATATCTAACGCCATATCTGGCACGAATCTACGCAGCGAGCGAGCTTGGGCTGGGCATATTTATAAGGTGGTGAATTTACATAAATGCTGCCCAACAACAACTGTATTCGTTTCCTTTTCTTCCTGGGTCTCATTGCACATCGCATCCCATTGTCCAATCCGCTGTTCATGCATCATCCATCGTAGTCGCCTTCGTGCATGCTCGTGCCCATCCAGCCTGCCCTCCTCAAATCAAACACTCATCTTCATCTTCACCGCCCCATGCGGCCGATATCCCTCGACGACCAACTCCTCCACCTTCCACCCATCCATATTGCCCATCCCTCGATCCTCCCTCGCGACCCTCAGTGTCGGGAACTCCCTCGGCTCCCGGCCCAACTGCTCCTTCAGCGCATCCACATGGTCCAGATAGACGTGCGCATCGCCCATCGTGTGCACCAGCTCCCCGGGCACCAAGTCGCACGCATGGCACAGCATGTGCGTGAGCAGCGCGTAGCTGGCGATGTTGAACGGCACGCCTAGGCCCATGTCGCAACTACGCTGGTACAGCAGACACGAGAGGTGACCCTTTTTCTTCTTCGGCGGCGGCGGCGGCATCTCCACGTTCTGCGCCGCCTGTTCTCCGAGCAACGCGGCCTCCCCCCGCGGCGCATCGGGAAAGCTGACGTAAAACTGCGCGAGCAGATGGCACGGCGGCAGCGCCATCTTGTCCAGGTCCGCCACGTTCCACGCGCTGAGGATGATGCGGCGATCATACGGGTTCTCCCTCAGCTTGCGCACGATCTCGGCGATCTGATCCACGCCGCGGCCCGCATAGTCGGCCTCGGGGTTCTCATACTCGGCGCCGAAATGCCGCCACTGGAAGCCGTACACGGGGCCTAAGTCGCCCTCGGCGCGATGCGTGAAGCCCAATTTGTCGAGGAAGGCGCGCGAGCCGTTGCCGTCCCAGATCTTGATGCCGGCGGCGCTGAGGGGCGTCGAGGAGGTGCTGCCGGCGAGGAACCAGAGGAGCTCCGTGGTGACGGCGCGGAGGAAGACGCGCTTGGTGGTCAGGAGCGGGAGGACGGGGACATTGGCGTCCGGGTCAGTTGGGTCTGTGGGTGAGGGCTTGGAGAGCGAGAAGCGGAGTTGCGGTGGGAAGGGGAGAGAGAGGGTGCCGGTGCCGGTGCGATCTGGCCGGTGCTCGCCTGACGAGAGGATCTGGCGTATGAGATTCAGGTACTGGTGCTCTTCATGTAAAGGATCGTGAACATCTGGCGCCGGAGCTGAGCCGACGGTGCCGTTGGATGCCGTTGTAGATGGAGGGGTGGTGTCCGATGCAGCGGCTTGCGCTTGCACTTTGATGAAGTTGTCTGCATTTCCTGGTGGAGCGACGGCTTCGACCGCCGAAGGAGACATGTTGCAGACCGGTTGAAGGTGCGACTTGGTACGGTGTGGTTGGTTTACGGTAAAGAAAATCAATTAAGCAAGGACGCGTCGACGCGTCGAGCCCCGACAAGGCTACGTCATGGCGAGAATCAGCCTTGTGGCTCGTTATCCACCTATTAGATAAATGTAGAAGTGTTCGGGTCATATTCAGAGCGTTTTGGTGTCACTGTCTCGGCTCAAGGTGCTTTTGGCTACACGGCACGTTTTAAAGCCTACTGTCTTACACAACAGATGAGTCAAGCTTGGTAACATTCAAGACCAGTACAGGTCTTAGCACCACGTCGACTCGGACTATCGAGTCCGACACACCATTCTGGTTTCTGAAGATTATTGATTATAGTATTAGATGGCTATGCCAGCGCGCTCAGGAGTCGCTCGACTGAGCTACGCGTGTCTTTCCATTCCTCCAGGTCAATCCTGCCAAGTCTGGTTGTCTAGCGAGTGAAGTGTGGGAGCCATGCCTTGACCCCTGAATCGTTTCATGCCCTGGTTGCTTTTTTGGAGTCATGTACTCAACCATGTCGGTCGAACCTCGCCGGCCGAGCATCCTTACTGCCTGGCAATTCTAAGCGAGTGAATGGGAATATAGTAGCGAGCGCAGGTTCTCCGGGGCATAAACCCTGCGCACCCTGTGAACTGTTTATACAAGCGAATGTCGCGGGCGGTAGCAGTAGCCGCCATGCAAAGATTTCTCAAAAAGGTGTCGAGGCCACCCCAGTAGCAATAAACAACAATCGCTGTTCTTTGACCAACGCCGGGATCTCCAAGCCGAATAAGTAGTACAAATAATGTCGCTAATATGCAGTCGTCCGTTGGATTCCAGGTTCGTATCGAAAACTCCAAACGTTAGAAATGCGACCATACGCTCAACGGGAGGTCGGCGTCGAGTGAATTGAAGACAGAAGGTGTTATCGTTGAGTGTCGTAGATTTCGCCGTTCCACCGCGCTGGATCTTCTTCTGTGGGACTTAAGGAGCCGGATGAAATGGATGATGACGAGCCAATAGTCCACTCGTCACTGTCAGGGTGTGACCCATCCAACGCCGCAAGACCATAGCCATATTCGTTGGGCTCATCACCGGCCTCAATGTAGTCGTAGTCCCAGCGGAATCGCTTTCCGGACTGCAGCCGGGGAAGGAAGCTGGACCTGGCAAAGAAGAAGACGATCCCAGCAAGAAGACTTCCAGCAGCCAGGTCGACCAGGTAATGATGAGAGAGATACATAGTCGCCCACCACAGCCACACCACATAAAATGACCACAATGGGGTGAGTTTGGGAAAGATGTGGCACAAGAATAGAGCCTCGATTGTGGCATCCGCAGCGTGTAGTGAGGGGAACGCACCAAAAACCATGGGAGATGCGGTGAAGCCGGAGGTATAGAGATCGATACCAAAGAGCTTGTCTATGCGAGCCAGGCCAGCCGGAGATCCTTTCATGCTGTAATTTGCAGGTGCTAGTCCGTACAAATTCTCATACCATGGAGCAGCGCATGGGAAGACCACTTGTGTGACCACACCAATAACGTTCATCCAGCCAAAGGCGAAGCCGTATGTACGGAGGGTCTTGGGAGGACCAAAAACGAAGATGAGAATGGCGCAGACAAAAGGAGCGCCAAAATGGCAGATTCCATAGGGGAACCAGGCAAGCAGGTCGAGGACGGTATTCTGGTGCGCCGAGAGGATATTGCTGAGATTGGCGCCATAGAAGATGTTTTCGAGGGTGGGAAGTACTTTGACCCAGATGGGTGGCCGGTATTCGCTAGGAATGAATCTAGACTTGATCAGCTGGAAGCAGTTTGTTGGAAGCCTTGGAGACGCACCGTGCAGAGTAAAACCATATCAGGTACGCCGCGATGGGCATAAAAGGGAGGAAAAACTGCCTTGTCACGGGCAGGATGAGAGAGATGCCGATAAATGTCGCTACCGCCATCTTGACGAGAGGGCCAGGAGACTCGATAATGCACAACGAAAAGATACCGAGGAATGCCAATATCACCCATTGCCCATCGTGCCATGTCCACTTATGCTGTTGTAACGATCTGAGCGTATCCGAGGGTGAGATGGATGTCTGGAGTGCGGTAATTGAGGACGCGGGCGACTGGCGGTTTCGTAGCTTGGAGCGAATCTTTCGGCGTAGTCGGTGCGGAACCAACAGTTGTATTGACCGCCATGGTATCTGTACCCGGGCCTGCTTGTCCTTCGCAGACGAGGAAAACGGCTGCATCGCGCGAGCTCAATTGCACGGGACGCTGATGCGAAGGTGGCGCGGGAGGCTCAGGAATGCGACGGATTGTTGAAGCAGGGGTCGACGACGTGGGAGTTGAGGTCGAAGAGATGGTGGGAGGCGAGGAGAAGAGGTCGACGAGTGATCCGAACAATCCGAGCGCAATGGCGGGTGAAGAATGAGAATGGTAGGGAAGCGGACGGGTCGGATTATGTGAGAGGAGGAAGAGGCAGCACGATGATCGATGCAGCGAGGCAGCGGCGGCGCATCCGGCAAGTCATAAGCAAAGCTAATGCCTGCCAGCGCTGAAAATTCGCAAGCGATAGGCCAGCCCCGTCAGGCTGACCCAGCGCCCGAGCGCCCGAGCGTGCACGCTAAGCATCGCCAAATTGCCATCCAGAGTGGTGCACTCCACTATCCGCCCGCAGCCCGCAGCCCGCACCGCCCGTGAGTTGGACCCAGCAGCTTGAGCCGTTCAACTACTGCCTGACCACTGTCGTCACATCCACCGCTGTCACGAGAGGCAAAGCTTCTTGGCTGCAGAACAAATCTATGACGCTGCTCAGTCTGGGCGGTGTACACTTGCATGACAAGGAGCCTCGTGATTCCGTTGGTCTGGTCGAATGTGTCGTCTTCTGCCATCGCTGGGGGTTTTCAGCTAGCTAGCAAAGTGCTGACCAGCATCCCGCCGCGGGCACGCGATGCGTTTCCGAAAATACGAAATTAGCTGCCAATCCCAATCTCCCAACGGCGTAGCCTGGTTGGGCCGCTGGGGGCCTCGAAGAAGGTGAAACGCCAGTCATATCCCCGAAGGCTGGGACTGCTCGCTTTCGCTTCGATACTCTACTAATCGTCCTATCGATAGTCAGGTCCTGTGCTCCTTTTCACATTATCCCCCTGGCTACGGCGTACATGCTATCGTCCGCCGCTGGTGTACGCTCCGTATACAGGACGGATATAGCGGGTATCGCCCCCAGTGCGCTTAGCTCCCGTCTAGGCGCTGCCGGCACCACTTTCTTGGGCCGAAATCATAGGATGAGAACAAAAATCTTCATCTCGAAGCTAGCGCAGAGTGCTGGCAGGAAAAATCTTGTGCCAGGAGCAAATCATGTCAAACCCTGAAGTGGAATAATCACTTTGTGCATTTTATGCTTTGCTGACACATGTTGCTGCCCCTGTAGGGAACTGGTTTCTGGTTCCAACAGCCCGTGGCAGTCAATGCACGTCAACTACTCCGTATCCTAATCAAATCCCAGATTCGTCGCTGGCTTGCTGCGACAACAGTTGCGCTGTACGCTCGAGAATAGCTTTCAAGGTTCATAATTCGTTTGCATCTCACTCAATTTGCTTCGCCGGGGTCCATCGTCGGCAGTGGTAGCCACTGTACGGTACGGGAGAGCGATCCACACCGAGAGTCCGTATTTTTTTATTCCGTCTCCGCCAGGACATCGAGGCAGGTCTACGCCTTGCTGACATTCTGCGAGGAAGACGAACGAGGCACCGAGGTCTGGCTCGAGGAGGATCTCGCATATGGCTTCCTCTTATCCGCCCCAGGTGTGCCGGCTGGTGAACCCGGATTGCTGTTAGAACCATCCATCCAGCCCAACCTCGATTTGTAGGCCGGGAAATATGAATTGTTCCAGACCTTGACCAGCAGACTGAGATATGGATTAGCACGATGCAGAAATGGCGTGGATATATACATACCCTTGCGCATCGTCTGTCTGTTGCTCCGCTGTCTTTTCCTTCACTCCAACCTTCATACCGTCCTTGGTGAAGGAGATGTTGCGCTTTTCCATCTTCTTTCTGGTGTTGTGTCCGACGTCAGTCGCGATGCTGTAGACCACGAAACCGACCGCACACATGACCCCCACAAAGAGGAAGAGGAGGATTAACGATAGTATGTTTCCTTTCGCCATGGTGTTGGTTATGCAGATGGCAAGTTGGCGTAGTCGAGAGCGCTGATTACGCAATAAGTGCAGTTGTCGTGACTGGGATGGCTGGGATCGTGTGACAGTAAGGTGACTGTGTACAGTGCCTGAGATTACGGACTGTGAGGTGCTCGGTAGGAAGAGTAGGTAGGATCGAATACCAAGGTCCAACCTTGAGTCGATGTCTTGTGCGCTAGATGTAGTTGGTTCAGTCGAAGGATCAGGATCAGGATCAGGATGCAGACACAGGCTGCTCCTGAGTTTCAGTCCCAGCTCATCACTTGGGGTGACAGTGTGGCAGTGTGGCAGTGTGGCAGTGTGGCACATGCTAGGTTCGCTGCTGCGCCCGTGTTGATTGAGGATCCACTTGTCTAGTGGCAGCTGTTGATTGGCTCCAGCCACAAGAAGCGGCCGCGGTGCTCTGCCGAACTTTTTGATGCTCTGCGCTGAACATCGCAATACCATCTTTCGCTTCTGTTCTGCCAGCTATCATTCACAACTCTGCGACAGTGTTCCTCAGCCGCTTTATTCGTCAGGCTCCGAGTCGTTGTACTTCTCTCCCCACTGTCTCGTCGCGCGATGAGCTCGGGAGCGCCTTGATGATTCTCCCCTGTGTATGTTTCCTCGCACGCGGAGTTGCTTGACTGGAACACCCGTCCATCCATCAGTCACAGCTTGCATCTCCAGATGTCAGCCCCAACACCTCTCCGGCTCATCATGGCGCCGGTGCGGGTCAAGCGTTGCCACACGGTTCCAGAACATAGAAGTTCAATGCTCAGATCCGGGTCGGGATGAAGATGCGGAGCGAAAAACATCACAACCCCTTGATGACGCTGAATCCGGTCTGTGCGACCCAGAGGCTCCAGATCAAGGGAAACTAATTCGAAGGATCATCTCCACCCGTATATCGAAGTTGCCCCGTTCTCAGATCGAGCCTGTGGAGGGAAACCACTGGTCGACACTGGCACACACCCATCCTACATATGAAACTGCCAGACTTGCGCTCGTGCACAATCAACTGTCCCCCGAAGAAGTGTTCAAAAGACGATCTGAAAAAGTCTTACGACGTCAGCGTTGTTCCGGACCGGTGGATTGGCTTCCACTCGCAAAAACCTTGGCCAGCTTGCAGCTTACCAAGAGCTCTCCTACCCAAGAGACAGTACAAGTTAACAAGCGCACGGTGAACCGCTACACTGGTTCCTACCGCCCCAATATATGGAACGAGCAAGCTGGCGCCGGCGTTTCAGTGAACCTCCATTCCGATTCGGAGACGCAAACATCGACGCGCTCCGCCGTCCTCCGAGGCTCGCCCTTCTATACGAGTCTAGTCCGCGATAAATTTGCCCACAACCTGAACTCTTCTGCAGACGTTCAGGCGCAGTCAGCAGATATCGAGGGCCAGAATAGTCTGATCTCCGTGGACTCCGTGGCGAGCTTCACCCGGTTTGTGTTTAGACTGACCAACCCTCACGTCGACCGCAAGGTGGAACACATGGTTTTCGGGAATTACAACCGTTATGTCGCCGATCTATTGTCTAGGGCCTTCTCCGACCCCAAAACCTGCATCTTCGCAAGCGCTGCTGCACTCGATAGGGCTCTACGGTTCCTTAGCATACACAATGAACTTCTGGATGCTGCCAACCTCGTCTATGCGCACGGTCGACGCATGCAATTGGTGCAAAACATTACCACGTTCAATATCCGTCTCCAATGCGCACTGAAACGGAAAATTACACACCTTGCAAATACCACTGTGCGCGAAATGGCCGAAATAGGTGTCCAACCAAACAGTCACACGTGGGCTTTGGTCTATGCGGCAGTCGAGACGCTCGACGCACGGGCGGAAGTACTCAAACTCATTGAGCGTTGCAATCCGCGAATGAGCACAACATCTTGGTCCCATCTCGCATTGACCATGTTTGAGGAGCAGCTGAAGCTCGCCAGTGACAAGGAGTTGAATTTGCTCGCTTCCATCAAGGAGCTGGATGAAACATTTGGCCGTGACTGGATGTTCCCCAAAACACTTGCCAGGGGCTTGCACATTTGCAAACAACGCAACCTCGATAAAGTGGCAAAGCTGCTCTTTGAGGTCGCAGAGCGACGCGGCATTCAGATGACCAAAGATATTCATGTTTACCATTTCGCACTTGCTCGCCGTCAGAAGTCCACGAAGAGAGCCGTTGACCGGCTATGCTCGATGATTAGGAAGGATGAGGAGCCCATGCTATCCCTGGTGATTCCGCGCGTGTTCATGACCGCATGGAGTCAGAAGTGCACCAACACTTGTCGTGTACTCTGGGCATTTGCTGCAACGCGAGGCTTGATCACCCAAACCATGCAGACAGTCGTCTACCGCGCCTTGCTTTCAAACACCAAGACTAACCCCAAGGCAGAATCGCCATCGAAATCCCAGGTTGCGCGCCTCGCTTGGCAACGCCTGGCTTCCAAATTGATAGTTGGAATCGATTTTGATAGTGCAAGATTCCTCGAGCACTTCCCTCTTCTGGCGGCTTATTTTGGGCACAGCGCCTCTACGATTCAGATGGTCTCAACCTGGACACCCGACGACGGCACACGAGACGAGCAGATCTCCCTCGACTACACGACGCTGCATCGAGACTTGGAGGCATGGCAATATCGACGGCCAATGGCCATCAAGGTCTTATCAGAGCTGCTGACCGAAGCATATCAAATGGACTTGGCTTGGCTCAGAAGTGGCAAGTTGAACAATGCGACTGCGGTCGAGCTCGACCCACAAGCCATAGACATCAAGCGTCATCTCAATGGCGATTGGCTAGGCTACAACACGAGACTATCGAGAGTACGAGAAGACCTTATCAGGGATGCGGAGGCCTTCGGGCTGGAGACGAAAGAAGACGGTAATCATTCTTGGGGCTATAGGAAATACGAGAGTGATCAATGACTGAATACACCGTTCCGAGCAAGACATTGATCAAACGTCGCCTGTATATAAATTGTTCTGTCAGTAGTATCGATGTGTATAACCATGCAAATGAGATGCAACTCCACCGTCCCAAATGAGCCTAACACGAACCCACCACGGGTCGTGGAATCTATCTAAGCCAAAGATGCTGATCTGGGTATCACGTAAAGTCATATCAGCATGCGCGCTGCGCCCCCTGATGCAGTGCGAGTCCGACCACTTTCCAACACCTTCGTCTGTGTCCTCCACGCGTCTTACACCGTTAATCAAACAATATCATCATCATCGGAGCCACCCTGTGCTCATCCCAAGAACAAACAGGCGAGCTCGCCCTACTCATCCGCCAACCCATCCCCACCATCCTCCTCCTCGACCATATTCCCCACATTCCGCTCATCCTCATCATCCCACACCTTGACCCGTTCGGCATACTCGCGAATCCGACTCGTCCAACTCTCCTGCACCTCGTCTCCCTTCCCCGCCACGACCCTCAGAATCAGATCATTCAAACTGCTCCGCCCCAAGATATCGACGTGGTCGCCGGTATTGGGCCCGCCGCGCGCGCTGAAGCGGTCGGGCTCGTGCGGCATCTCGTACGTCTTGACCGTGGCGCCGGCGGGGTTGTAGCGGTGGATGTCGCGCCAGCCGCGCGCGCACATGTAGCCAGAGCTCAGGAGGTTGACGGTGCCGTCGCCCTCGCCGAAAATGACGCCGTGGTCGATCTGTGGGCCTTGCGGTGGGGGAGGCGGGGCGTTGTTGTTGTCATCGGTGCTGGAGGACCGGCTGGTCGTTGGGGTCAAGGGCCGGTGATATGCCGTGTCGATGGTGACGTTGACAGTGGTGTTGCTGTGCAGGCCCACTGCTGCGGATGCGGGAGACGTGTGCGGGTCTTTGTCTTTGTAAAAATAAGCTCGTTCGGTCGGCTTGCCGACGCCGTAGAAGCAGTAGATCTTCAGATCGGGGGCCAGCGGTAGGCGGGCCTCGAGTGGGTTGAGCCACTTGCGCGGATCGTTCTCGTTCTGCTCGACGGCGTGCCGCGTGTGGGCTACGCCGTGGGAGTAGGAGGAGAGGATTTGATTCCGATACCAGGGCTCGGCGGAGCTGAGGAGGTACGAGAGTGCGGAGGAGATGGTTAGGTTGGTCCGTGGCGTGAGAGTTGTGTTCAAAGGGGGCTTGAAAGAGATGAATGTGCCATAGCTGTGGGAAGTCGATGCAGTGGATTCCGAGGGCTGGATCGAAGGGCTGTCGGCAGGCGGTAATGGATCATCGGGTGCCCAAGTCATGTTGCCCCAGACGGCGTCGCCACCTTTAGGCAGCATGGACGAGATGCCTGGCATGGCGCGGAACAGCTCGGCGCGCTCTTCACGTGCGAGGAATTTCTCCAAGCCATACACAGCGAATGCATTGAGCTGAGCCGTATCTTTCATCTCACCCGAAAGAACGGCAGGAATGTCCTTGGCTGCACCGAGCATACATCCACTGATGTTGATCCAGGAATCGATATGATCGTTGACCCAAGTCGGGCCGCCACCACCGTGGTCTTTGTGTTCGACCCATTTGAAGAAGTAAAAGAGCACCTGACTACCCATACTATGCGAGACAAGGATAGGCTTGACACCAGAGCTTTTGTGGGCAACTTCAATGTAGTTTTTGAGGCGAGTGAAATACTGGTCGCGCTTCTCAAGATTGATGTACGACAGCCGCCAGTCGTATGCGGCAGTGAACGCGTTGGTGGGATCATAGCCGATGGTGGCCAAGTTCTCGAGAATTTTGTTCCAGATCCAATAGCCGGTTATGAAGAAGTCAGTAGCGTCGAAGCCTTGAGCGGCACGCAGCTTGATCCCGGGAGGGTCCAGGCCTGTTTCCTTATCAAGCATTATATGCCGCTTCCATGACGCTTGGTCGAGGACGAGAGCACGCATCATGGACCAGGATCCCCAGAGGCGCTTGCGGAAGTACTGACGCGAGCCTTCCTCGGTGCCCCAGGACTCGAGGCCGGTCGATATGACGCCGGGGATCATGATAACGGGATGGTGCGCTTTGACGCCCTGAGACCGTAGATGGAGGCCCACCGAGAACGAATCGTAGTTGACAGCATCTCGTTCTGCTTTCGAAAGCGCTTTCGCATCTTGTACGAGACTGACCGGCAGCACGTCGAAGAGGCTGTCCAGGTTGACATCGAGAAGTCCTTCTAACTTGACCACCTCTTGTTGCTGGGCGAAGAAGAGGGCGATAAACAATCCGAACACGCCGCCGAGAAAAAACACAATACTTGATCTCCTCTTACTGGTCTTCCTTTTGACGAGCTTCTCGAGTTTTGCTGTTGAGACAATCTTTGTTTGTTCGCCAGGTTCTGGAGTGGTCTCTCTCGAATTCGCTGGTGAGGAACTGCCGGTTACCGTACCCAGGATGCGGCGCCGGAGTTCTGACATGGTAGCAACATAGGCTGAGTGAGCGCCACGCTAAGGGGGACTCTCACGGGTACAAATATCGTAGTAATACTGGTCGAGTAGAATGGAAAAACAACGTCGAGTTCGGCGCACCCGGCTTTCACATGTCTGTCGGTGTCGTCACCGGAAACTTTTGGGCCCCGATTTTCAGGCACAGATTGACCTAGCACCACCTTTGCTTCTCCTCTTGTCTCGCATGTGATGTTCTCAATGCGTTGCGGACGTTGTGGACATGAGCCGCGATGGTGATCCAGGTCAAGTGGCCGAGAACGATGTCCAAAGCCCCTCCACTGCTGGCCCTAGCGCGGGTTTTCAACACCAGGTGCCGGGTATCATTTACGAACCCTACTCGCTCGACAAGGAGCACGAGTATCTCCCGCAGATCCGCGAGCTGATCTCGAAAGATCTGTCCGAACCCTACAGTATCTATGTCTACCGATACTTCCTCTACCAATGGGCAGAGCTTTGCTTCATGGCCCTCGATGAGACCAACAACCGCAAAATGGTCGGAGTAGTCATATGCAAGTTGGAGGCGCACCGAGGAGGTCCACTTCGCGGCTACATCGCCATGTTGGCGACGAGAGAAGGCTACCGTGGCAAAGGCATTGCCATCACATTGGTGAGCAAAGCAATCGACCTCATGATCGAAAAAGATGCGGACGAGATCGCCCTGGAGACAGAAGAAACGAACACAGCGGCGATGAAGCTATACGAGAAGCTGGGATTCCTGAGAAGTAAGAAGCTGCACCGGTACTACTTGAACGGTAACAGTGCTTATCGTCTGCTTCTATACCTCAAAGAAGGCGTAGGGAGTATGCAGCCTGGCTACGATCCGTATGGGGATGTACCACCAAGCGCAGAAGATGCCGACGAATTGTCGACGGCCTTGGGACTTTTGAGTCGAGGTATCGTATGAACGGCATGCTTGTTCCGGTAGCAGGTCGGCTCGCCTCAGCTCATCCGAGATAATCGACCAGCATCTACATCTCTAGGGGCTACCATTTGCCACCACAATATCGACAATACGTCTTGGTGGAGTATATTGGCACAGCAGACCGTGCGCCTGCCCGGCAAGATGGACGATGAGCCTATAACAGGCCTCCGAGCCATTCCTCCCATTTTCCAACGCCTTTGCCCGCTTCCTCTCCCTTGACGGCGCCACCGATAACATCGACATCAATGCCATATTCCTCCTGCATCAACTTAAAACTGAACTTTTCCTCTCCACCACCGCCGAGTACCTCCTCGTCCTCATTGTCTTCCTTGCCCACAGTGCTGATGCCTTTCCGGCGAGACTCCTTCACTCTCTCGATCTCATTCTGGAGTCGATCCCGGACAGCACCGGCTGGTAATGCAGTGAACAGGTCTTGCTTGTTGGCTGCCACTAGGACTGGTATGTCGTGCACGTCCTTGGTCGTGCCCTTCCCAGTCTTTCTTGACTGCAGAGTGAACAAGATGTCGTGCAGGTAGGACGCAGTGTCTCTTAGCGCTGCAGGGTCCGTAGAATCCAAGGCACCAGAGTCGACGACGAATATGATTCCGCGTAGTGCTTGGTTTTGTAGGTGCGACAAAGCCTGTTCTTCTCTTAATTTTCCATGGCCCGGGGTGTCAATCATGTTGTACGCCGCCCGATGTCTCTCGGCATCTTGGAGCGCATGGTCGTTTTTCGATCGGTACTTGTTCGACGCGAGCGGAACCGAGGCGGGTAGAAGTAGTTTAGTCGTTGAGGGGATCTGAGAGATTCGTGTTGTCGCTGCTTCAGAAGAGTCTGAGCTGGTAGAGTGTTGTTGGAGCTGTACCGTCAGATTGGGCATGCTAGTTTCCTTCCCAGACTTACCAGCGTCAGGAGGCTAGTCTTTCCACTACCAGAAGGCCCCAACAGAAGAAATGTGGGCGTGAAGTCTACGCGGCGGCTCGAGGTGTAGTAGTAGAAATGCAGCAGAACCGGCAGGGTCAACGTTATTAGGAAAGCAAGCAGAATCATCCAGGGATCTCCAGAGACGAGGCGAGTCGCCCAGCTATCTGGATCCGTCCACGCCATGGTCAGCCAAGTTGAGAAACTGCTTGAGTTACACCAAAATGGCAATGGAGGGGTCTAAAGAGAAAGTCATGCGGCCGGCATTTCGGAGCCCCGGGGTCACGCCGTTCGGGGCGTCGGAAAGGTGCCGTTGGATTAGGCTCTCGGCTAGCAGCGATCTCTGCTCGCCGATTGGAGCGGTGCCTTGAAACGCCCCTGGGTCACCCCTTTGCGCTTGTTTGGAAACGACAGCAAGGTGCATGTGCAGACTCATGAGGTCGAACTCCTTGCAACCACCGCATCATCAACGACATTCGCTTTAGTTCTACGACGCGACACCGCCACAATGATATTTAGGCCGTTCCTCATCCTCATGTCGCTCGTTTCCTTTGCCTTCGCCGGCTTCTGGCCTGCCATTGTCGACAGAGCAGTGCTCAACGTAAGACAGGCAGTTGGAGCCAACACAGAAACAGCCGCAGCTGGTGCCGACGCCGCTACAGCACAGACACAAGCGGCCGGAGGCAACGCTGCAACAGCAACGGCTGCGACGGCTGCTACACAACAAACTGCTGCTGCTGGCGGCGGAGCTGCTGCCACCGCCGCAACAGCTGCAACCACCACAACGCCTGCGACAGCTGCTGCCAATCCTGCTACGGCTGCTACGACTGCTAGAACTGCCGCAGCCGCAGACACAGACACAGACACTGCCACTGCCAGAACGACCGCGACTCCCGCTGCTGCTCCCGCTCCTGTTGCTGGGCCCGGCGGCGCCGGCGCCGGCGCAGCGGCTCCTGCTGCCGACGCGCCTGCCGCCGACCCTGCACTCTTCAGTGTACCATTCTCAGAGCAGACTGGATCGATTCGATATGCCCCTATGCCGAAGAAGGCGCCCAGCAAGATATCCATCAAGAACTTTACGCCTCAAAACCCGACCAGTAATGCCCCCATCTTTTCTTCGCCTGCCAAACAAGCATCGGTCGCAGCAACCCAGACACAACCGTTTACTTTTACAGTGGTGAGCAGCGAAGCCGTAAGTTTTAGCAACTCCTGCTCAAACAACCAAGAAGCTAACATGGTTTGCAGCAAATGCCGGCCGCCTCCCCGCCCACAGACACAGCCATGCAGAAGTTCTTGAATAGATGGAAGGACTGAACTATCGGAGATACTGCATCGCGAACGGCGTTTGGGATTGTCAACTCAGGTGATCAAGTCAAGCATGTACATGGCGCAGGTCATTGCCAATGAAGGGAGGAAAATCAAATACAGGAGTCGTGAGCTCTATATTGCAACAGGGGGTATATCGAAGCGGAGCTCATCTATGGTGCTCGCTGAGCGCCTCCAACGCCTTGCACAAATCACCAAAACATCTCTTGGAGCCTCTTTTCCTGTCACCTGTATATTTCGTCAAAAGGCCTCGTATCCCTGAAGCAACTCTGCCACACTTCGTCGACCACTTTCTCCGCCTGTTTCTCGTCCGCACAATTCGGCCGATTCTTCACACTGTGTATCGCTCTCCTCCGCACACAGTCTTGGTGATGCGTCGTGAAAGCCATGATCTTATTCCGGAAGAACTCATTCGACCATCTGCACTCCCCACTCAAATTGCTCGCGCGAATCTCACTGCAGGCCACGTGCTTCAAGTCTGTTTCATGATCCAGCTTCGTCTTGAAGCGTAGGTGATCATAGGCGTGCACCATCTCGTGCGCCAGCACGTCTTCCAACATATTGCGCTTCTCCACCCAATTGGCGCACAACATGATGCCGTAGCGGTGGTCGAAGCCACCGAGCATGCCCGTTGTGCATGTCCGGCAGCGAATGTTGCTGCTGTTGATATCACCGCCGAGCCGCCGGATGTTCTCGCTCATGTATCGGATGATCGGAGAGTATTTGAGCAGGTAGTCGCGATTGTCTTCGCAGCGCTTGCAGTCTAGCGCTGAGTAGCGCTCATCGGCGTCGGCCCAGTAGGTGCGCTGGCCCTCGGGAGACATGCTGCCTGTGGCCATGCGGTAGAAGTTTTTGAAGCGGTTGAGTAGTGTATCTGAGGGGAGGAAGTCGGCGCCCCCAACGGTAGAAGGTGCCTCGATGGTGGCCGCGGAGGGGCCCGAGGTTGTGGGTTTGGACATGTCGGAGGGGTCAGCCATAATGAGCGAGCTGAAAGAGTCGGAGGGGTACAAGGTCTAGCTATGCAATCTAGAGGTAGGCCTAAAGGCGCTGGTGTCCATGACTGGAAGATTTTAAGAGCGGAAGGTTTGCCGAGCCGCCAGGCTCTACCTCCCGCAGCATCGGTTTGGAAGGGGAGAAGCTGACCGTTCGTGCAGATCTGTCATGACAGACACAGTTGGACATCTGTATAAACGGACAGCTCTTGTGATCGAAGTCACTCTTGCAAGTGCTGGTAGCATGTTCGTTAAACCGAAACCAAACCGGTCTGACGGCAGGCGACCACTCCGCCAACCAACATGGTTCGCAATTCGCCCGGCTACCGCTCGCTGTTCCCGAGCGGCTTCGACACCATAAAGCGCTGGTTTTCAGCCAGCCTTGTGGTGACTTCTTCTTGTGTCTACCTAACCTCACTTCGGCCCTTCAGGGAAGTGATCCGTGTAATCACTGTGATGGAAGGCGGCACTGTCATTGTATTTGGTCTTTTAGCTTACACCTGCCTCAAGCATTCCTGAGTGCCGTCTGTCAGGGGTCGAGGGAAGGCCAGCTATGGAAACAAGGGAACAAAATGGGAGCACGACATTTTGCCAGCCAATGCAGACCCGCTATCGGATGGACAGGACCATACAGCCTACACAGGACAACCCGAAGCCACCGCAAGAACACCTATTCACCATTGGAAAGAAAGCGCTCAGCACATTCGATTGCTAAAACTCGCCCCTAAGCCCCCGTATTTGTGGAACCCTCCAGCCTGTACGATAGTGCACGTGAACATCTCTGACCCAATCTTCTACGTCGTGGTGTCATACACGTGGGAGCTGCGTGCAGATTGGGCTGACATTTCACTCGATGGCTACTCACTCCGCGTGAGAGGAAATATTTCCGATCTTCTTACGGCACTACAGCGGCCGAACGAGGATATGCTACTATGGATTGACGCCATCTGCATCAACCAAGCGGACGAAGACGAAATGAGTACTCAAATAAGCATGATGGGCGTATATACGCTGCCGCCAACTATGTTATCGCCCACCTCTGGGTCAATGATATGGAGGACAGAATGATGCTCGAGTTGGCTTCCGAAAACATTCGGGAGGCTTTCCCCAACTCAAACTCTTGGATACGCCATCCTTACACTGGCGACCGACTTGAACTTGAAGAGAAGTTATCAAGCAACCCCCCTACAGAGTCTCAATCGAGCCTGGCTCGAGATATCCGTGTTCTCAAAAGCATAGTTGCTTTGTACAGGCATCGCTACTTCGAACGTCGATGGGTCATCCAGGAGATGGGCGCTTGCACGTTCCATGATATTATATGCAGGCGGCGAAGAGACTGCACTGGGGTTACTTATCGAGTTTCCCCACATAATTATTCTTATGCTTTGCGCTCCTGCAAGCAGCCGGACAAGGCTGACGGCTCTGTACTACGGACTCATGGCTCGAAGCTGTCGTCGTCTCGGATCGTCTGAGCTCTGGGGCTTCGCATTTGGTATCGTGTCTCGGCTATAGTTTACTGTCAATACCACATAGCACCAAGAAGCATCTCACAGGGCGTGGTCTATGTTATCGAGTGTCCTGACGAGTGTAGAAGTCCAGGTGTACACCACCATTACAGCCTAAGTCTTTTCTTTAGCCTATCTAGCATACGTCTGGCGCTCATAAGGGGTTAATCGTTGCAAGGTACATATGTGCAGAGGTCGGCAAGGCTACCAATGTCGTCGTAGTTACAGGCAATTGTCTCCGGCACCGGTCCCCGGATATGAGCGCTGGATTAGCTAATAGTTGTACCCTCAATCTGTCCCCCACCTCGCCCCAACCTACCTCGTAGGCTCGCTGATATCAAGTCTTAGTAAGATCGTTCGAGGATCACGACTACTATAACGTGGGCGAAGACCTAGGCAGTACCCAAGTAGCCTTATTGGCTTCGGCAAGGCAACACTATTATCCTTCCTCATCTTGCCTCACCAATTTTGCGGTACCACACCTGATCCAATCTGTGTATTGAGTCAGACAGCATTGTCGTATATTCACGTATATAGGCAAGGTCCAACAACCTCTGACGGACAGACAGTAGGCAATTTGGCCGTCTTGGTTTCTGCGTTGAATGATCCCTGATATTCTTACCACTTGCGACCTTCCATCCACGACACCATGGCGCCAACAGAGGGGCCAATGAGCAGAGATGTACCTCACGCCGACGATAATTCGGCTTTCGCTAGATTTGCAAGTCGCAGAAGCGTTGTCTACAGTACGAAAGGAATGGTGGCGTCAACACAGCCACTGGCTTCTGAGGCAGGACAGAAGATTTTAAGAGTAGGGGGAAACGCAGCAGTAGGTTAAGGGACTCTAATCTACTTCAATTCGTGATTGAGCTGATAATTCATTCTAGGACGCTGCTGTAGCGGTAGGTAAGTTACTGTAACTGTACTTTGAATGCCTGTTGCTCTCTAACAATGCTAGCCGCCGCGCTCAACATGACCGAACCTTGCTCAACGGGAATTGGGGGTGATATGTTCTGTTTGTATTTTGACGCAAAAACCCGCAAGGTCCACGCGTTGAACGGCTCGGGTCGAAGCCCCAAGAACACATCACTTGCGCAAATCAGGGAACAGCTTGGAATGTCCGGCACCAAGCACGGTAAAATCCCCCCAACCAGTGCGTTGTCTATCACTGTGCCAGGCGCTGCTGCAGGCTGGGTCGATACTATAGAGAAGTTTGGAAGTGGCAAGGTGGACATGGAACAGATCTTGGCCCCAGCTATTGAGCTAGGACAAGAAGGGTTCCCTGTCAGTGAGGTGGCTGCCCATTCCGTGAGTATCGTCCAATGCATTCAACGAGCTCTTCGACTGATCTTGGTTAACCAGTGGAAAAAAGGCGAGGCGGGACTCAGACGCGCATCTCCAAACTTCCCCGAGATGCTGAAGCGCGATGCGGCATCGAGGGATTCGTGCCGGGCACCACGTGCGGGCGAGCTTATGCGCAATCCCACTCTCGCAGATACGTTTCTGGCAATTGCGAAGGAAGGTAAACGAGGGTTTTATCAAGGCCGAATCGCACAATCGGTTGTAGACATTGTTCGATCTAAGGGTGGATTGATGGAGCTGTCCGACCTGGAAGATCACATGAATCGGGCGCCCGAAAGCAATGAACCGATTTCTACGAAATTTTGTGGGCAGAATGTTCGCCACCTTCCAAAAAGCAAAGCGTCGCAGGATCTAGATCAACATTTTGTCGAACTCTGGGAGCATCCTCCCAATGGACAAGGCCTCATCGCACTAATGGCACTTGGAATTCTTCAGGAGCTTGAGGCACAGCAGAAGATCCCCGCGTTCACGGAAAATGACCACAATACAGCACCTTTCCTGCATGCTATCATTGAAGCACTGAAGATAGCTTTTGCTGATGGATCGTGGTGGATAACGGACCCTCAATTCAGTCCTGTGTCGCCAGCAGATCTCCTCTCTCGTTCTTATTTGGCGGAGCGAGCAAGTCTGTTTGATCCTCAGAAAGCCAAAGATTACGGTCATGGACAGCCAGGGCCTAGTCCAGCCCACAACCACTGTGACACTGTCTACTTTGCCGTGGTTGATGCGGAGGGCAATGGCATGAGTTTCATAAACTCCAATTATGAGGGGTTCGGTTCGCACGTTATACCAAAGGGCTGCGGATTTACCCTCCAGAATCGAGGATCAAACTTCGACTTGGGGCCGGAGGGCCACCCTAATATCTACGAAGGTGGGAAGAGACCATACCACACTATCATTCCGGGAATGATTACCATGGGCAGTGGAGCTCATCGCGAGCTTCATTCAGTCTATGGAGTGATGGGTGGATTCATGCAGCCACAAGGACACGTACAGGTGCTCCTCAACATGGTAACATTCGGCATGAACCCACAGCAGGCCTTAGATGCGCCGAGAGTCTGCATCAGCGCTGCTGCGGATGAAGGTCGTGGTATGAAGGCTGGTAACGTCTTTGTCGAAGAAGGTATCGATGATAATGTTATTGAAAGTCTTCAAAGGCTGGGCCACAAGGCGAAAGTTCTATCCGGCTGGGAACGCTCAATGTTCGGCCGAGGTCAGGTTATCTCCCGCTATGTGGATGAGGATACCGGTAAGGCGATTTATGGAGGAGGCAGTGATCTCAGAGGGGATGGAATTGTCTCACCGAGCTAGGTAGTGGCTACTATCCTCACGAATATTCTAGTACGAAACAATAGGGCATCCCTGCCAAAGATTCGTTCAGAGGCAACGTTGAGGAAAAGGCAAACATTTAGAGGTGACTTTGTTTAAGCTGAGACTACACTGATAGAGATCTCTAGTTACACTTCACGCCAGTCTTGGAAAATGCTGAAGATTGTTTTATCCTTGCTCCATTCTTGCTGGACTTTAATGAGTGAACGTCAGGGTGCCAAGAAACAAGGCAACCCAGTTTGCCTGGACGCCTAGGCAGTGAATTGGCGGCAGTGAACCGTCTTGCCCGAGATTGTTGCCCGAGACATGCTCACCGTTTGCTAATCCTTTGTTAAGGTCGTATCAAGGACATGCAGCCAACAATAAAGGCTGTCCACCCTTTATTGAGCACTTACCTTTTATGCCACCAGAGATACCTCTTCGAAACTACAACTCTTACCACAGCACTGTCAGCAGTATGTACTCAATCTGGCCCACTCCACCGGTCACCAAGTCGGTAGGCGAGTTCGTTGCCGACAATCTCAGGGACCCCACGACTCGTATCGCCATGCCTCCCTCCAAGCCCAGAGTCCCGCTGCCTCCAGAAACCTACTTATCGAAGACCATGACTCACTCTCCATCTCCAGCGTCACCAATCTCGGTTGGATCACCACCACCAAGTCCCAGACACTGGCAAAGCAGCAGCGACGCTCCATCAGCATGTCAACTGGCGACTTGGCCTCATGCAGCACAGCCTCAGGCTTCCCGATTTGATGAACCTCGACATCGTGCAGCTCGCCCTCAACCAAACAGATATCAGTTCCTGCCGCTGTTCCCACCAGAGCACTGGGACTGTCTCTTTGCGCCTTACGAAGACGAGACTTACAGATGGTCGCAGATGTACAACATGAACTATCGTATAGGCGCGCGACAAGGACCAAGAGTGCTTGACGACAAGAAGAAGACTGTCAGAGCATGCGAGGTTGATGATGGCGATATTGAAACCAACGTACAACACCTGTTCGGCGCAGAGTCCGCAGCAAATCCATCTGAAGTAGGATGCCCCTCTAGAGCCCTGACGGCGCGTTCAAGCCTAAAATAGTGTCAGCAAGATCAAGATCCACGTTCGCACAACTGTCTCGCCTCGGGCCTCTCATGGGCAACAGAACTCGCGGATGTCGCATCAGGATACTCTGCAAGCTGACGACTAGTACTCTGCTGAAATCTTGTTCGAGGGACGGTATTGACAAGCACCATATCATCAGCACCTTCATTCATTCCTGCAAGATTATCTAAAGCAGGGGGCCAGAACTGATACCGCATTCGGAGGAGCAGTTTCCCGTATGGGTTGCAGGTCTGTAGAGTACGTGAGTGATGACAGCGAGGATGCGGCTGCTGGACGTCTGCTGCGCTTATAAAATCCACATCTTCAGAAACGTCGACAGTCACCCACCTGGAAGGCAGAAATTAAACCTGTATACTAGAGTTTGTGATGATGGCAGCAAAGTGAAGGCCTTGCCCAAGGGGATAGCGAGGCTGAAGCTAACGATAGACTCAGAAAGCACACTCTCCTTGATGCCATCATTAACGCACATGGCGCGCTTGATCGCTACCAGAGCCTTGAGAGCATCTTTTTCAAGCTCGACTTCACGGGCGCCAGAGCAAAGACGGACGTGAGGATGTATAGGTACTCACAGAGGCTCCACGATTCTAGACTCGTCGATGATAATAGACGTCGATGCAGGTGAGGTAGCTGGCAGGAGTAGTAGCTAATGGTGCGTTGAGAACAATTCCTTGAGAAGCTTGTCCTATCCGACATCGTCTGTATGGAACAATTTGTTGGGGGTATATGTCAGGTTGAATAAGGCGCTGACTTAAGCAGCGTGCGCCCGTGAATAACGTGCGTAGTGGGTAAGGAGTCAAGTTTTGCCGCATGTGGTAAAAGGCTGCCGCCCCTGAAGCGACCTGGGTCCTGCTCCTACCACGCAACCCCGGCCCCGCCGAATCTTCTTCTTCTGATGCCGCTGCACGACTCCATGTCAGATCACTATGATGCAGGGTTCAAATGTCAAATAAAAGTTGCCGGTTGCGGGAAAAGGTGTGCCACGTTTACTAGTGACGTGAGTCAAGGGGCGGCACTATCGGCAACATTGGTAAGCAGCTATGGACGCCCCATTGGATCTAGCTATCCTATCAAATTTGCAGACAACTTGGTGCCCGAATACGAGCCTTACGGCCGTCGTTGATGATACGCGGGTTTTATGAGGACCAGACGTTCTAGCCGGTCTCACTACATACATCAATTTTTGAATTGACTCCGGAGTGTGATTCCACATCAACCCTCTTGGTAAAGTTTATTACATGATCCCTCGCTCGTTAAACTGCAAATAGTAATCACACTGCCATAGAGCGCACCAAACCCTGATCGGACTGTTGGCCACATAATCATGCTACGTGCATTCGACTTCGGCTTCAATAGCACGTCTTGCTTCGGCTGACCAAGGGAACCCGGAAGCCGCATCATGTCATCTTACGATGGCGACCCGGTGGTGAACTGAAACGAAGTGGTTATAAAGACAAAGGAGGATCTACAGAACACGACCTACCCAGAGATCAGCCTTGTACCGTTCTTGTCGCCCGATTGCAGCCAGCCAAAATGACGAAACTCAAGATATTGCTACGGGATGCACCTATTGGGCAGATCATCCGACTGCTCACAGGCTCTCGATACCTAAGATACCCCGAAGAAGAGCCCGGCTTCCAACTTCCTTGGGAGTCAGCCCTGGCAGAAGAAAAAGAGGAAGAAGCTTCTGCACAGCGCGACGGAAGCAGTTCTCGCGCGCATGCCTCGCCCAGCTCCGAAAAGGAGAACCCAATCGGCGGTGCCGATGCTGAGAAGATCGACCGAGATTATGAGGCTCTCACACAGCAGCCGACCGCTCGTTCTCAAGTTTCTCGAACGACCAGACTGACCACCAGCCGTACCGTGACACGTGAGCAGACACGACCATTTACTGCCGAACGCTTCCAGACGGAGCAGGAGGAAGCAATCGATCGTACCCAGAGCAGCGTCATCATTCCGACGCGGACACAGGACGGCGTGATCCTGATTGACTGGTACACCACAGACGACCCTGAGGTATGTTCCTGAGCTCGGTCAGCTCGAGTCAGATTACTGACTGTTGTGACTAGAATCCCCAAAACTGGTCCACCAGGCGCAAAGTTGCAGCCACTGCCATCATCTTCTTCTACACCTTCGTCGCCTATGTGGCATCAGCCATCTACACCTCTTCAGAGCCAGGAGTAATGGAGCGCTTCCACGTCGAGCAGACCAAGGCAGCTCTCGGTCTATCTATGTACGTGCTTGGATATGGTATCGGCCCACTGCTGTTCTCGCCCATTTCCGAGATTCCCATCATCGGACGCAACTGGCCTTACATCACCTCGTTCGCCATCTTCACCATTCTCGCCGTCCCCACCGCGCTAGTCGATAGCTATGCCTCCCTCCTTGTGCTCCGCTTCATCACCGGCTTCATGTCCAGTCCAGCTCTGGCCACCGGGGGCGCAAGCATGGGCGATCTCTACTCCATCCTCAAGCTCCCTTACGGTATCACGGCCTGGACGGCTGCCGCATTCTCAGCACCCGCTTTCGGTCCACTCCTGTCCGGCTTCGCCGTCATGAACAAGAACTGGCGTTGGTCGCTTTGGGAGATCCTCTGGATGGCAGGCCCGATGTTTATCATCATGTTCCTCTTCATGCCCGAGACATCCGCCGGCTACATCCTGCTGTATCGTGCCCGCCGGCTGCGTAAGCTCACCGGCAACGCGAACCTCAAGTCCCAATCCGAAATCACCCAAGCAGGCATGTCCTTCAACGCGATCCTCTGGGACCAGCTCATCAAGCCGATCGAGATCTGCATCAAAGATCCCGCCGTGCTCTTCACCAACATCTACACCTCCTGCATCTACGGCATCTACTACAGTTTCTTCGAGGTCTTCCCCCTCGTCTACGTCAACATCTACGGCTTCAATCTCGGCGAGCTAGGCCTGCCTTTCCTGGTCATCAGCATTGGCTGTGTCATCGGCGTCGCCATCTACTGCTCGTACGTCTACTTCTACCTCGAACCATCAATCCGGGCACACGGCCTTGGCATTCAGGAGCGAAGACTGGTCCCAGCGGTGTTCGCCACGCTGTTGATGCCCAGCGCGCTGTTCTGGTTCGGGTGGACCGCAAAGTCGAGCATCCACTGGATCTGCTGCACCATCGGCCTGACGCTGTTCCCCATCGGCGCTTTTGTTCTGTTCCAGTGCATCTTCATCTACCTGCCACTGAGCTACCCTCAGTACGCGGCCAGTCTGTTTGCCGCCAACGACCTCTGCCGAAGTGCTCTCGCGGCCGGGTCCATCTTGTATGCACACCCGTTGTTCGTCAATTTGGGTATAGGTAGCGGTGTGAGCTTGCTGGCCGGCCTTCTCTGTGGAGGTGTGTTCGGTGTCTGGGCGCTGTATTGGTTTGGTGCAAGCCTGCGCGCGAGGAGCAAGTTTGCCATGTCTTGAGCGTTACTTCTGGAGTGGTCTTGCAGGTTAGTCGACCTACGGCGCTATTGGGACAGAGCGGCTTGGTGGAAGGCAACATAACTGTCCTTCTTAACTGAGTCACCAAACGTGGGTATTGAAGGCGCAGTTTCGGTGGAAGAAACACGGTTAGGATGCAGAGAATAGTTGTAGACTTAATAAAGACGACAATCACTCCTGTCGTGCCTGTCATAGATTCATTGATGAATGCTGTTTAGATCTGTACTGTCACTAATGGTCGTACTGGAAAGGCTTTTCGAGTCTCATCTTCAGGGATATGCAGACTCAAAAGCGCTCATCAATACTTCTTTGTCACGCTGTCAGACGCCTTTAACACAAACCGATACTCAGGAACATTTGTCTTCGTCCAGAAAAATCAGGTTTTGATGCTGATACCTCCCCTGGATTCCCGAAGCACGGTGCTTTCAGATACGATTTCCGTGAGCTTCTTCAGATCTGGTGTCGGTCTGGAGCTCGTTCTCGGCTATCATGTCATTTTTTTCATTTCTTTGTGTTTTCTTCACCTCTCAAGATATCTGGCTAGATACCTGAAGCCGCCCAGTGGGTGGCTTGACGGATCGGAGGGATAGATTGTTGCCAGTGGGTACGGAGGAATACAGCTCTATTCTGCAGTTTAAGGGCTTGACACTCGCCATGAGTCGTAATACACCTGTCAAAAATTAAAGTCGGTCTCTAATAGGAGGAGGGCGTTCACGAAAGCAAGTCCGCTTAGCAGTACAACTTGCTGTTCATCAGCTGCGTAGACTTTTGGTAGATTTGACTAAGACCATAATCTCCTTCCGGTACTATTGTCTTCCCCCGAACTGGCCAGGCAGTACCCAGCACGACCACAACTCATCATAAACTGACATATGACAAACGACAACAAACATCTCTGTCCCTCGAAAATGAAGAAAGACCTCTCCCATAAGCTCGAGCATCCAATACGCCATCCCAAGTCTCTCACTCAAAGCAACTCCTCGAACTCACACATCAGTCGCACCCCCTCACGAGTCCCCAAACGTCCTCAACGTCGCATTAACCAAATCATCAGGCCCCTCGCAGAACATGACGCGCATCCCCCCATCCTCACCCCCTTGACTTCCTTCAACCCGTCGCCTCACCACCTCCCCTACCACCACCCCCACCACCCTCTCAAACACAGGCGTATACTCCTTACTCCCCCTAAGACACCACCCAATCAACACCCCATCCCACTTAGTGCCCTGAAGCGCGCGCTTCAACGCCGGAACCCCCCGCTCCGGGTCCGGCTCGTCGGTGGGGTCGAGGTCGAAGTGGCGGGGTTCGAAGCGGGCGCGCTGGTCCGGTGTGGCGGCCTTGGACCAGTTGCGCTCGAGGGTTGGGAGGACGGAGGTGCCGTGGAGGTGCTGGGCGAGGGAGATGGTTAGGGTGGTGGTGAGTTTGGGGGTGGGGGGTTGGTCGGGCATTGTTGTCACTTTGTGTGAGGGATGGGGGATGGGGAGGTGGAGGCGGCTTTTTGGTAATAGTTGTTCCAAGTGTTTGTTTTGAGTGAGTTGATTGTCTCTGAAGGTGAGGCTTTGTGATAGATGAAATTGAGTCTCTAATCACCTCCTGCTGAAGTCGAGAGCTTGCTGTGGGACGCCTGGTCTGAGGGGTATATACTTCGTCTGGTGCCAAGACCCGTACCGTGTTGTACGAAGCCTCGGCCCTTGGACGCCGAGGTACGATGTCCGCATTTGTTAGGGCCCGCTGTGGTGGGCTGGCATCAGGTGGTTGAAAACGGATGGTATTCCTGATCGGGGCACTATGACAACCATCGAGTGCATAGCAAGTTACTCCTAAATATCGTTCCCGGTGGATTCATACAGTAGATGAAAGTAGACTTTACGTGGGCCGTTATGCTGAGCTCGATGCAGCGCCAAGATATGCCAGCTGCAGCGTCTACTATTTGACAGGCCTTGTCCCAAGGAGTGACAAATAAGCAATCACTCACAGATTTTGTAAGTCGCAAACAAGACAGCTTGAAATGGTCAACTATTACGCAGATGGTTCCAAATCAGAGTTTGTGGAATTGTGCGTTACTGAAGCAGTTAATCGAATTCGATACCCATTGTTATCCCCTGCCTTAAACCTGGCCGTGGTGTCACCCGACTAGGCAACCCGATATCCCTTGCTGAAGTCCTTGGCAAGAAGCAACTCATACAAGAAGCTTTCAAGCAACAGTCCGTACCAGTCGTGGTGAATCCCCTCACCTCTATTCAAAAGCAGATATAGCCCGCAACGCCACGCCAAAAAGAGTGTCATTTCGTCAGGACATCGTGATCTCTGTCTCCATCGCCCTTTTCGGTGAACCATTCCCCCTCCTCTTCTTTAGCCGAAGCAAGTGTCATTGACTGGGCATAAACATGCTTTGCTGTTGCGCCTGCCCTTGATTATTGTACTGAGGCATACCACTGCCACTAACGTAGCCCTCGCTGACATCGTCATCGTAGTACTCGCCACCACTACTGGCGTCGAAGTTGGCTCTACCGATCCCGACATCGCTAAGGTCGCCATCATCCTGTGTACTAGGAACCTGGCTCCAATCGATGTGCTGTAGGGCCGGATATTGCGCAAGCAGAGCGGCTGGTAGAGCGAACCCGCCTGTGCCAGTCGAGGGGTCCATACCAACCATCATCGGCTGCGGTACGGGCTGCAGGTTGTAACTCATCTGCTGTTGCTGTTCCATCATCTGTTTACTACGCCGCTCGAGCGCTTCTTCGTCTAGCAGAGGTTTGATACACACCCTGCCCGCTTCAGATCGGAAATGCCGACCGAGCGCGTCAGCGCGCGCGAAGCGGCGATTGCAGCCCCAGGACTGGCCTGGCTGAGAACGGAGCTCACCGCGGCAAACAAACTTCTTTTCACCGGAGTGAAGTCCTTCGTGACGTTTCCGATCGTGCTGGCGGGCGAAAGCTTTGCCACAAACGGTACATACGAATGGTCGTTCGTCCGTATGAGTGCGCAGATGTGACCGTAGATTGTAGGCCCGAGTGAACTTCTTCGGACACAGGTGACATTGAAACGTGGCGGGGTGCTTCTGGACTCGGCTACTTGAGCCGCTGCCAGGTGTAGCGTTTGGACGGTTGGGGTCGGCCAGGTCAAGGATATAGTCACGGGAGTTGATAGAAGAGGTGCTAGCTCTCCGGTTCTTATCAATGCGGCCAGAAGCGGTGGGGCCTGGTGATGATTCTCTCGAAACCGAGGGACCAGGCGAGTAGGACCGAACAGAGAGCGATGAGTCGTTGGAGGTGAGGTGTGGTGGTGATTTGCCAGGTGACACAGATCGCGAAATTGGACGTACGAGGCCAGTCAAATCAGACTTGCTTCGATTTCGGCCGCCTGGACAGATTAGTAAACAATTTTGAGTGTACGACTTGGGACTTACGGTTACTGCCACTTGGCGGGCTGAGTGCGCCTTCGAGCTGTTCGCCTTGAGGGCCAAAGCTGGCTTGTCGGGATACTGGCGCAGGCTCGATATTGATAGTTGGGGGAGCAAACTGGTCGGCCTGGCCGATGTCACCGAGTGAGGCATGGCGCATATGGCCACTATCAGGCTGCGTAGTGTACACTTCCGGGCCTGTCATCCCCATGCCCGGATTGAGCAAGTCTTGGCCCATCTGTAATTGCTGGCTCTCCATCTGGGGCATCAAGCGAGGCGAACGGTAGGGCTCATTGATACTAAAGCTGTCCATACCATATGTATTGCCTGAGTCCTGTTGAGGAGCCATGAAGGGCGAGTGGCTTGGTTCGCCAAGAGCGTCATGCAGCTCAGCATGAGCCAGATACGGCGAATGGGAGGCAGATGAGAGGCCATCAGAAACATCCGAAGGGTTACGGCGGTGATTCTGAAAGGCGGCCGCAGAATAGAGATCGCCGTACGCACTTGAGGGATCGAGTGAGGTATGCCGCGAGTGCTGCGGCGTGTAGTACTGGCCGTTGGTGGAGCCGGGGGAGCCAGCAGCCTGAGCGCCCGGCGAGGAGTGGCCTTCGGGAGAAAGTAGACCAGGCGAAGTGTTGTCCTGGGGCGTGGAGACTTTGCTCAGGTCGGCCGGATTTACATTGCTCTGGTGATTCAGGGTGTAGTTCGGGTCAAGGGTAAATGCCTGCTGCTGCCATTCGGTGGACAGGTCTGGATTGTTGTACATGTATTCGGTCGCAAACTGCGGGTTCAGGCTGCCGCCGTACTGATTGTCCTGGAACGCAGATTGGTTGAAGGTGGTAGAATTGTAGAGGTTCTGTTGCTGCTGCTCGAAGCTCGGATTGGAGAATTGGTTGTTGGTATTGGTGAACTTCCCACTTGTCAATGCCTGGTGTATGGAGGGGTCTACACCAGAGATGTTATCTTGTTGGTATGGCTGGGGCGAATGTCCGCGGCTGAGGTTCTGACCTGCAGCCGAGGGGGACCTGCCACGAGGCTGATCCATCTTCTTTTAAGCAGCGACTGCCCTGCCGATTGCAACGAGGAGTGGACCAGATAGGTCGAGGGCCGGTTCGCAAGGATTCGTCACTGATCGCGGAAAGGAACAGATGGGTCGGCGGTGTGGTGGGTTAGATTGGGTTGGTCGGTCAGCCCCAGTGGCGCAGTGGGGATCTTGAGTAGGCTGCAACTTTCGAGACGCCAAATATATAGTGCGCTTGTCGTCTGTGACAAAAGGTGATGTTCGTCTGTATGCTCGTGGTGGCAAAATTCTGTTTGCGATGGCTGATGTCGTGACAAGCAGTGGCGAGGGAGTGAGCTGACAAGCGCGGATACGCAGAAGAGCACCAGGAACACGCCTGTCAGTGGTTGTGGTGGGTTGACGTCGTTTGAGGTCGAGGCGCGGGGTGATGCAATGGCGGATAAACCGAGCGCGGCTCTTGTCGCAACAAGCACGACGTTGCAAGCGAATATCCGGCGAGGTATGGTATGAATAAACGTAAGCTCTGCAGAAACAGCGTCGGCACGAAGCAGTGGTGAACAGAGATGAAGCAGCGCAGGGTCGCACAGCGGAGCGGCAGGCGGGCACCAGCAAAGAGGGCGCCCGGAGAGGCACCAGACGGGCACCCACGAGCTGCCCTGCACCCTACCACAGGAGGACTAGCAGCGCAGACTCCACCTACTGTACTCAGCTCCGACCACCCAATGACGAGCTCCCATGCCTCGACTCGCACTGTCCACCTCGGCGCCTGCATCTCACAGCACATCAGCTTCAACTTGCCCTTACCGCTGCCAGGCCATGGTGGAAGGCCCGAACGCGTGTCCAGAAGTCCCAAGTCACCGCCACGTAATCCGTATCTCGTGCCTGAACATCGCTTGACCTGGTTCGATTGTTCCTGACGCACGAGGCAGACTGTGGGCTTGGTATGGAGCAGCGGTAGCTGAATCAGGCATCAGTCGTGGCTGTGCCAACTCAAAACGGGGCTGTGTTGAGCAGAAACATTCCCATCAGGCAGCAAACGTTCGAGCTCGAGAACAGGGAGATTGCAGATCCATCTTGTATACCAAAGTCCCAGCGAGTATTTTGGCAAACCTCTTCGAATTGCTTTTTTTGGTATTCATCTTCTGTAGTGCTGCGCTATCAGCCTGATCCATTACCCTCGCTCACCACTCGACATAGCCCAAGACATGGGCCATTCCCACGCGTTTTCTATACCGACGGGCATCTTTTGTGTGTCGAATGATTTTCTTCCTCTCTCCCTATGGTCCAAATTCAAACCCATTAATGCCAGACAAGGACAGCCTTGCGTCAACCCCTTGCCTGCCTTTTCTTGGCCTTTGTTAGCCCACGACTGCTGATGCCCACATATTCCCACATCGACAAACGCCTTGCTCGCCAATCCCTGCTGCAAGAAATGCTGAATGCTCAAAGTATAAGTAAGCCAGGAAACACCAATCCCCGCTGGATCTCGTACATGTACAGACGAAATATTGCTCTAAAGCCAGTGATCGTAACTCGTGGGAGTGTAACAGTGTTGTGCGTCATGTCATGCCAACGCCCCATCGCAAGCGTGCTGAGGTCGCGATAATAGATGTCCGGCGTCGTATCCGTCGATGTGACCCGAATCATGAGCCACAGCAGAGCGTCTTCATCAGCTTGCTCATGAATCCAGGCTGCTGTTCCTGTTGCTGAGGCCGTTGGCTGCTCTGTAATGCTCCAGCCGCCGGACTTGGCCGTTGAGTGGTGAGGTTGGCGTTACTGTTTTGGAACTGTGCCTGCGTGCTCGTTGGCGGTGTATCCATCTGTCCAGCAAGTCCGCTACTTCGTTTGGGAAGATTGTTTCCAGCGCTTGTACGGTCGCGCGGATTCCCCCGAACTGCGGCTCCGGGCTTTGCTGGCGAGCCCGGCGTCGGGGGTTGTGCCGCGTTTAAACGGTCCTGTGGGATCGGTCCGCGGTCTCTTGAGCCTCGCCCGTCCCCCCGAACGCCAGCCGCACCGTGTAGAGCCCGTGCCGATGCATCCTGGGGCGCATTGGCATTGTGAAGCTGGTGAGCCGATGGATGCGACTTTACCGCCTCCCAGCCACGACCACCGTTGAGCTTCATCCAGTCATACTCGCCATCCTCAACCTCGCCTGTATTCTTCAAAGCCTGGGTGAAGAGGTCGCGAAGGAAGTCGTAGTCGGGAGTGTCCTCGAAACCCAGGTTCCGAACGTAGCTGAGATACTTGTTGAATTCCTCGGGAAAGCTCTCGCAAAGGTCTTTAATGGCGGTTGTCTGCTTCTTCTCGCCAATCTTCTCATACTTCTGCTTGTTGGTCGCAGCTTTCAGACCCTGCCATGGTAGCCCACCTCGGAGGAAATACATAAAGACGTGGCCAAGAGCCTCGAGGTCATCGCGGCGAGACTGTTCGCGCCCCAGGTGAGTGTTGATACTCATGTATCTGGCGGTGCCAGACAAGGACTTCCGTTCACGATAAGGAATATGCTGTTTCGTCTTGGGGTCGCGGTACTGCTTGGCCATGCCAAAATCAACAACGTGAATAACATTGGCAGCTTTGGAGTTGGGACGACCGATGAGAAAGTTATCGGGTTTGATATCCCGGTAGATGAGATTCTTTTCATGGATGGTTTGAACGCGAGAGAGCTATCAATGGTTAGATACTTAGTTTCGATGGTATAGAATGCACTGACCATCTGCTTGGCCACCATGACCACAGTCTTTATTGAGAAGCGTCTGTTGCAATGATCGAAGAGGTCTTCCAAGCTGGGACCCAGCAGGTCGATGACGAGGATGTTGTGGAGGCCTTCCTGGCCGAAATAATAGACGTTAGGAATACCGGCTGGGATCCTGTTAGTCCGGACTCTTGGTCTACAAACGGCTTGACTCACGACAGCCGACCAATATCTTGTATGTTCGGTATTCATCTCGTAGTTGGGGGGCGTCACTTTTCCGTGGTTCCTAATCATCGATGAGATACTGACATGTAGACAAGAGAGGTCTACGCACAAACTTGATGGCAACTTGTTGATTATTGAGAAGGTTGGTGCCCTCAAAAATGACACCGAAGGAACCCTCGCCGATCTTCTTGCCAACGCGATAATGCACGCCGACAACATTGGACGATGATGAGGCCATGATGGGAATTGGTCAGCAACGTGATTGCAATTGAGATGATCTTTCTGAGCAATGAAGTGGAGGCAAACGAGGGGTGTCGTTCGGAGGAGGTTGCAGTCAAGGTTCGGCGCAGGTTCGGCGGCAAGTTGCAGCTACACCAAGTCAGCGACAGCCTTTGAGCACGGAGCCAACAATAGCTGGACTCCTGAACATACCTGAGAACAATGACCACAGATTCTACACTTCTTCCAGACCGGGATGCGCCCTGGTTGCTCTACAAGCCAAGGCAGGTTATGGGGTGCTGTTACTAGACTCCCTCGCCAAGGGTGAAGAGGACTTCTCCCGCCAAACAACGACCACACGCGTTAGTACATGCAGTTCGGGAGCGGGCAATGGGGCTCGACGGAGAGAGTGAGGATGGCTGCAAGACCAGAAGGTGAGTGAGAACTGGGACGCAGCCCAAGTAAAGATGAAGCAGCTCTCGAGTCGGTGTGGAATGGAGCGGAACGGAGTACGAGAAAAGAGAGGTGGTGCTCTGATCGCGGGTGCTGGAGAAGTTTGGAGCCTGCCAGAGTGAGCCCTGAGCCTAAACCAGAACCTGAGGCGCTTGCAGAGCCTAAGGGGCGCCTGCCAAGCCGCCCAGCCCGAAGCGGCCTTTGCTTCCGATGCTCATTTCGGAATGGCCAATCGGCGCCCAAAACCCCCCTGGGTGGGCTTCCAACGTCAAAAACAACGCTGGCTTACCATCAGTACTTGTAGCAGCTGGTAGGACCCAGCTTTGAAACAAACTCCTTGCATCGTAGCGGTCACAGAGGGAGCAGAGCACTACTGGTCCAAGAAAAGGGAGTATTACCGGAGTGAAGATGTTCTCTCATTGGTGCCACTATGGCTGGCACTGATTGCCTCGTGCTTCACCCACGATGTCTTCTATCGCTGTCTTCACTTCTTGAAGACGCGGCTGATGCTCTTGCGGAGGCTTTTCTCCTCCTTCTCCTTCTTCTTGCGCTCTTCCTCTTCGGCCACCGCCTTCTCCTTCTCCTCCTCAGCCTCATCGCACTCGCGGAGGAACTGCCCGAAGGACAGCACGCTCTCTCGCTTCTGCTGTGCGTAGGCACCGGTTAGCTGTTACTGCTCTGGATATGGTTTGGTAGGAGCAGGAAGTCTCACGTTGGCAGGAGCTTCGGCGAACGCACCGACATCTTGGTGCATGCCGAGGGGGTTGATCTCGTCCTCGGAGCCGTTGTTGGCAGCGAGGCGGGCACGAGTGCGAACGGGCCCGGCAACTTTGTCCTTGGTTGGCGAGTTGGGATATGAGATGTAGCCCTCAGGCAGCGGAACACGGCCCCATTCTGGTGCGTCGTCGTTGGTTGGGACGGGAGCTGGCTTTGGTGGGTCCGGCATAGCGCCGAGGAGCTTGTCGACGTCGGCGGTCTCGCCAGGAGGTGGAATGGCTTGCCATTTAGGAACGACTGGGTTATTCTCGTCGATGTGTTGGTCGGTGAATTGTGCGTTGATGGGAAGCGGGTCTGAGATCTTCTTCTTGAGGTCGTCTTTTCTCTTCTGGTCCTTGCTACGGATGCCCAACTTCTTGGCGGCGTCGCGGATCAAGTCCATATTGGTGGTTTCGGTGAGTAGTCCTCTATCCAAAGCAGAATTGAAAGATCTGGTCAAAGAGCCAACTTGTGAAGAGTGATCGTTGGTGTGAAAGTTCGGAGTGTCAGAAGTTTCAGACAAAGCTGCAGAAGAGCAACTGTGGTCACCGTGGTGAAGGAGAGGCGGGTCCCATTTCTCAGCGCCAGGCTTTGGTGTTGTCTTCAGCAAATTGGTAGGACGGGTGCGCTGATAACGCTGCGTCTGGCCAGTGAGGTTACGGATCTTGTCTCTGCACAAATTCACTGTCTCTGCTTGAATATTCGCCATCTTTGAAGCTTCTGTTGCTTGATCGGTGGTGCTGGAATCCATCATGTCGAACGATCCTCGACGCTGCCCGCCATTGCTTCTGAAGCGGGCTAGCAGTGCATCTCCTATCTTCTGCAATCTTGCTACTGGCTTCAGCTGGAACTTCTCCTCGGCTTCAATTCGCTCCGCGAGGGATCGTGCCTGTGTTGCTGCTGTGCGGTGGTCATCTTCGGCACTCACCCAACCAAGCTTGTTGCTCCAAGTCGACTTGTTGAAGGTCTCCTGAGTGAGCTCACCACAATGTACGCCCTCGACCTCTGCTACCTTGGTGTTGGTGGTGCTGGTAAGCATAGGGGCTGAGATGGTGCTCTTGGCCACTGACGAAGAGCTTTGACCTCTCGGAAGGCCAAATCGCTCAGAGAGGCTACGAGGGTATGCTGTCTGAGCTTTGTTGAAAGTGAGCCATGACAAGGGTCGGTGTTTACGCTTGGTGGTTGACTCGTCTGCCCGAGGTGATGGCTTCTCAACAGCAAGAGCGTCAGAGGAAGTGAACGGTGAAGATGAGGAAACGGTGCCGATGCCAGCATGCTGAGCGGTAGCAGGAGGCTGATTGTTGGGATCACAGTATGAGAGGCTTGAAGGAGAACGACCAAAGGCCTCTGGCTCCGGGGATGTGACTGACATGGTGAGTGATGATGTTTGGATCAGCGTCAGCCAGACTTACCTTGACGAGCACCTGTCCGACTCCATGACCGGATGGTGTCACTTGACAAGATTGAGAAAGAGCCACGACTCTTACGGCGACTATGAGAAGCCATTGTGATGAGAACAGAAGGGTGGGTGGAGGAAGTGAAGTCTGCTGAGATGTGTGGGGCAGAAGTTGACGAAGGGCAGGCCAACAGCCTGATGAGCACACAGCAGCCGGTAACGGGGATGGCTCGTTGGTGAACGATGCGCTACTGCGCGTGGACTCAATGAAGCACAGGATGATGAAGAGGATGGACCGACGACAGCGGACGATGCAGAACTGTGCGGGCTTTGCGAGCAACGAAGGCACCTGCAGGCTGCTGGGAGGGTGCACTTCACTTACTTATTTCCCCGTCTGAAGGAGGAACGATCGCAGCTTCGATCCCACAACCTCCAGACCCTCCCTTCCGACACGCTCTGCGGTTTCTATTGTTGCTCTATAACGGCCTACATTCCTTATTGAGCAGCATACTGTACCATTGGTGTCCTGGAGGTCTCGACGCCATAGGCCAGTCTGCCCTTCTCAGGGCGACCCGAGCCAGCCTCGCACCCAGAAACAGCGTCTAGTAGATACTCACTGCACGGAAGGCTGAGCCCCAGTATCAGGCTTCGCGCTGCTGGGGCACCGATATCATGTCCAACTTTTGACTTCATGATTTGGGAAGTATGGACCGGAAGAAGGTACATGTTAGAGCTCGTAAACACGTCGACGAGACTTTGGCCAGCATGGCGTTGGCTCTGCGCCAGAGCATGGTCCCACGGGGTCATTCTTCCGGAGAAAGGAGGACTCGGGCACGTCTGAACAAGGTCATGTCCTTTGGACTCGAGGCCTGGCGTTGAACATCTGACAGCATGTTAATAAGGCCTACTGTCCCACATTCGGGCTCTTGGAGTTTTCCGTGCTCACCCCATGTTCGCTGATTAGCCGCGGCAAGTAGATGCCAAATTGTGGGGGATATCCCGCTAGGCCCTAATTGATGTACCGGCTACTGAAGAATATAAATGACACAAGCCGCCATCCACCATATTACTGCGAATTGAAACTAGAAGTTACATTGTCGCCACCTCCTCCGCGTAAATTGACGGACTCTTTTCTTGTGAATACTAGCTGCTTATCTCGCCATGCCGTATTCGTTGGAAGGCCGCAATGTCCTGGTGACAGGCGGCAGCAGGGGCCTGGGTGCGCTGATTTGCGAGAAATTCGCAGGTGAAGGGGCTCATGTCATGGTCAACTACGTGTCGTCTGAGGACCGAGCTAAGGACGTCGTCCAAAAGTGTGAGGGTCTTGGTGTCAGGGCCTTCGCTGTCAAGGGCGTACGAAAACAACCTGCCAACTCGCTCCAACTGACACGGACAGGACGCGGGAAATGCAGAAGACAATGCTCGAATCGTCAAAGAGACAGTAGAGAAGCTAGGTGGTCTTGACATCGTCGTTGCCAATGCAGGCTGGACAAGATTCTCCGACTTCAAAGATCTAAACGCTCTATCTCACGAGGAGTGGAACAAGGTCCGCCTTCGTCGCCGCATATACCCATGTATGACTAACCAAGCCAGTGCTGGGCATGCAATGTCATGTGCCATCTCCAGCTCATGCAAGCCGCCGGCCCGATCTTCAATGCTAATCCCGAAGGAGGCGTCTACCTCATCTCTTCTTCCATCGCTGTGAGCCGGGTACCAATTCTTGCTGACCTCGCTGACAAGCCCAGGGCCGGACCCAGGGCGGAAGCAGCATGGCCTACTCTGTGACCAAAGCTGCCGGCCTTCATCTGATGAAATGTATAGCCTCGACTCAAGGACCCAAGACGCGCATCAACGCAATTCTGCCCGGACTTCTGTTAACTGAATGGGTATGGTCATCAAATCCTGTAGGACTGATTGGCTCACTCGTCTAGGGCTTGCAATACAGCGAGGAAAGAATCAAGGCAATTAAGGAAGCTGCTCCACTCAAGCACGAGGTGAGCCGCATTGCCAAGCATGTATTCACTTGCTGACACATGGCAGACCTTCCTCGATGACTGCGCCGATGCATATATCTCGGCGGCCAAGAATACCTCGATGACTGGCCAGCAGATTACAGTTGATGCTGGTCTAGCCATCTGAAGGTTTCTCTTCGGTGGATAGAGGTGCGTAGAACCAGGACGCAAGATAAGCGTGGAAGCCTGGAGCCTGTCGGAACGGCATCATCAAATTCGCCGAGCGTGCAGCAGCGTAAGCATTCATAGGAGGGTGGCCTTCGACAGTCATCTTCCTAATAGAAAGTGTTTTCCCATCAACAGTGTTAACCAGGATCGAGCCGCCGTCAAGGACCTCGCCATCGTGAGTCCGGATGGCGAAAGGCTGACCTATCGGCTGCCATTTGCAGATGGCGTGTATTTCGGCGTCGTCCTGCGAAAGCTCACTGATTTCGGGACCTAGAATGAGTCGAACTGGAGCCATGTTTCTGTTTCGCGCAAATGCATATAGCTTCATTAAAGCATCCCTTCTGCGGAGAATGTCATCGGCTGATAAAGTGTTGAAGTCGACTCGTCGATGTTCCGAGGCGATCTTGGGTGCCAATGCAACCTCGTCGAAGTTTCGAGGCGGTAAAGGTTTGTAAGGTGGCATATACAGACGATTTCTTACTGCGTTGACCAACATGTCGGCACCAAAGCCGGCGAGGGTGTCGTTGAGACCGCCCCATTTGTGATTGACAGGAATGCCAGGAGCGGGAGTCTGGTCCAGAATAACACCTTCATCAAACTTGGTGGGATGTAGACTCTGAATCGTGACGCCAGTATGCTTTCGCCCTAGCATAATTGCCCAATGCACGGGGGCAGCTCCTCGTAGATCGGGAAGAAGTGAAGGGTGGACATTGATGCCGCCATATGTGCTAGCACTCAAGATCCGTTCTGGTACGAGCAGGCCAAAAGAGACCGCAATAATGAGATCGGTGGGTGGAGGACTCCAGCCCTTGAAGGTGTCGATTTGATACAACTGCAGGCCAAGCTTGAGCGCTTCGCCTTTCACCGGAGGAGAAGTAATTTGCTTCAGACCGCGACCTGTCCGCTTGTCTGTTCTCGTGACAACAGTGATGTTGCCGATGTTGCTGTCCGGCAATTGGGAATCATGATGCAAAGCTTCCAGATGCCTTACGCTGAAGCGATCGGCGCCGCAGAACAACACCCGGAGCTTCTCATCACTCCACAGTCGCGAAGAGCTATGGAAGAGTCGTGTTGGTCTGTAGTATGTTGCTCGAGATGCCCGCAGATGTGATGATGCTATGCGGAACATCAGGCATGATAGAATGGGCGATAGACGATGATGAGAAGCTGATACCGTGGCCAGGTAGGACGGAGCTGTGACGGGTTCATTCCATCTTCACTGCGAGACTCGGATGCCTTTTTCCTTGGCACCGTCTGAGACAATGCTCCACCTTTTGCTGCCTGCCAGCCTGAAGCGCAACTTGGATACGGGCCTCGGCTTGCACTCAACGGCCGTCAATGCTTATATGAGTTTTTTGACTACTGACCTGCATTCTGCACGTCGTTCTCGAAGTCTAGCTCTTACTCTAGTACAGTCGACACGAGCCGGCCGACTACTCCTCCCCCATCGCGTGAACTGTGAACAGTCGCGTCGCCGCAATCTCCCCGCATCACCTAGGCTGTCATGGCGACTGAGCCTGACAAGGCCACGGCCTTCGAGGGAGCAGAGAAAGGCAAGGCTACAGCTTCTACACAGCCTCCAGTCTCTCAGCACGCCGAAGATGTTGATGACCCCGACTTTGACGACTTGGACGGTTTGTAGCCCATCATCTGTTTTTGTGACGCACATACTGATGCATGTGACAGACGTCCTCGACCAGTTCTCTGCCAATGCCCCTTCCTCTGTCCAGACACAAACACAAAAACAGACCCAAGCCGAGCCCTCGTCCAAACCATTCGCCTCTGGCCCAGGCCGACCCCCCTCCTCCAGTACCACCGCCGCTGCTGCCACTGAGATGCCTGCCGTTCCTGACGGCCCACGTCCTGGCGAATCCGAAGATGATTTTATCAAGCGCCTCACCGCCGAACTCTCCACCGCCATGTCCTCCATGTCTGCTGCCGCGCCAGATGATGCCACAAAAGCCACGCCCGAAGAGCTGGCGAAGATGGGCAAGGAACTCGAAGAGTTCACCCTCGCCATGGAGAAGGAAGGTATCCAGCCCGAGGACCTGCTGAAGGCCATTCTCGGCGAGGAAGAAGGCACAAAGCTCGCCGCTGCGGCCCATGAAGACGCAGAGAAGAGTCCGTCGCCCTCAGCGTCAAAGTCGCGCACCACCAGCCCAGAAGCCAGCAAGACCAAGTCCACATCCCCAAAGCCTAAAGCCGACCCAGCCTCTTTCGAGGACACTATCCGCCGCACAATGGAGCGCATGGAAACATCCTCCGCGGCCGCAACGTCCGCGACCCAAACCTCCACCACCAAGAGCGAGGAAGACATGCTCGCCGATCTCCTCAAGTCACTTTCCGCCGGTGGCGGTGGCGACGGCGACCCCTCCAACCCCGACGACCTCTCCGCCATGTTCCTCAACATGATGCAGCAGCTCACGCACAAGGACATGCTCTACGAGCCCATGAAGGAACTAGATCAAAAATTCCCCAGCTGGCTGGACCAGAATCGCGCGAAACTCAAGGCCGAGGACCGCGCGCGCTACGAGAAGCAGCAAATCGTGGTCAAGGAAATCGTCAGCAAATTCGAGGAGCGCGGCTATAGTGACGAGGACGCGGCGTGCAAGGAGTACATCTGGGAGCGCATGCAGAAGATGCAGGAGCAGGGCGCGCCACCTGAGGAGCTGATCTCAAGTCCGTTCCCTGGAGCTGGGGGGCTGCCGGGTCTGGGAGCTGGTGGGCCTGATGAAGGATGTCCGACGCAGTGAGGAGGTCATGCATGTGAAAGGGATCTGAGCGATGATATAAACGACATTTGACGAGCTCTAGGATATGACCGTCGATGGTTGAGCAGCTCTGGCGGCATTGGACGGCGTTGAGTCCGCTGGATTAAAGAGGCACACATAGCTTGAGCATTGAAACGAGGCATGAGGCAGCCGGACGCGAGTTACAGTGGAAGAAACGGCGCAGCTTTGTCGTCACATCGTTATCACTGCCTGACCTGTACAGTCTATACACCGGTCAGTCTGTACATTCTACATCCTGCTGGCTGCTTCTGTACGTGAGTCCGTACCAAGCAGCTAGGGTCAAGACATTTCTACGTCCATCCCACCGCCATCGGCGCCAGGAACGACGCGTTCAGAACTCGTCGACGACTGAAGCTGGGTCTCCTGCTGCGACAGCACCTCCATGAAAACCTCGTCCCACTCCGAGCCATCGCCATCGCTTCCCGCGTCCATGGCTTCATGCGCTGCGCCTGACTCAGCATCCCCTCCATCCTCATGCTCCATCAACGCAACCAGCGCCTCAATCTCCCTCTCCTCGATCGGACTTTCTCGCCCACCACCACCACCACCACCCTCTGCTTCTTTATCTGCTTGCTCTTCCTCTTCCTCCTCATCGTCTACTACCACTCCGCCCTCTCCCTCCATCGCCGCCCGCCTCGCCATCTCCTCCTCCCACGCGCGCCGCTCGCCCAAATAGTCCGCCCTCAGCACCTTGTCGTCGCGCCCGAGGCCCTCGTCGCGTCGCGCCCGCAGACGATCGCGGAAGCGCTGCTTGTTCTGCGCTTTGGTCGTCGAGGCGTGCGAGGCGAGCAGGTTCGCGGGTGAGGCGGCGCGGGCGCGAGCGGCGAAGGCGAATGGCGTGCTGCTGAAGGAGGAGGCGCTTGTGGTGGCGGGTGGGGTGAAGGTGAAGGTGGAGGCCGTGGTGGATGGCGTGGTGAGGGATGAGGTCGTGGCGGGGGTGCATGCGCTTTTTCCATCGGCACTGCTTAGTGTTGTGGGAGGAGAGAAGATGGCGGTGTTCTCAGTCTCATTCTCGCTGTCTTCAAAGATTTTCCCGTGATTGCGTTTGCTGAGTGGCGAGGAGAGGGAGTGCGCACCGTCTGACGGAGGGTTCTGTTCGTACATTCGCGACCGCTTCACACCATTGGCATTGTATGACGTGCGAAGTGGTGACGGGATCGATGTCGGATATGAGAAGCCGAATGGGTTATTGAAGAACTGTGGCTGTGGAGGTGGCTGCGGCGGGGAGGAGAGGTAGAACATCGTTTTATACGGACGGCGTTGACTGCGACTGAGCATCAAGAGGTGTGATGCTAGAGAATTCTCCTGCGTGGTAGAGCTAGAAGGACATCGCTGTTTGTAGAGTAGCTGGAGGCCGTGGAGCGGACGCGAAGTCACAAGTCGCGATACCATGACGTGACGCGCTCTGAGCAGATGATAGCTCACGGTCCGTACCCGTCACCGTAGTTCTTGGATCTTACTCTTAAGCCGAATTGGGTTCGGGCCAACGGCGGCGCGGGAGGGCCACAGCGCCGGGTGGCAGATCAACGCGTGAGACAGAAGCTTGCGCGTACAACGATCTGCAGCCAAGCGAGATTGATCACGTTACGAGGGTGATTTCGATGTCCAGCAGCTGCTGCACCTTTGTACAGGGATAGACCACAAGACTGGATGCTCAGCTAGGATTTTCACTCGATTCATTCTATGCTATGCTATGGACTAGCCTCAACCTGAACCTTAAACGCCTGCAAGATCTCCTTTCCAATAGGACCAGGAGCCATTCCTGTTATTTTCGCACTGGCTTCCTCTCAGATCAACTCAGATCGGCTCAGTAATTACCATGTAGTTCCAGCTCTCTGCTTGTCTTCGCTAATAGGAGGATGTCGTATCATCGTAGTGCAACTCTGATGTTGCATGTCGCCGCACGTCACCTAGAAGTTGGATGCCTGGTTGACGGGGCCTGGCTGGTGATATTGATCCAGTGTCCGGTTGAAGGGCGATGCAGACGAGTTATCCGCGGTGGAGGAGGATAGTTTGTCCTGAGCCATGTTCGGGTCGTATGCATCGTCATCGTGCAAGTCCTTCTTCTTGCCCCAGATGCGCCAAGCAGTGTAGCCTAGACCAGCGAGGAGAAGAGCACCACCGACACCGCCGACGACTCCGCCAATGGTCTTTTTAGCAGAGTCGCTCAGGCCAGAGCTACCGCCGCCGTTGCCGCCACCGGATAAAGATGCCGGGTCGACGTCAGTTTCCGTGGGCACGACCGTCTGGGAAGTGCTAGTGCCAACCCGGGTCTGACCATCGGTCACCGTGGTGAAAGTTGTAAGAACGTTTGAAGTAACTTGAGTTGGAACACGCGTAGACGTGACCACAGCCGACGACGCGGATGGTCTAGAGGAGGTTTCTTCCGAAGTTGTCTCTTGCGTGGGTTGGGACTGGGTGGAAGTGCTGACCTCGACTGTTGTGGAAGGTGGCTCGGTGGTGACGCTTGTCTCCTCTGTCACATTGTCCGAGTCAGTGACGGTGGACGGTACGCTTGTTGGCGAAGTCGTGGTCTCCTCCTCGGTAGTTGTCTCGCTAGTTCCACCTGTTGATAGAGACACCTGTCGGCGGAAGAGTGCAATGGCCTCATCAAGAGGATCGGCAACGACTTGCAAGGAGAGGAGAGAGGATACGAGGGCGAAAGATACAACGTTGAAGTATCTCATGATGACGGCTATGTGTGGATTTACGAAGTGGTGTGTATTGGTAGAATGTTGGCAGCAGGCTCTCAACAAAGGGAGAGACTGCGCGAATTGGGAGATATCGTACTCGGCAGCGAGAGTCGGACAAAGTGGCGATGATAAAACAAACAAACGAAAGGAAACAATATCTTGCTTTGTGTGTGTATGAAGGTATGAAAGAGAAATGATACGGTGGTAGCGAGCGTGTGAGAGGTTTTCAGAAACGGGATGCGGGTGAGAAAGCAAGTCTTGAGAGAAGAGGCGAAACTGCGCCGTTGGTCTCACTGAGACAGGCCAGCCCCAAGCCCGAGTCCTGGTTGGCTCCCCTTGGCCTTGGCTCTTCTAAGGAGTGCGTGGCGCAGCCAGCCAGGTACCGTCCGTCCCTCTGTGCCGCGACCAACATCATCCTCATGACTTGCAGGATCAGCATCTCATCATCTTGCATTATTAGGCGTGATTTGGACTCGCTAAAGCAACAATGTGCCGTCAGCCAAGTTGTGGGACTGACTGTCTGCTATTCTACTCTACACTTTGGCCATCCACTTCCAGCGCCAGCCCAAGCATGCCCATCGGCTGGTGATAAACGTGCCAATACTCACGGCCAATACGGCACACATGAAACCAACCATCGGCTGAGGTCCTACCCGTTGCACCAACTCGCCTGAAATGGGAATACAGATGAGTGTCGACAAGCTCGCGATGAAATAGCACGTGCCATAGTATCGACCAAAGTTCTCTGCTCCACAGAGCTGGCCCAAGCATGCTGGTGTCATGGCCATCCAGGATCCTGTCCCAAAGCCGAAAAAGGCCACAAAAACATACAGGGCCGCCAGGCTGGTGTGTCCAAACGGAAGCCAGATGACCAGCATGAAAAACAGCGTTCCAACCATCATGACCCCAAAAACGTTGAAGCGGCCCACCACGTCGCTGACAAAGCCCGGAATGATGCGGCCCAGGCACGAGACTCCATTCATCACCGCAATCAGGTAAAAACCCGTGTCTCGTGGATAGTCCGTCCCCATGCTGGCATAGGTAGGAAGTATCCCAAGTGCTCCAAATAATACCACCTCTATCCCGAAGACACTCACGGTCAGAAAACTGAATGCCGGGTCTCCGAACAGTCGAAACGACAAGATCCGCTGCTTCTTTGCATCTGGTGACGGAGGCAGCCGTGCCTTCAGGAGCAGATTGCCCACAATCAGGCAGGCTGAGAAGATGAAGCCCAATATCCTCACCGACCAGGCGTAGCCGTACCGGGGTAGTGTTGCGCGTAGGACCAGAGGAATCACAACGCCGCCGAAGCTCGATCCGACCATGGCCAACCCGGCTGCCAATCCTCTTCTGATCTTAAACCAGTGACTGACCGTAGCCAGGCTCGTCGTTGTCAGGGCCGCGCCAGCTGGACCTCCCAGAAATCCCAGACACAGCATGAATTGGTAGTATTCACTGCACTGTGCCAAAAGGAAGGTCATGACAATGTACATAGCGCTGCCCCCGAGCAACAACCACTTTGGTCCATACATGTCGAATAGTGGCCCGGCGCATATGCCCAAGCTCAGGGCCAAGTACACAAAGACAGATGGAATCCAGCCGATGTCCCTCGATGAGTACATGTGCAATTGATTGAAATGCCAGTAGTCCTGGAGGGTACCGATGCTAACCATAAACCCGAACGACGGGAACAGCGTGACAAACGCTCCGAATAGCACAACACAAGCCGACAATGCCCCCCGATCACCCGGAAATTCGTCAGCGTCCGCATGGCTCACTTGATTTTCGGTCTCAAATGCTTCTCGATCCCTACCATGCTGTTTTGGGCTGGAGCCGACCGTTGCTACAGCATCTTTGCGGTCGGGGTTGGGGTCATGCCGAACGTTGGCTGAGATGTGCGAATCGACAAGATGTACCGAGGGATTGGTTTGGGGATCCATGACTACAGGAACATCACCAGTGCAGGAAAGATCAATACTTGAGCTTGTCTACGTCTATAAAGTTGCTATACAGTGAGAAATCTGCACGCCCTTCTTGCTCTGTCATCAGGGCTTGGGCATGAAAAGCGGAGAGTTGTGTGGAGAATGGGCGCTCTTGTCCGAGTTTACAACGGGACACGCTAACTCCAACTTGAGGTAAACGATCCCTAGGCGCCTCAGCTTAAGTAAGAGACAAACGCCCATGACTGACTGGTTTTGGGCGCCTCCGACCCGGGCTAGATCTGGCCGAATATCTGAACTCATGCCTACCCTTTTAGGTGGTCGAACTTACCCTCCTCAGCAACTTTGTGAGTACAGATCTTGACCCCGAGGATTGGTGTACCCATACCATGTCGGCGAATATCAGTCAGTCTGCCACTTGCCATGAGCACTGGTCAGTCGGATGCAAGGTCACGCTCTTCCTGTCGTGACAGGCGAGGGTGCTGGACGTGCCGGAAGCGTAAGAAGAAGTGCCATTCCACCTCCGACAACACCGTGTGTGATGCTTGTCAGAGATTGGGCCTGAGATGCGATCGAGGCACCCGACTTGTCTGGGAGGATGACCAACGCAGAGATGGCATCAATAAGCGCGGGCCTGCGCGCAAGCAAAGTGGAAGTGCACCACCTATGGCACCTGGTAATCGTATTCCAGCCGTGGATACTGTTGCCCTCGTCCCAGCTGCCCTCGCTCAACACCCGTCTGTCTACAATGGCTTCTCAAATGGTGGACTATCCTACCCATCGCAGAGATACGGCCGGTCGTTAGCTCAAGCGTTCGCCGGGTCCATCGAGCGTTGCTTACGGTACCCCAAGCCGGCGTGGACGGCTTCACAAACAGAGGAGCCGGCGTGGCCTGTCATGGAGGACGACGCCGAAGATGCCATGGACACGATGTCGACTCAAGTAGGGACATTCGGCCGCAGCCCAACGGGGTTCCCCCGCGTGCTGGAAGGGACGGAGCTGACCCTGCTCGGCAACTACATACAGCGTTTTTCGAGGAGCTATCCAACTTGTTCCGACCCCGACAACCCCTTTCTTTCCGTGTTATTGCCCCTCGCGATGGCGGACAGCTTGGTCATGGACGCTCTTCTAGTCCTAAGCAGCGCTCAAACAACACAAACCCGAGACCCGTTGGAAGAGCGTGAAGTATTGCGGCTCCGGCAGCGCGCTTTGGTCGGGGTCCGGACCCTCCTCTCTGAAAACGCTGCAGCTCCTGGCTCAAAAGCCTCGCACTCGACGGGCGCGATTACCATTCACGCGATCCATCACCTGGCTCCGAGAACGGTTCTCACACTGCTCACTACCGCCGTCATGTTTCTCCTCTTCGACAAGATCTCCGGCGAAACCACCTGGAAACCGCACATCGACTTCCTCGGCCAACTGTGCGAGCACTTCTTCCATCAATTCGATCCAACAGCTGCAGATGGGCAAGCATTCCAATTCCTGTACTACATTTTTCTCTACAACGACCTCGTCCGCGCCACCTCCTTGCGCACGCCGACCGTCTCCACGATCCACGATGCATCACCATCCGCGCCACTCCGTCGCACCTCACGCTTTTACTTCCGCAACCTCATCGCCCGGATCAGCAGCGGCGACCTCAGCGTCAGCGAAACCGACATCGAAGCCTGGGACGGCAACATGCACTGGCTGCCAAGCTACTCGCTCACAGCCACCACGCCTGCCGACGATATCGTTGAGCCAACCGAGCGAGCCTCTTTCACCCAGCTCTACAAGATGGCCGCGCGAATCCACCTCTATGAGCGTCGCTCCATCACCCTCGCCAGCCAGGGCGCAGCTAATGCCATCGAACCAAACATCTCCGTCTTCCTCTCCAACCACAGCGCAGATCCACCCAAAATAGCTCCCCTGGCTGCCCAAGCAATCTCCCTCCTGCACGCAATACCCGCCGGCTCCCCCTTCGACAACGCCCTCCTGTGGCCCATCGGCATCGCGGCGCGACACCTCGACGCCTCGCAGCCCCTCGAGCGTGGCGCGGTGCTGCATCGCCTGCAGGATCTGGAGAGGCGGTTTGGCATGCGACACTTCCTGCGTGTGCGTGAGGTGTTGGCTGAGGAGTGGTTCGTGAGGGATGCGGGGGTTGGGGTTGGCCGGAGGGTATGGAGGGGGATGGGGATGGTCTTGGGGAGCAGGATGATTTTGCTGGGGTGATGGAGAGAGACACTTAGTGCGGAAGATGGCTGGAGGCTGATGAGCGAGCCTTTCATGTTCTACAGTGGTAAGGGCGACGACAAGGATGGGAACAAAGGATAGGAGAGCATGCTCGGGACTGAGGTGAAAACGCCAGTAGTGGGTTTGCTGGGGCAGAACAGCCATGAGTACATAAATCAACGTGTGTGATGCATTGGTGCTTCAAGATATGGACGCAGCTTTTGAGGGCCATAAAGCCGCTCAAAGAAGTCCCTGATCCTTTGTCTTTTCTCTAGGAAGCTGATCGCCCTCTCGTTTCATACGGCAACAGCAGGAACACAATGCCGGCGACCACAAACAGCGCAGCCGAGATCCATACGGGCATGCTTGTCTCGACGCCCACATATGCCGCAATGATGGGCGCCATCAGCCCGCTCAAACGGTTGAACAGCATGACCAGCCCATTGCCGGTGCCGCGGATTGGTGCGGGGAACAGTTCCGGGCTGTATGAGTAGAGCAGCCCGTACACCAGATTCTGCCAGAAGGCGATCGCGCACGTGAAGCCCAGCACGGCCGGGGGCGACGTCGCGCGCGTGAACAGGAACAGGAACAGGCCGGTGCAGATGCAGGCGAGGGAGCCGGTGCCCTTGCGCCCGATCCGCTTGAGGTTGACGGTGTAGCCGCCGAGCAAGGAGGCCGGAATGCCGCACGCGGCTTGGATGGCATAGTTGCGGTACACGGTGTTGAGGCCGGAAGTGCCAGAAGCCACTCCACGATTCTCGAGGTAGATGGGGATGAAGCTGTTGTAGAGGGGGTAGGCCATGCCGATCGACATCCAGAGAAAGAGCATCATGCTCGTCGAGAGAGCCATGCGTGGCGTGGAGAACAGAGCAAGAATCTTCTCGGGCGCGAATTTGGACAGAGTCCGCTTGACGACCGAGTCGGCCGAGGCGTTGATCGCGGTAGTGTTGTTGGTGTTGTCGGTGTCGTGGGTGGCAGCCGCGGCAAGTTGTGCATCGACGGCCTCAAAATGCGAGAGGGTCAACCATGTGGTCTTGCCGTCACGAGCGGCGATCTCGGATACCACGCGTACGGCGGCTTCGTCTTGACCCTTGCCCAAAAGGTACTTGGGCGTCTCGGGGATGCGGAAAAAGAGACGAAGCAGAAAGAGTGTTGTGGTAAGGGCGCCAAACGTCCAGTAGACGTATCGCCAGCCGAGGTTGGTATGAAAGGTGCATTGACTGGACGGGGTGCCGGCCGGGCAGCAGTAATTGGCGATCAACGGCCTTTTGGGGGTCAGAGATGACTTAACCCTAGGTTGGGAGGGACATACCATGCTATCAGAGCTGCGACTGCTTGACCGAGTGACCAAAAGGCAGATTGCACCGTGAGCAGATTCTGGTGCGACGCCGGGATGAACTCGAGGAAGATGGCGCTGTCCACGGGCTGGTTGCCGCCACTGCCAACACCGATGAAAGCACAAAGTGTAGCAATGGCGACAAAGTTGGGCGAGCCGGCGCCTACAAGGGCAGCCATCGAGGACAGAATGAGAGTGATGTTGAACGCCAGTCTTCTTCCGATAAAGTCGGCAGTCATTGGCCAGACAGTTGAGCCCACCACCAAGCCGGCATACTTGGCCACAGTCAGGAAGGCGATGCGCTGCACGGCAAACTCTCTCTGCACGGGCGGAGAGATGATGGTGATTGCTTGCATCCATAGCTAGGTCTTGTTAGTCTCAGGCAATAGCGACTTTGCGTTGTAGTCGACTCACGTTGTCAACGAACCAACCGAAGCCAGTGGTGGCAAAGATCTTCCACTGGAACGGACCCATGCCAATGTCGAGCAAGGCCTCGTTCATTACAGTGATCTTGGCTTCATAGGCAGCATCAGCGCCTGGCATGACCTGGGTCGTGTCGAAGCCATGGTAGTTGGTGTGACCCCCAATCTCGATCTTTTCGTTAGTCTGGACGATGGAGAGGTCGGTGGGTTCCTTGTCGACCGACGTCTTGGTGTCATGGTCGCCAGTGACCGTGAAGTCTTGCTTTAGATCTGCCTGCATGTCTTTTGGTAAGGAATCTGCAATACCTTGGCCTGGAGACGAATGCTGGCAAGAGGAAAGATCATGGACGGGGTGGGCGTGGCCTCTATATTTTCTTCAGAACCCAACGTACCTGCTGCTTATCGCATGGCGCATGCTGTATCTCTCTAGCCCGCATGGCATCCTCGGCAAGATAGGTACGAAATGCTGGGCGAGGCGAATACCCTCTGTTCACATTGTCTGCCCCAGAATCCCGGCGCGAGCTCGGCTGGAGCTGTGGGGAAGCGATGTCCTGAAGCGGCACGCGGAAAGCATATGAAAAGGAGCCTATCTCTAGCCCCAGGCAAATGCAGAGGGAGTTTAACTCCGTGGCGACTGTTCACATGAGGGTATAGTGGCAACGGAATACAATGTCGTGCCTACGTCGTGGCAATATCAAAGTCTTGGAACGCTGCACGGCGGCTCGAATTATCGCATCGGGTTTAGCCTGCCAATGGAGATCAGCGTGTCTCCGCCCGTGGTTGTCCCAAGGTCTCGTTCCATATGATAGCCCGTCCAAGATTGCTTATCGTAACGTCGGCGGCTCGAATACTCTGCTTCGGGTATAGGGGTTGAACGTGATCATGGAGATTCATATCCACATAGGTGGCCATGCCTTGAGGTTGTCCCTTATGGGTGGGCACTGTGTAATAGACATTGCACTAAAAGACCTTCATTCCAATGCCGAAGCAGACGTCTTCCTGTGCCAGTTGCGCGGAGGAGGAACCTTGTTGCTTGGAGCATGACACAGGGAACATGCAAGCATCCCCAATCATGGTTGCTATTGCTTGCTGCTCGCTCGAAAGCGGTTCGAATTACCTTGTTCGGCACATCGTAGACGGGAAGAATTGGATTGGTCGAACATCTCAGGGTATAAAGGACTAGCACTTCACCACACGCCAGTGGAGGGAGCAACCCATCGCATACTTTCCGGATCGATTCAAGCAGACCCTGTGGCAGTCAGCGGCACCAAACACAACATGAGTCCCCCAGTTGCCGTTGAGCCGTATCCTTCGGGTACAACGTATTCCAGCAAGGAGGTCACCGACACGCCTGTTCGAGCAACATCCGTCCCGGTGAACTTCGACGCCAGCAAGCATCTCGCCTATAATGCGCCAACCAATAACCTGCAGATGAGCGACATCGGGCTAGAGCCCAGCGCCATCTCTAGCACTGCTGCCACACAACCCTTCCAGCTGCTTTCCCGCGAGGCGGTACTCGCGATGCGCCGCGAGATCTTCTCTCCGGAAGTGCTCGACAATTGCATGCATCACACCCGCCCGGGCAGTGTGCAGATCCGCGGCCTCGCACCTCGCTATGCGCCCTTCATCCATGCCTTCTGGAACTCGGCTGAAGTCCTGCGCATCATGTCTGAAAATGCTGGCGTGGATCTGGTACCCGCCATGGACTATGAGATTAGCCACGTCAATGTTCAGCTGGGCCCGGACGGCGTGGATGGGGTTCGTAAAACGCCCGCCGAGCCACCAGCGGCGACTGGCGACGCCATTACCGCTTTCGAAGCCAACAAGGGTCAGAAGCAAGCGGTCACTGACCAGGTCAAGCCGGTGATTGAATGGCACAAAGACTCGCATCCGTTTGTGTGTGTAGTCATGCTTTCAGATGCGCAGCACATGGTTGGCGGAGAAACAGAATTGATGGGCGGAGATGGGATGACCTTGAAGGTGAAAGCCCCCCAGATGGGGTGCGCGGCCATTCTACAAGGGCGGTATATCACACATACCGCGGCTCCCGCCGCCAACATGCCGGAGAGAATCACGGTCGTGACAAGCTTCCGACCAAAGGACCCTCGCATGCTCGACGAGACGACAAATGCAAATGTCAGGAACAAGAGTCACCTCACGGAGCTGTACTATCAATGGACTACCTACCGGCTGGAAGTCCTAGCTCAGAGAGCATTGTTGGCCAAGAAAGAATTGGAGGAGAGGTACGCACGCAACGTGCAGGAAAGTGATCCCGAAGGCAAGGCCGGCTTGTGCAGAAAGGAAACGGTGAATGTTGACGAGGTCAACAAATGGGGAGAAGAGCAGATCGAGTTTATCCGGCAGACACTGTGGGAGATGCGGCCGTTGGAGGAGAGAAACGGGCGCATCTGGTAGATGATTCTTCCCAGTTAATCAATGAACTTCTTGGTGCATCTTCTCGCTCGTGTGATTCGCTAATAGAAGATTTTGTGGTGCGGTCAATCTCGCAGACGCACAAGCGGGTGGTTTCCGACCTAGTCGATACTGCGAGGGAGCAGATGTGCTCGGGGTCCCCAGGCCCGCTCAATCTGCACATGTATGGCTCGGGTGCTAGCATCGTCGTGCTGCATGCAATGCAAGGCGAACCATGTTGGCTGGCTAGTCGCCTGGCGCGCATGTTCTCCTTGCGTGGCGTCCGTCGACACCCGTCGAGACTCCCCATACACGGGTGGCTGGGCTATAAATATGATATCAGATTTCGAACTCGAGAAGGGTTAGAGGCGGGTTGGAAACCGTCATGGAACGGACCTCCAAGGTACGGATTGGTTTGGGAAGATTCCTGCTTGTAGCGAGATCAATCCTGGGGCCATTCTGCAAGCAACTGGCCGTGTACGCAATGCAACCCCGTAACCAGAGCTCGCTGTTTCGCTGGCTTGCGTTGCGCCAGTCGGTTTCGATCAATCCCGGCTTGTGTCTGGCTTGTTGACTTTGAGAGACTTCGACATAGCAGGAACTGAGTCGCCGCTGCGAAGGACAGGACTCGACCGATATAACAGCAATCTTGCGTCGTGCTTCACACGTGCCTGAGAATTGTTCGATCAAGTCATTCCAGGGGGGATGAGACGCGACGATGAGCCAGCCATTACTAAGAGACTGGTGAGCACAAGCGAGTTCTTTGGCCGCCAAGGTGTTCAGTTATGTAGTCTATACAAGCAAGAGTGATCGTCGCCACACCTCCGAAGACTTCAAAAGCTGCGACCGCAGTGACAGCTGACATCTGACAGCTGCTTGGCCTTCGACTGTGCGACAGTATAGTTGACACCAATAGTATGCCTCCCGTGTGTACTTGTGGAACCGTTCTGCCGTTGGGCTGCTCAGGATTCTGGCGAAGAAATTACGCCTACGCGCAAAATCGTTGGCCGTGGAGGGAGATTTTGGCGGCTACCGGTGCCCCTGAGATGACTATGCAGGCAGGCTTGACAAGGCCATGCACCTAGCCACGCCCACTGTGACCTTCGGGTATGAGGCATCAACCTTCAGGACATGCAGGTCTACATGTGGAGGCTGATCCTTGAGTATAGATGCATCACGGATCCGGCGAGGAAAGCAAGACCGCCGACTAAGACATATAGCTTCAAGAACTTGAAGATGGTTGAAACTGGTTCATGAAAGGCATTCGTCGAGATAAAACTCCCCATTCGCATCAAGTTACCATTCCCCCTTCCTCGCATCGCCTCATCAATTTTCGTTTCTTCGCAGTCGTGACCACAGCCTGCCCTGCGGCCCTTCAAATATCACCAGTCCAACGCACGAGGTGTCGATAAGCGTTCTTTTCCGTACACCACGCCCGCCTTGATCTCTGGCGTCAGGGTCATGCACACGCAATGCTTGCACGCCAAGGCTCTCGCCCCCTGGTCCTTGTAGTTGAGAGGGTGGTAGCTCGGTTTCAAGACATCGTCACTGATGGCTGCTCAGCCGTCCAGACTTGCAAGACTCTCCACATTTATTATTTTCTGGAGGTGGGTCCATAGTCTCGCGTGAGTCTCTGCGGAGCGCACTCGACGAGAGGACACGGAGTATTCCGTCGTCCATTCATCATTGATCATACAGTCCTTGTAAGATGCAAACGTTTTCACGGGAGATTGCAGGCACACCTAACCTCTCCTGTGCAGTTGCCTCGTCCTAGATTGCTGCACGAAAGCGGACACGGGCAGAAAAAAAGTTGCAGTACGTTTGTTGGACTGCGCGGCTTGCAGGTCTTTTGTGCGCCCTCTGCTGATTGACTCGACCGACCTGCATTGCTATGCAATCGGTGGATTGAGTGTGAGGTAAAAGAAAGCTTAGATCGATGGTGAAATCATCCTGGACTGGTGGGCCAGGTTTGGTGGACGGTGCAGTACAAAATCGAGATCCGGCAATGTCAGCTAGTCAGGCTCGACGAATGATGCGCAGGGCCAGGACAAGGGAAAGGCATTGACTGCGGATGTCGAGTCCGGCTGTGGCTGAAACTATCCCCTTGTGAGCGTGTCATGCACGAACTGCTGAGCAGAGCAGGTGGTCAGGGCAAGGATGGGCCACAGGTCTAGCTGAGTGTCTGGGGGCAAATTGTTCAAGTTGGGCATTTCCGAGGTTGGGGGATTCGTTGGAGAACGCTGCTTTGAGTGTGTGCATCCTTGTGAGTTTGTGGTGGGCGGGAAGCCCCCTGCCACCATGGCTGTAAGTGGTGTCATGGTTCATGCGTCGACAAACTTTGAGTGCTTTCTTCAACGAAACGAGTTCCGGTAGACACTCGGATCTGGCGACGCACCTAACTGCTATGCTCTGGAACAGGAAAACACGACAAATACGGAGCCAGGCTTGCCAGAGTCGCCTCTCAGTGGTGGTTTCCAGGTTGTCGTTGGTGCTGTGGAGTTTGCGACTCGCCTGTGGACGGAGCTTGCCGCCGTCTTCTCGTGGTAAGCAAAGTGTTTGTCGCTTGGGCAACGATGAGCTGGCCGGCGAATTTGAACTGGTTGTCGCACGAACTATTGCTCGATGCTGCAGCGCCAACAATGGCCAAGAGGCGCCAATCAGGTGGATTGCGGGGGCTAGCGGCCACAACCTCTTTTTAGTGAGGTCGTCTGGATGTCATGGTGCAGAATGGAGGAGGCAAAAATGTGGTAGGGCGGTCGGGCGTCGACCGGGACTTGCAGAAGACGCAGCTTTCGGCGAGCGGCCTGCGGGCCGAGTGGGAGAGCGACAGAGCGAACACTCGGCCCTCTGCTGAGAAATGCGCCCACAGGTTGTTAGCATCAATCAACACTGTTCATCCTGATGAGAGGCGGCCTGTGTCGAAAGCCCGCAGCCCGCTTAGGGCCTCACTTTAGGCGAGACAGGAGCACCCGGAAACGGAGTTGCTAAGTAAAAGTGATAGCCATGGGTTGAGTCGTCCGGGAGGCCTGTCGATCGATTGGCCGGGCGCCGATCGCAAGACCTAAGTTCCAACTCGTGCCCAACAGCACTCAACAGTTCGCTGACATGTGAAAGTGGTCCTTCGCCTGGCGAAACGTGCTGAAGAATTCGTATGATTTTGATGTACTGCCAGGGTGTCGAGTGAGATATGGGCCCCATTGCCTGATCACTGCAGGACCGTGCTCATGTCTCACCGCGTAGGCGGCATACGGAAAGGTTTCTACTGTCTGCTTGTAGCCGCTGGTCGCAGGCTACCTGCCCTCGGTGCTCTCTCTCTCTCCTTCTCTCTTTCGGGGTTACTGGATAAACTTTGCGGGGTGGGCACAGAAAATTCGCGAACTGGCAGGGCTTGTCGGGCTCGTCAGGACAATTCGCGCACAGGCACCGCAGGCGGGAGGGTGCATGATTGGAATGACTTGCATGAGGGGATCGGCTGGTGGGCAGAATCCAGCAGTAGTGCCGTTGGTGCCTCTCCATGCCCACAAAGGGTAAGCAGGAACTCTTGACTGCTCAAGTTGAGGGGGCCACGCGAAAAGAAGGCGTGTTGGCGGGTCCCACTATCAGCCCATGGCCGCCTATGATGCTCTTACTTGGTGGCGTTCATGATAGGCAGCTCCAATCAGACCTCACCCTCTCGCTTCCCATCGCAGCCCGGCTCTCTCTTCACGACTCCAAATCCATTATTCTGCTGCTGGCCTGCAATTCCTGTCCCCTCCATCTTACCATACTGTCGGACAAAGTCCTTGACCCGACCATTGCTCCCATTGTTTTCCTTCCAACCTCGCGCATCCACTGCTGTTATCGGTCGTACCACACACTCCATAAGCTACGAGCCCCAACCGACCCCTCCAAACCGACATCGGATTCCTTCTGGCACTCGACGCACCCACCTCTTGTACCGTGCCCGTCTTCCATGGCACACGACCTGGCGCAACTTGGTTTTTTCAACACTTAAATGCGATGAGTGTACTCTCCTGAACAGATAGGCGACTCTCGGAGGCATGACAGATCCTGTTGGCATCACCTGGGCTCCGGATCTGAGGGAAAAGGATCATGATGTGAACAAAGAACAGGATGAGACCTCGTTGAGTACACCCGTCGCCAGGCAGCCATTACGCCAGCAACAGGGCTACTTCGACCTGCCTGCGCCATCCTCATCCTCATGCCGTCCCGCCTCGCCTTCACTGGCACATTCTCCCGTCCTCTCACACGATGCGCAGCACCTGGAGAAATCGGCATTACGCACCTCTTCAGGTTCACTAAGAGGTCTCGCCGACCGCTCATCAGATACACTCCGGCGGGTCTTGTCCGGGCGATCGTCCAACGGACACTTGCGTGGCCGGCGCACCTCACATGGCAAATCCGCGTCCACCTCGGTCCCTCGACCAAGCCCTAATTCCGAACACCCCGTCTATCCAGACCAGTCCTTCGCTGCATTGCATGCGCAACTTCATAACGCTAGACCGTACCCACCGCTTAGAACACGCAGTTCGCATCCGGCGCACAATCTCCTGTACAACGATCTGGCCCGGCATCACCTGCAGGACAAGACGGAACTGCCTAGCGCCGCTACCGCCCACAATACTCCCCACGCAAGTCCTGGGCTTTTCAATCTGCCTCGTGCACCCTCGGCTCCACCAGAAGACCAGCTGTACTACCAGTTGCACCATCTCCAACAGCCGAAAGAGAGCCACACCGTTGAAATCGACTACGACATGCTTTCAGGAAACAAGTTTATCAATGACTACGAGGTCATGACCGAGCTTGGTCGCGGCGAGCACGGCAAGGTCAAGCTAGGCCGTCATCTCAGTCTCAACGCCCTCGTCGCCATCAAGATCGTGCCTCGATATTCACGTCACCGTCGCCTGGGACGACTAGGCGCGCCCGAGGATCAAACCAAGAAAGAAGTTGCTGTCCTGAAAAAGGCTCGTCACCGCAACGTGGTCAGTCTGCTTGAGGTCATTGACGATCCTAATAAGAACAAGGTCTATCTGGTCCTCGAATACGTGGAGCGAGGCGAAATCAAATGGCACAAGAAGGGCGTTGGACAGATTGTTCGCTTTGCATATCTACGCTTTCAAGCAGAGAAAAGAGGCACCACCATCACCCCCGAGGAAGCCGAGCGACAGGCATACAGCATCGAGCAGCTCCGCCAGCGCATGGAGGCGCTCGAGCGATCTCGGCGCAAAGGCACCGCTCCCGAGGGTCCTGTCCACTGGAGTAACGAGCATGGAGGCGACGATGACGAGTGTTACGAAGAGCCGATGCCCGACGTTTCTCGATCAGGCTCCATTGTCGAGATCGAGCAACCTGCCAGGGGCTACGCACATGATGACTACGTTGGTGAGCCGCTTGCAGGCAGCATGTTCGGCTCCTATGTCAACGATTCTTATCGGAACCGCGCTTTCAGTCTCGCCGGTATGAGTGCAATCTCCATGGCTTCTCATGTCTCATCCGACTTCGATCTCGAGCTTGAAGAGGAAGAGACTTACGTCCCGGCTCTCACCCTCGACGAAGCCAAGCGAGCCTTTCGAGATGTGGTGATTGGTTTGGACTTCTTACACAATATCGGCATCATTCATCGAGACATCAAGCCAGCCAACCTGCTACTGGCGAAAGATGGCACGGTCAAGATTTCTGATTTCGGTGTGTCCTACTTGGGCCGTCCTACATCGGGCGAAGATGAACTCACCGCCAAGGATGTGTCGATGCTTGACAACGAGCGAGAGCTTGCTCGTTCCGTCGGCACTCCCGCATTCTGGGCTCCAGAAGTCTGCTACACCGAGGACCATGCCGTCCAGGACATCTTCGGGGGCGTTACGCCCAAAGTCACCGGTGCACTCGATCTGTGGGCGCTTGGAATCACGCTCTACTGCATGGTCTACGCACGTTTGCCCTTCATGGCTGGAGACGGCGAGGATGCCGGCCTAACGCACAACATCTGTTATGAACAGGTCTTCTGTCCGAGACAACGCCTCGTTCCTGTTGACACGTCGACCGAAAAGTTTACCCTCGTCGGCCCGCCCTCCATGAATAGTAACAAGCGACTCGACTACGAACTCAAATTCGAGCCAGTGCCCGATCCGGTCCGCGATCTCATCTCCAAGCTTCTGACCAAGGATCCAGCCCGGCGTATGACCATTGCAGAAGCTAAGCAGCATCCTTGGGTGGTTGAGAATCTGGCCGACCCGTCTTCATGGATGGTCTCCGGCATTGATCCCGACAAGAAAACCCGGATTGTCAATCCCGACGAGAGAGAAGTCTCCCATGCAGTCGGGAAGCGAACCATCATGGAGAGAACACTCCAGGGCTTCAACCGGATAGCTGCCGTTGCAAACACCATGTTGGGCCGCAAAGACAGCCGCAAGCGTGCATCCAGCGCAGCCACATCTGCAAGCCACTCTAGCGAGTCCGTCAATTCTCCCACGTCGAATGCGAGCACAGTCGGCAAATCGACGAGGGACCAAGAGGCGCGCAGATCCAGTCTTCGAGGAGACGAGCTATTGGCGGCTCTCAAAGCGTCGCGCGAGAATGGCGACCATCCCCTCGCTCAGAGTCAGACTGCCAGTCCAGACGACTCGGAGATGGGGTCTATGGATGATGAGAGACGGCCTCGAGCTGCTAATCGCGGAACCTCGACGCTTTCAAATGCCGACTCGGTCAGCACTGTCAAGGCGTACCAGCCTGGCTCGACACATCTACAGCTGCCCTCCATTCACTCCGAAAACGTTGGCGACTCCCCCGAGACCAACTTGCGCGCTAGAGTCGAGAATATATGGGAAGGCACTACGCGCACGTTTGAACGCCTCGCGAGTCGAACTCGCTGGAGAGCTGAGCGCTCTCCATCATCAAGCCGCGCATCGTCAGAAGCAGATATACATGCAGGCGCTAGTCTTGGGCTGAGCACAGAATCTGTAAGCGGGTCTATCGCCACGCCTGAGCAGCTAATGTCACCCGTTGACTACAATGTTCAGCCACCTTCGCAGACGCTTTGGGGGGTCGATCATGATGTGTCGAAGGGCAAGGGCTCAGTGCGCGCACCTCAATCCAGTGACGCCGCCTTTGAGCATGCGCAGGAGGTCAACCATCGGCGATTCATCCAAGAGCAAGACCTCAAAGCTGAAGCGGAGGCCCAGGCAAACAACGAGCCGGGATCTTCAACAGCCGAGTGCCCTCCTAGCCCGGACGACTTCACCTACCAAGCGAAGAGGCAGCAAATCCAGGCTGGACCCTCGGCGAGCACCATTGCTTCCTCGGGCGGCGACCTTGGCAACATCAGCCAGAGCATGTCCAATCCTAGCTTCGGCATGACCAGCAGTAATGCCTCGACTCCGCCCCCCGAGCTTTCCCTTACCGTCGAGAAGGATCCACCACCGGCTGGCGAGGAGCCCAATTGGATGAAAACCGCTGATACGGTTATTGAGCACGGCCGACCATCGAACGTAGCGACCGGAAAAGCGCTCGAAGAGCAGTTTGATACCGCCGACGACGTCGATGACGAAGACTACGACAGCGAGGAGGATGACGGCATAATGATGATGAGCACTGCTTCGACTCGGAAGCGATGAAGCTGTTGGCTACGCACAGCACATAGAAACGGAATCATACACGAACACAGCACGACCCTGCATTTCCAACGATAGAGATACCCCTGGGCATGCGACATTCGATGGGGGTTTATAGACAGCATGGCGTTATTTGCATACGGCGTCGGGTGGAGCTAAGCGATCGATGCATAGGATGGGTTATCTCATGGACTTCTTACCGATACCAGAGAAAAAGGCATGAACGGACTGCACCCGGGCGGTCAGCCAGATGCATTTGATATCGACGCTTTGGACAGTGACAAAAGGGGAGGGCTTTACATTGCTGCAGCGAAGAGACGTTGGCACCGCAGCTGTACATCACGCAGCATTTTCTTGAGTTGGGTGAAAAGGCTTGTGGTTAATTGGTAGCTGCCGGAATCACACCTGACAGCTCAGAATCCCTATTCCTTTCGATGAGGTTTGGTCATGTAGAAGAGGTTGTACTATCTTCGGCCATAGTAGTAGTAGTAGCATACTCAGCATCATTTGCAAGAATATCACACCGACCATATCATTTTCACTACGCCGAGAAACGCCGAGAAATGGAAACCAGAGCCGCAAACAACATGTCTGTTCTCTTTCCCTCCATGTACTGCCATGCATGCCAGCAGTTCTCCTTTTTGATCACTTTGTTGTAAGCAGCATGCAGAGCAAAGATGCTTTGCAACAATCACAGGTGCAAGCACATCGACTACTGTCCTCCCTCACGCTGGTTGGTCCTTCGATTGTGATAACCTCAACCGCGGGACCCTTCGTCTAACTGCTGGTCTGCCACGATTCGTTACGAGCGTGAACGAGCCTGGACTCGAGTCCTGTCCCGACGATGTACCTTGTGATGACTGTAGCCCAAGATTTGCGCAGTGTCGCTCAACTGTTGGGCCCCCTCCTCAGTGGGACAAAATCCCTTCTGGGCGACTCGGTCTCGTCGCGCCACTCGCAGAATTTGGCAGCGACCTTTGCAAGATAACCAAAGTTTCTACTGTGCATAGATGCATCATCTGACGCGGTGGGAAGATGTGGTCTTTCAAGGCATGAGCTATAAGTTGAGCTGCTCTGAATCGCAGTGAACTTTTGCGTATCATTGATCCACTACACACACATGCTAAGTCGAAACCCGACCCACTTTCCAAACGCCAGTCCAAACCCCTTCCTTACACGACAGGGTCCGTGGGGTTGGTCTTTGCCACCAGCAGAGGATCCTCGTTATCGTAAGGGAATTCCGGCAGATCCTTCTCCTTCATGCCAAACGCCGACGCAATGATCCTCCGCGACATGACGGTGCCCGCCTGGCGGAACCCCACATCCTTGGGCATGGGCTGATCGAAGAAGATCAAGAAGTGGATCTTCTCCTCGCCGACCACCTCGATCTGATGCGGGTAGCTGGCGGGTATAAAGTAGACGTCGCCGGGATGGAGCGTGAAGGTGTCGACGCTCCCGTCCGGGTCCATGATGGACATCCTCGCGTTGCCTTGGCGGATGTAGCCCAGCTCCACCGTGTCGGGATGCCAGTGCGGTTCGCGCATGCCCTCGTCTTCCACGCGCAGGCTGTACATGGCGATGTTGGTCAGGATCTTCCAGTACTGCGAGCGCGCCTTCTTGGCGGACCCCACGCCCTCCGCGTAGGTGGGCGCCTGCATCTCTTCGATGCCGAAGCGGTTCGGGTGCGGCCAGTGGGCGTTTTCGGGAATCTGCGCCGCGCCCTCGCGCTTCACGATGACCTTGGGCTTGGTGGTGCGGGGCGCGTTGGCGAAGACGGCCGCGTCGACGTTCCAGGTGTTGCCGAGGACGTTGTCCGTGAACGCGCCCGCAGAGGCCGACAAGGTGAAGTCCTTGGGCGTCTCGTGCCGTAGGCACAGCAGGAGCGTGGCCCTTTCAGACCCGACGTTGTCGACGGTGAAGAGCGCGCCCGAATGCACGTGGAACATCTGACCCTCCTTTACGGTGAAGGTGGACATGTCGGAAGCGTGGTCGAGGGTACGAACCAGCGTCTTGCCCTCAACCACATAGGCGAGGACGTTGCAGTTGACGAACCATTTAGGCTCGAGGATGGCGTTCGGCACAAGCTCGATTTTCTGTAGGGAGAGGTTCTTAAGCAGGGGAAGCTCGGTGGTGGTGAACTGTTGGATGTTTCCGAGCTCATTTTCGAAGATGGGACGGGAGTCCCGCAGATTGATCTTGTGCTTGGACAAGCGTTCTTGTTGTGCGATCATGTTGGGTGGTGGTAGTGCTGGGTGGGTTTACTGAGGCGCTTCCGAGGTGGAATATATCGGATGATGATGAATGCAAGTCTGAGATGCGAGAAAATCTTGGATTGAAAGCGTTGCTGTGAGTGGTACTTTGTGGTTTGCACTGCTTATCTGTTGTGATGCAGGTGGCAGCCGCATCAGCGTGCCCCGTAGCATTTATACGCTTCGTTTCTCTGTCTCTGGCTCAGTCTATGCTCAGTGATGCGACCCTCCATGATGGCCGCACGGCAAGAGGGTGACGTTGCCCGGCCGTGTCCGAACAACATACGTCCAGCCTCAGAGCATATGGCTCAACTAAAGTTACCAGTGTCGATCCTCCTGTCCAAACATTCTCCCGTGGAAGTTCCGGCACCGCTGACTCAACGGAAGGCTCGGGCTTTGACGACAAGGCTGTCATGACATCTGTGCCTCTGATTGGACCACCCCGACCTCAGATCACATCAACTCCCCGCGAGAAGCTCTGAACGGCTTGACGTCTCATAAAGGTGTGTCAGCAATCCTCCCGAAGTCTGCGTGAATGAAGCAGCGCAATTCGCGGCTCTAGAACACCAGACCGAAGCTGGAATTAGGTTGCGCCACTCCCGACTTACGAGATGTCGCCAATCGTGCCAGGACCGAGGAGCTAGCGGATTTCTTTCCCATGCGAGCCATGGTCTACGCTTGGGTGAGCATCGTGCGGCGCTTGTCCCCGTCCTCCAATGCTTATGCGCTCTGAGAAGACCTGGGAACATGATGGCGCCCCAAGCACCGACATTCATGACCCCATGACGGCGGGTTAGCTGTTTCACAAGCGGTCCTTCCAAGAAGTAGCGTCGCGGCTGATGCGATGTGGTAGTGACAAATTATCTTGGAGTCTGTCGTCAGGCATGACAGGCGTCCTGCAGCAATATGGCCCTGAGTTACAGCCTACCGGCGACGGCACTCCCGGGACCGACCATGACGCGTCGTGCGGCCATGAACCTAGATGAACGATTTAGCACAGAATAGCATCTTGAAATTCTCGGCAGAAAGATCTGCCACACCTACCTGGATAGGCAATACCAGCGACCCCGACCACTGGTTTACCACTCAGATCAAAGCACAAATTGTCGTTGTCAGGGGAAGCTGCCTCTGAACGAATGGCGTGGCACTTACATCAAGCCTCGTTCAGCACTCAGATCTGAGAGATGATCCCGCATGGCCGATGGCTGTACCTCAAACTCAGATGCTTAGCATAACATCCCCTCATGGTGTTGACTTGTGGAGGCTTTCTTTCGAGGTGTCTGTGAGGGTGCCAGGGCCTCGGAGTCGAACTCGGACGTTACGCCCTGCAACGGCACTTTGATGAACAGCGAAAATGCGCCGTCGACGAGCTCGTTGATGTCATGGCATTGGTATGGCGTTGGTGGTATGCAGACGCTCCACTGAGTGTGGGAATGAACACCAAAGGTAATATATTGCAGGTGCTACGCTGCCTGAAGTCGCTTCCCTGGACAATCGGTGCCCTTCCAGCTCCGTTGACAGCATACGAATTGAGCTCTCGCTTCTCCCTACCTAAGAATGGCATCCACAGCCACGGACCAGCGACAGTCGCAAGACATCGAGCTGCAGCTCTCAGAGACCAGTACCACGAAGCGTGAGGACCCTATCCCGCGCGAAGATGGTTCAGAACCCAAGAGCACATTCATGCGCGTCTGCAAGAACTTTTCAACCGTCTGGTCAGCTCTCCCAATCTACACTTCTATCCCTGCCACTTTCCGAGCTAACTCCTTCAGGTTCACCGTCTGCATGGACACCGGTGTCCTCTCTATCATCCTACACCAGTTTCCATACCCCTCGCACTGGACCCGCGTCTGCAGCACCATCCTCTTCGTCCTCAATCTCGTCCTCTTCCTCCTCTTCATCACCATTTACCTTCTGCGCTGGACCTTCTACCGCACCTCGACCTTCAGCCACACGTCCGTCGACGCTGAAGAAATCGCCCTCCAAGCCTGTCCGACCATCACCTGGCTGACCCTCACCATCCAAGTTCAGCTCATCTGCGCCCAGTCCTGGGGCTATGGCTTCACCATCCTCGCCTTCGTCATGTGGTGGATCAGCCTGTTATGGATCACCACCATCTGCGTCCTCCTCTACCTGCACCTCATCAAGCACCCCTCCCACTCCATCGTCGACAAATGGCTCCCCACCGCCGTCTTCATTCCCATCGTCGGCCTCTTCACGCAAGCCAATGCCGCAGGCCTCATCGTCAACGGCGCCACCAACGACACTCACCTCTCCGCCGCCCTCGCCATCCCCCTCATCATCGTTGGCTTCATGCTCGTCGGCTTCGGCCTCGGCCTCGCCACCATCATGTACGCCATCTACATGCACCGCCTGATGACGAGTGGCTTTCCTGAGAGCCTCAAGATCCCCTCCATGATCCTCACCATCGGCCCCTGCGGCCAGAGTGCCTCCGCCCTGATCCAACTGGGCAACGCCGCCGTCACACACAGCAATTTCGCCACGTACGACAGAGGCACGTTCCTGACCGCCACCGCCGCACCGGTGCTGAGAGTGCAGTGCACGCTCGCCGCGCTGCTGCTCGTCGGCTTCGCCATCTTTTGGATGTCCGTCGACTACTACGCGCTGGTATCCGGTCTTGTGCGCCGGCAGATCAAGCCCAGCCTCTTCTGGTGGAGCAGCATCTTCCCCGTCGGCACAGTGGTGACGGCGTTGGCCGGGTTGGGGACGGAGCTGGACTCGCCCGCGTTCAAGATCTGCGCCATCATCCTGTTTGTGTTTTTGTTCCTGATTTATGTCGTCAATGCGGTAATCACGGTGCCGATGACGCTGGATGGCAGCTTCCTGGGCTTGGAGAAGGGGTTTGAGCATGGCTTTCACCGAGAGTCGAAGAGGGCGAGGAAGTTCGAGGAAGAGTCACAGGGAGCGTGAGCATAGTGGTCGTGGGATATGAGCATAAGAGCGAAGGCATCGATTGGGACAAATGTAGATGTGATTGCTCCTCTGAGCCTTATTACCAATGGGGATAATGCCACGATATCGCTAGTACGCTACACCACCGTATAAATGCTATCTATGCGAGATCAACAGGAAAAGCAATGCTCACAGTCTCAGACCGTTCATGCCAAAATTTGATTCGCGACGCCTGGAGGTTCGCGCGATCTTCGGAGTCTTCCAGTCCGGAGCAGTAGACGTGGATGAATTTGACGCTTCGCTGGACATGGTATCGCCTGATCCCTTGCGGTCGAAGCCGAGCGCGGGCGACATGGCCGCTTGTGGCCGCGATCCGTTTGGCTCCGTCGGCCGCTCAGCCAGCTGCGAAGGGCTCTGTGGTAGCAAAGCTGTTGGCTTTCCGGATGAGGACGGCGATTGAGGGCGCTGCGACAAGAAGAACAGTTCCTGAGCGACGAGGAACGCCAGAGCTCCAGCGCCAAGCTTGACGATGGCTTCGTTCTCCCCAGTAGTGACCATCGCGGCCAGCGCGCCAATGGTCACGGTCTCCCCAAGAAACGTGATCGAGGGTATAACAACGGGGTTGATGATCCGGAATGCCGGAACAAGCGCCGCACAGCCCAGAACATAGACTCGAAGGTCAGGTATGGCAATGAGCAGATGCCCGGACAGGAGCCATGCGACCAGGAGAATGAAGAGCATAGCAGCTGAGAACAGTGCGATGTTCGAGGTCGTCGAGGCAGTCGACTCCGGAGTCCGAGCGACCGGTGTTGCGTAAGACTCTCGACTTGACGGGACTTGCGCAAAGCCCGGATTTGCTGGGGCAGGGTGCCGACCAGTGTCTGCCAAAGAGAAGACTTGGCCGAACATGTTTTCTAGACCCGTATCAACCGTGGCTGGAAAGAATTTCGGCTCAGCTAGAATTAGTTGAGGCGGCCCTTTGGCCGAAAGCGGATCACGCTTGTCGAAGAAACCTGGCGGTAGACCAATGGATTGCTTCGTCTCTTGATTTCGCAGTCCACCAGACAGAGTCGGTAGCTTGCCATGAAAGGGCGATGTGCCGGCATCGCGAGGTTTCAGCTGTCGAGGCTTGAAGGAGTGAGAAGGCGTCCAGTCCATTGCGTCCGCGTTCTCGGTAGGGGGAGTCGGCGGCCTCCATGGGCGCAGATGCTGCTGCGGAGGAGCGGCGAGATTGTTGACGGGAAAAGAAGGCGCTTCTTGGGCGGGGGGAGGCGCGAACTGTGATTCCGAGACAAGTCTTGGAGGCTGATACTCCCAGTTGATGAGGGGAGAACTATCGAGCTTGACCACAAAGAGCCCAGAGACGGTCAGGATCAGAAGGACAATGAGCGATATGCAATGGATCATGGTTCGAAGTCGCGCCTCGATGGCAAAATCGGTCAACACAGTCCATGCGACCATTCTGCAGACCAGGACAAGGACTTGGATGGCGTAGTACTCCCCGAGTCCGACCAGCCTGCCTTCTCTTGCTTCGAGCTTGTGCCTCCACTTAGGGTTCCACCAGCTGCAAGCAAAGCCGACGAACATCGCTACCGGGAGAAGGGCCGACGCTTCCTCCTGGCATTTCATAGGAGCCGGCCACCCGGTCAAGCACTGTAGAGCACTCCTGAACATCGGTTGGGAGCCACCTTGTGCACCGAGAAAATGCCAGAGAAGTTGAGTGAAGTTGCTGGCGAAGTAACCAAAGCCAGCACCGGTTATAACAAGCGGTCTCCATTCAAGCGATTGGCCTGCCCGCTTCAGACGCGTCTTTTGCAAATTCCGGAGCATATTGTCTGATTTTGCCGTCTTGGTTGCCGCTCGTAATTGGGCTTGTGCTCGAGGTTCGCAGAGGGCACAGCACTGGGGGTAGTCCTGTTCAATGCGCTCGCGAAATGCGCCGAGGCCGGCAACGGCAGCATGGTAGTTTGGATCGTCTTCATCGGGAATGTAGTCGGCAATGAGACGGGCAAGGATATCTTGATTCTTCAGGCAGGTGTTGCAGAAGATACTGTTGGAAGCGACTGGCGCGAGTCTCGCATACTGCGCGGAAGTGCCAGTAACCTCAGCGGGAGGGTCGGTGATCTCGCCGTTCTGTCGTGGTCAGTAAGCATGACTTTGTGGGAGTTTACCATACGTACCTCGTCAAGGTAATTGACCGCAAGGCAATGCTCACACTGGAACCTGCGTAGATTTGTCTGGTTGGATTTCTTGCCGCAATAATGGCAGTATAGTCGCTTGCGAAGTGAGACTGGCATCGTCAGGGGGAGCGGTGGCAGAAGTCCAGCATGTTGAGAGGGGCTGGAGCAGGGGAGAACAAATGTATTGCCGTATAAGAAGTGAATTGGTGATGAAAGACATGAAAGACTTGCCTTGATGAGATGTAAACATTCAGCCTCGTCCCCGCACTCACGTAGCCTTGCGAGATGATGTTGCATTGGAAGAAAGACGATAATTGCATCTCTGACTGCTGCTTTTCGGTCCTTTTTTCGAAGCCAGACGCAAGTCATCATGGCGTCTGAGGTTCAACAGTGGCCGCTGGCCCGATATGGATTCACGCCGGAGCAGCACTATCGTCTCCTGTACTTCCTCATTTTCACCGTATTCCTCAATCTCGCGATCGCTCGCCTATCCGGTCTGACCATGCGTCCATCACCGGAGAAGCGAGTCAAGACGACGCCTGCAAGTCTCCTGGTCGTACTCGGCAGTGGCGGACATACCTCAGAAATGCTCAACATCCTGCACCAGCTACCAGATCTGCGGCAGGACTACAGACGGACCTACGTGATCAGCTCCGGTGACGCCTTTTCGGCGGCCAAGGCCAGCGACTTTGAGAAGGTGATTGGCAATGGTACGAACGATAACTTTGGTATCGTCACCGTGCACCGGGCACGAAGGGTCCATCAATCTTTAGCCACTGCACCTTTCAGCACGCTCTTTTGTCTTTGGGACTGTGTCAGATTACTGTACAGAGAGCCTCCCGATATCATCCTCACTAATGGCCCGGGCACTGGCGTCTGCGTGGTACTGGCGTCGATCATCTTGCGCTTTTTCTTCTACCGCACAAACAGCATGAGGACGACCTTCATCGAGTCCTGGGCGCGAGTAAAGACACTGAGCCTAAGTGGGAAAATCCTCAAGTTCTTTGTAGATCGCTTCATTGTACAATGGCCACAGCTGGTGAGAGCGTATGGGTCCGATTCGGTGGAATACATTGGTCCGCTCGTTCGATAGTTCACGAGGCAGCCTGGCTTATCTCAAGCTGAATCTCGTTCAAGATTCTTTGACTGTCGAGCTCCTTCGCCTCAAGCTCCCTCCTCCTCTGTGCCAGATGTTCCAAGTGCTGCCGTACTGGCGTTATCAGCCTCCTGCTTTCATACCATTCGCTTCTGGCATCTTCCACGATCTTGTTCGCAACGTAGTTGTCGGCATGTCTTTGCCGGTCACGACGGTATTTTGATCCAAGCTCCTCTGCAATGCTTTGAGGAAATGGCGCATTCAGGACTTCTGGTATATAGGTGTCTTCATTCACATGTAGTCGTGGCGTATCGCACATGTGGCGCGTTCGCTCGGGCACTGCCTCGGCGGGCCAGGGGATCTCAATTCGTGTACCGCCAATGTAGCGCGTATGTTCGGGTATGGTAGAAGCCGGCCCATGATCGTAGATAGGATAGCCTCTTTCTAGGTAGCGGACGATTATGTCTCGATCTAAGCCTTCAGGCTTGAACACCAGCCGTACATCTTCAATGGGAAAAGGGAGTTCGATCGTTGAGATCTTTCGTTCCCTCAACTCAGTGTTCGCGGATGGGGGCAGTTTGATGTCGGCCTGGTTCAAGTAGTTAGCATTTATAATAGGTACGAGACCATGTATTTACCATGTTGACGCCCGAGATCGTCACAGTTCCTTCTTTCTTCCTGACCTCGACAACTTCCCCAATTTGGCCCAGATGCGGGCCCTTCCTGACCACGCAGACTCGATCACCAGCTACAATGTTGCCTCGATTGCCAGAAAGCGCGGATTTGTCCTTTTTCACGTGACTGGGGCGCGACCAGACTGAGAGCTCTCTTGCTGATATAGATCCGAGTGAGCCTCGATCAAGGCCTGCATCGCGGTCAGGAGCCAGTGGTCCAGCCATCCAGTCCTCTCGGCGAGCCTTTCTTTCACTGCGTGATCGCTGATTGAGGCCAGCCTGGTGAGCATGCTGATATGCCCAGTATTGCTTGTCCGCATCCTTCTGCTTTCTCAGAACCGCAGTCCGCACCTTCTTCACTGCTTGTTTCTGAGCTTGGGCATTGATGCGAAGAACCTTCTGCATGGCGGGCAAGCCCAGAGGGTCGTTGGGAAACGGATCGCAAGCAACAGGCTAGTGATGATGAAGGGACAACTCAGGTGTTCAGCATTGAGCGTAGTCTCGGAGTTGTATTGAGATGTGCACTGATGGGATGCTTCTGTCCAGGAAATTTCGCGCCGAAGCTCCACTCCACCCCGAGTGCCAAGCCCGACCTGTCACCAGCTTACCCAGTCCTTCAATTAGACTACATTCAAGTTGCTGGACGACTTGCCGTCAATGATTCCTTCGATTGCTGGAGCTGGCGTACTACATGTTCTCATGGACAGTCGTATTTCATGAACTCGAAATGCCCGTCACCACTACTTTGCCTACCGCTTTGCCTGATTTCATGCGCATGATCGCCCTGGGAGCGTCCTCGAATTCGAATACCTCGTCAATGACACTCTTCAGTCTGCCCTGGGCTACCCAGTCTCGAATTTCTTCCAAAGCGTGCAAGTCCTCATAAGCCAGGACGAATTTCCACTTTCTCCGCACGCCACCAAGCCACCGAGGCCTCAACCAGCTGTCCAGCATCGACCAGACACCCCAGATGTTATCGTCGCTGGCTGCAAGCAGGACAAACTGACCCTCTTCCTTCAGAAAACCCTCAGATTTCCGGTGCAGGCTGAGATCCCTTCCAACGTTGTCCACCGCAAGATCAAATTCCTGCATGGTGCCTGCTTTGACTCGTCTCGCCAACTCGCTTCCGACGTCACTTCCCAGCTTGGTGTAGTCGAGAACCTCGTCGGCTCCTAGACTCCTGCATAGCTCCACGTTTCTCTCAGAGCAGCTGACCACGGTATAGCATCCCAATAGTTTTGCGATCTGTACGGCGAATGTGCCTACACCTCCAGAACCGCCGTTGATGAACACACGAGCGCCCTTCTTTCGGTCAATGAACGGGACAAGCGTTTGATATGCCGAAATCGCTCCTGTGCCTAGGGCAGCGGCATCATCATAGCTGACACCTTTCGGAATCTCCACGATACACGCGCTCTTAGCCTGCATATATTGTGCAAGACTTCCATGCTGTGAAGGCATGTCCAGTCTACCAAATACACGCTTTCCGTCCCGTGGACCACCAACAGCTCGACCTGAAAAATCAAGACCAGGGCTGGCAGGTTTCGGTACCAAAGGCCACGACATCCACAGTCTTTCGGCCACTTTGATTTCTCCGGGATTCAGTGACATGCTGACAACCTCGACCAGCTCGTATCCTTGCTTCTCCTCGAGCAATGCGGGTGGAACCGGCTCCTCAACGAGCTTTATTGCGTTTTCTAGGCCGGCACTGGCCGAGTTGTATTTCCATGCCCGCATTGACTCTGGCATACTGCCTGCTCCCTTCTGGGAGGCCATCAACAATCGAATTTAAAGCTGCTAGTGCTCTTCCTGGCGCACAGAGAGATGATTGAATACAACGATCTCTAGCTGTACGGGGAGACTCCTTATGGTCGTGCCAAGACGGTCAAACTTGCGGCCGAAGTCATTACTCAGCATCCCATAAGGGCGCGCATACTTTCTCGGTATGTTCGGTCGAAGAAATCATTGCTTGAGAGCAGATATAACCGCGTCTTCGAATCGATCAGGCCGAAACTGTCGGTCGGTTGTGGTGATGTAATACTAATGGAAGAGCTTCGTCCGAACGGGCAACCATTTCCGATGGTGCCTCACGAATCTCCGCCGGCCTGGAATTCGTCCGAAAAGATGCTTTGACAGATGTCCTTTTTACATACTGACTGGCTGTAGGTTGGACAAGTTAGAGCTGACTATTAGGCATTTCTTGTCTGCAAATGTCGCCGTCGACAAACCATGACAGATAGCGGTCAAGATTCGTCCTCATCTAGGCCGTTGAGTGTGCGCAATGTTAAGGCCTGACGAGATACTCGTGGATCCGCATCACATCGCCTACACGAATGGTTCTGCCATAATGTCACGTCTTAAGTCTTGGAGCGCGACTCTGCCCAAGATCTAACGAGTAGCTTATATTATCCAACCTAGGGGTTTCGGGACATGTCGCATGGCTAACACTCTGAATAAGCTGTACTGCCCGCTTTCCCGAAATCAAAGGCGGGGCGAACCCCAAGCCCAAAAGTTGGAGAAAGCACTGACCTTGCAGCGGTGTTGCAGCGAACGTCAGCATACAGTGCTATCGAGAAGATATTATGCATCTACATGTCGCCTGCGGCGGAAACCCTCCCAGACCTCCGCACCAACGGGAGGCCGCGCCAACGGCTCGGGCGTTTACGGGGCCCCAAATAGGCAGAGTAGGCAAGTTTTGCAGCTCGTTAGCCTCTGGCGTCTTCCAGTTCCCGCTCGCCCTCCGCGTATACATTGGAGTTACGAATAGGCATGGCTGTGGTATAAAGTTGCACGACAGGCTTCAATTCGGCTATCTGTGCCATTCCTCACTCTACGCCAGACTTGCAGCTTTACATAACTAATCCGTCTCATAAATACGAACGTTTATCACATCGCTGGGGAATCGTACAGTGCACGATGGCGCCCACCAATATTCAGGGATCAGTAACGGCGTGGTCTTCAGGAAGTGGCTCGATCAAGACGGAAGATGGGAAGGAGTTTACCTTCACACAGGAAGACATTGCTCCCACACGATGTACGCAGATCCTGTCTTTTCGTTAGCCCGCTAGGGACACTCTATCCAGATCCTGGGGCTTGTCAACTTTCCACAACTTCCGGGCATTGTCGAGCATGATTGCTGATGCAGACCTAGTTTCGGGCCCATACCAACCCAAAGTCGGTGACAAGGTGATCGGAAATGCTAAGTCCGGGAGCGAAGGAACCATAACTAACGTCATGGAGTTCTTGTGTAAGTTCCATAGGATCTGACATGTACTAGGCTAACGACTGTCCTTACATGCAGAAATGGCAGCGCTCATAGTTGCATGATTTTACGATTCCTCGAATGCGTGTTGCGGCTCCTCTATAGTGCATATGTACAGCAGGTCCAGCTAGAAAGCCAGAATTCGTTTGCCACAAAGGCACCGGTCAAGCACGCTACTTCACGTCTCCGAAACCACTTGTTTCACAATCACCAACACTGGAACATCTTACACCAGTTGTCTAGTATTCATTATTCTTACGATCCACCTCAACCAGTCGAAGATATCTTCTAGGGTGGAAGGCCATGCTCTGCTCGACCGGCCGTGATCGCTTCAAGACATTCTCTCACGCTCGGCCTGGACTTCATCTCATCCAGCCACTTCACGTAGTTTGGAGATCGGTCCAGCACTTCCGCCGTTCCCAGCTGCTTGAACAACCCATCGGCTACATGTGCCCATGTAACGAAGCTGAGATCCGCATAGGTACATTTGTCGCCGACCAGCCATTTGGACTTCTCAAGACAGCTGTCCAGCACCTTGACCAGTCGCTCCGCTTCCTGTGCATAGCGATCGATGGCCGAAGGCAGTTTCTCGGCATGGAATCGGGCGAACCAGGCGAGTTGCCCTAGACAGGGGCCTTGTCCACTGGCTTGAAACAAGAGCCACTGCTGCGTTTCCATCCTATCTGCTTGAGTGTAATTGGAGATCTTGCCCTCGGTATCATACTGTTCGACTAGATAGAGGATGATCGCACCGCTCTACATCTCATCAGCAATGCCTCCAAGCAGGAAAGTCACACACCTCCCATAGTTTGACGCCGGTGTTCGGATCCTCAATGGCTGGGAGTCGTCCGTTGGGGTTGACGCTAATCAAGGGCTCTTTCTTGACATCTGAAAGCTCGATCAAGCGATGAGTGTACGGCAGCTTGAGTTCTTTGAGGATGATGATGACTTTCCTAGAGCAGATTCCTTAGCATGGCTCATACTGCCATGGTCGATACCCACCATGGGTTAGGTGCTCCCCAATGGCCCCAGACAGTTATTGGTTGCATCTTCGAGGTGCAATATGTTCTCAAATCGAGTGACTGAAAGTAAGCTGGTATTTGTTGGGAGATGATGCTGTATTTCTCTCATCAGAGGCTTCGATTGCTTGCACCTTTGTTATCCTTCACTCAAGGCTGCCATACCGGTAAGGTTGATATAATTGGCTGCCTGAAGACGCTACTGTCCTCGCAAACGCAGTTCCGCACTGGGTCCATCAGAGTTGCGCTACCATTTTCGCCACCCTTATACGGAGACACTGAAAAGAGCGGAGATAACCTGTCTCCGAGCTGACATATCTCATACAATCAGCATGGAACGTGTCGGAATCTGTTTTCTGGCAGTCTCGAAGGAGCTCTCCTGCACAGCACATGGCGGACAGCCTTTGGATAGCACGTACTATAGTTCCGCCTATCTAGTCTCCACCACGTGAGGCGTATGAAGTCAGTGAAGCAGAGTTGCCTGAGCTGCAAAGCCAGACGTGTCAAATGCGACGGCGATCAACCGCTTTGTCGAACATGTGCAAGATTTGGCACGCCTTGTATGGGGTATACGACCGGGCTCCACGATAAATCATCTCAATGGCAATCTACATATCGCGCGGGCGGATTGACCGCCCGCCGTCAACCTGTGCCGCTACGCAGGGCAATTCGATTCACGATCATTCCAGAAATGGTCATGACACAGCTTGTCGTTCCAGCATTGACCATGGGTGGGCTTTCAAGTCCGGTATGGTTGCTGACGAGTCTCGAAACAACGCTTGCCCAGCCTCTCACGCAGAGCGGTCACCTGCTACTGGAAACATTCAGCCTGCTATGTATGAGCCTGGAGTGCATGAGAGATGATTCGCAGAGTAGGAAAGGCCGAATCAGAGCGCATCAGGCTTACAAACGCTGCATTTCTACAACCCAGAATTGCTTACGCGATAAATTCGACGGCGAAAGGGCCCTCACCAGAGCTGTATACCTCTTAGCCTTGTTCGAAATGTCTGTTGACGCCCATTGCGAAACATCCTGGCGGCAGCACTTTTCAGGCTTCATGGCTTTGTCAACATCTGAATCCGGGCTACTAGGATGTGGAGCAGATAGCGATATGCTTGCTGCAGGCCTGGACGATACGATGGTAAGGCTACGACAACTAGCACCTCAGCTTGACGCTGTGCTCATCGGGGTCAATCACCCAAGGCAGCTTGATGTCCGGAAATTACGATGCGAGGTTCGGAGGATTCACAAGACATTACTCATCATGAAGGCTATGCGAGAGCGAAAGCTGCATCCTTTTTTCAACGATGCCAGCGCTCTTGGTACCGTCAAGTGGCTCAATGTTTGTACATGCCTGCTGCTGACGACGAATTTTCTGTATGAAACCAAAACGTCTTATGCTCGATGCTCGTCCGAGCCACCAACGAGAGAGCAGCGCAGACTTCCGGCTCTACAGCAAGAGCTCGTGTGGTGTAGTTACCAATACTCTGCAATCTTGCTCGGATGGGAGCCCAATAGTACTCTGCACCAGGCCGAGTATGCCGATCATGGCCTGTACCCATGTATTCGACAGCGAGCGCCAACTATGCTTCAAGGCCTGCTGACGCTACACCCGCTACGCGTTGCGCTAGCCCAAGCCATCCCTGGATCAGCAATTTCAGAGGCCACTTGTAGCATGCTCTGCAGGATGGGGAGCCTTTGTTACTTGCCCAGAGCGGTGGTGGTGAGCTCAGCTTATCCGTTGCGAGAAGCAGTCAACTACTCAGAAGTCCTGGACGGGCTTATCTTGCTGTCAAAAGGTTTCGCGCTTGGTCCTTGCTCGACGTAGAGAAACAGTGTGGACCGGACCTCGAGTCCTCTAATAAGAGTGCTATTGGCTATGACAGAGGTCAGGAATGATGCCCTGGAAAGCCCCATATCACGTTGTCTGCGAACTAGAGTGGGCGGAAGATTGTATAATAGAGACATGACTGAAGGCTTAGAGGGCACCACGGCACTGTGCCGCTGTGACTTGAGCAATGTCCTGTTCGAGAGGAAGATGGCTCCTGTAAGGACAGCCGACTGATAGTTCAGCATTTCGTGGAGGTCTGTTGTTTTTGTGGTCCGAACAAGGCAGGCGTCTTGCATACTGGTGGATAAGGCGGATCTCTTCCATGATTGACTCTACATACTAAACTTGTGATTCCGGGCATGTGCGAGCCCGGCACCCAAGCGTCGCTCACCTGCACACCATTCAGTCCAACTAGTTGACTCGCCAATCAAGCCTACGAGTGGGGCAAACTCGGTTCAGTCGTCAACGAGGCCGAATGAGATTCCATCAGGGGATTCATGGTCTGTTCTTCATTGTCTGACAATTCTGAACGTTTGACGAAGGGAAATTCTCCACGTCAAAGTCTGGTTGGAAGTTATACACGAATACGAGGATTGAAGCGCCCACTCGTGATGTTCGGGGTCTGGCCGGTTCGAGCAAGTCTGGGCATCAGATCAGTTGTAAGATCTCGCGATAGATCACAGCTAGACCCTAGCGCTCGCATTGACTCATGCGCTCTCCCCGCTTCGAGTATCCAGTCAATGTGGAGTGCCGAAGCAGGTGCTGTGCATGACGTGCAAGCGGCTCCCAATAACAGCACACTGGGCCGTCGGTAGGAGGTGGAAAGCTGAGGTCGGTCTCTTGACCTCGTATATGAAGGATCTGGGCTTCGGTTGTTTCAGTTTATGAGGACAGTCTCGTAGAACCTATGGGCAGCGCGGACACTGCGTGACGTGCTTTCGCAGGAGCTGATAAACGCAAAGACCTCCACCTCACCTCAAAACTTTATGCTGCCTGAGAAGCAAGCTCCTGGAAATTTGTAACCCAAGCATTGCACGCAGCTCATAACCACCATGTCGCCATCTGCAACATCCAACGGGACTACCAACGGTGCCACAAATGGTGCCCACTCTGTCCTTGACTGGCACAGCTTCTGCAATGTCATCGATGGCAAACTCACCACGACGGAGAAGACTCGAACGGGAATCAATCCTGCGACCTCCGAGCCCAATGATCCTGTCCCAGTCTCGACTCCAGAAGACGTCGATCGAGCTGTCGCTGCCGCGGAGAAAGCATTCCCGAGCTGGGCAGACACGCCTTACGGCGAGCGCAGAAAGGCCGTTAACGCCTTTGCTGATGCGCTTGAGGGTGAGAAGGAGAACTTCGCGAAGCTCTTGGTGAAGGAGCAGGGCAAGCCAGTGGGTCAAGAAGCGTTAGTCGACCTAATAAGTATGCTGAACTTATCTAGCTCCACTTTGCGCGTTTCGAGATCGACTTTACCTTGCAGATCATGCGCACAGTGACCTCTTTCGACCTACCTACTGAAGAGATCGTGAACGAGCCAGACAGGCGAGTCCTTGTGCGCTATGTGCCGCTTGGCCCCACGGTCGGCATTGTTCCCTGGAACTATCCCATTCTCCTTGCGTGTGGTAAGATCGCCCCAGCCCTACTTACGGGCAACACCATCATAATCAAACCCTCTCCGTTCACGCCGTGCGGAGATCTGAAGCTGTGTGAGCTTGGGCAGCGCTTCTTCCCACCCGGAGTATTGCAGTGCCTGTCAGGCGATGACAATCTTGGTCCCTGGATGACTGCACATCCTGGTCCGCGCAAGATCAGCTTCACGGGCAGCTCTGCGACAGGGAAGAAAGTCATGGCTTCGGCTTCTGCGACACTCAAGCGAGTCACGCTTGAGCTTGGCGGAAACGACCCAGCCATCGTGCTGGATGATGTGGACGTTGAGCAAGTAGCACCGAAGATTGCCACTCTGGCTTTCCTGAACAGTGGCCAGATTTGTCTTGCGCTAAAGCGAATTTTTGTGCAGGAGGGAATCTATGACAAGTTCAGGGACGCAATGGTCCGATATACCCAGACCCTGAAGATGGGCGAGGGCAATGAAGATGGGGTCTTCCTTGGGCCCATCCAGAACAGTATGCAGTACGAGAGGGTGAAGGGGTTCTTTGCAGAGATCGAGCAGCAAGAGCAGAAGGTGGCTGTGGGGGGCAAGAATCCGGATGGGAAGGGGTACTTTATCACGCCTACCATCCTTGAGAATCCGAAGGACGAGAGTAGGATTGTGACAGAGGAGCCATTTGGTAAGTTGTCGCTGACCGCAATGTGGGCCTCGCTCTGTGTTCCCGTAACGCACCGTGAGACTGGGCATGAGATGCTAACGGACCTGGTGTAGGGCCTATCGTGCCCCTTCTGCAGTTCACAACCGAAGAGGAAGCAGTCGCGCGTGCGAACAAGACGAATCTTGGACTGGGAGCTTCGGTTTGGTCCGGCAACGTCGAGCGTGCCAACAAATTGGCGGCCAAGTTGGAAGCGGGCAATGTTTGGGTCAACACCCACTTCGAGCTGGATCCCAGGGCGCCGTTTGGTGGACACAAGGAGAGTGGAATTGGTCTCGAGTTTGGTATGGGAGGCTTGAAAGGCTGGTGCAACAGCCAAACATTGTACCTGAGGAAGTGAACGGTGGGTATGTCTCTTGGGAGATCATGACGAAAGGGGCGCCGTTAAAGGGCGCAAGATTGACCAAGTTGTTGGCAAAGCCCGATGTCGGGACTTGGAGTTCGTGTGTCAAATGTAACGCCAAAAGGTCTGTGTGGCTATTTGCTTCTGTCGGCATCGGACCAGGCTGAACGCGTGTCGTAGAGGCCTCTTCATCCGCGGGATGTTTTTCGCAGCAAGCCCTCGTCTTGACGTCCTTCAGGATGCTTTCGGTGGTCTTTCGCACGCTCCTTCCGCTCGCTTGCCAGCTACAGATTCCCCCTACTTCCACGTCCGCACTGACTTCGGCTCGTGGCACACATGCTCGCGGTCGAGAAGGACTGAGGGTATCTAGGCTCGCTCTGTAAGATCGACTTTCCGCCCCCGCTGATGTCCGCGATGCCACGCCGTGATTTCAAGGCGGGGCTCAAACTCAGTTTAAGCTCAGCCGGAGGGTTTCTGATGACCCACCAGAGCTAATAACAAAAATTGACGATGTCAACCCCGGATCTTGACATCGAACCTGTGGAGAGCCCGTGCCGGTCCAGCAGGTCGATTGCGAGGTCTTCGGATGCTCAAATACGCACTGTCCGTTGATTCCTCACAATATTTCAGCATCGACCACCATGTCTCTCTCCGAACGAAGCCAGAGACGTCTCAGCCGCGATGAACAAGTGGAGGAGGATGCTGTGGCCTTGGAGGACCTCGGCCATTCGCAGGAGCTTGTCCGCCAATTCAGTCCATGGAGCATGTTTGCGCTTGCCTTCACAGTGTTGGGCACGTGGTCTACACTTGCGCAGAATCTCTCGACAGGAATCAGCGCTGGCGGACCCGTGACAATCCTTTGGGGCCTCGTCCTGGTCACCCTCTGCAACCTCTGTGTTGCAGCCTCGCTGGGTGAGCTCCTGAGCGCCATGCCAACTGCGCTCGGCCAAGCATTCTGGGTTTACAGCTTCTGGCCGACTCCTCAGGGACGCTTTCTTTCCTACATGACGGCTTGGATCAACACCTTTGGCTGGTGGACGATCACGGGCTCGCAAGCTGCCTTTATGGCGGAGTTCATCCTCGCAATGAAGGTTCTATTCGACGAAGATTGGGCTCCAGCAGGATGGGGCTGGGTTTCCTTTTTGCTCTACATTGCCATCATCCTCCTACTCACCGTCGTCAATGTTGTTGCTTGCCGCAGAGACAAGGTTCTGCCGTGGATCAATAGCGTGGTTGGAGCAATGTTCATGCTCTTGTTCGTCGTCTTCGCCCTGGCTCTCATCATCAGCACCGGTGTCAGGCCTGGAAAACGGTTTCAGCCAGGCTCATTCGTCTTCGGCAATTGGAGGAACGAAAGCGGTTGGCCGGGCGGCGTGATCTGGTTCACCGGCCTTGTTCAGTCAGCATACGGTCTCACGGCCTTCGACGCGTGTATTCACATGGTCGAGGAGCTGCCGTCACCCAGCAAGATGGGTCCACGCATTGTCTGGATGTCTGTCTTGACCGGCGCAATATCAGGCTTCATTTTTATGATGGTCTGTCTCTTCTGCATGCAGGACTTTGACAACATCCTCTCCGCCGACTACCCGTTCATCGAGCTTTGCGTTGAGACAATCGGATTGACTGGAGCTGCCACTCTATTGGCACTCTTCATCGTGAATGGCGTCGGACAGAATCTGAGCCTGGCAACCACAGCATCCCGCCTGACATGGAGTTTCGCCCGAGACGGCGGCGTTCCATTTTATGCATACTTCGCCAAAGTCGACCCCTACTGGAGAGTACCAGTTCGCGCCACGTGGGCTCAAGGGGTTATTGCTGGGCTAGTCGGAGTCCTCTACCTGTTCGCCGACACTGTTCTTGAAGCCATCCTCAGCGTCAGCACCATCGCTCTCACGATCTCCTACGCGATCCCGATCATTGTTCTACTTGTTGTCGGGCGCGAACAGCTTTCTCCCTCACGCCCTTTCAATCTTGGACGGTTAGGAACACCTTTTAACATTGTGTCAATTATATACTGCGGTGTGACGACCGTGTTCTTCTTCTTCCCAGATGGACCGAATCCGAGTATTGCGGATATGAATTGGGCGATAGCCGTGTTCGGCGTGATGTTGGTTATTTCGGTTGGCTTCTGGTTCATCCAGGGCCATCGCTCCTATCTGCAGACCGACACTGCAAATATCGGAATCATGATAGCGCGACAAGAATCGGGAGCAGTGAGACCGAAACACCCCGACGAAGATTCGCGCCCGGTGATCAAGAAGTAATTCTCGGTTGATAGCTACATCAAGGATAGACCGGTGTTTCATCAACGGTACAGCTAGTTTCGTCGAAATACATTTAGCATCCTCGCAATCATGCTTATTGGCCTTCGCATGCTATTGGTCGTAGGTCTACGGCAGCATTGATCGACTCGCTCGATAGAAACCCCGGTCCCTCGGGATCGTTCGGCTAGAGATGCTCAAAAAGGCTAGCATGGCGGTGTTGTTCGCGAGGTCAGAGCTCCGCATAGACCCCACCAATTTGGCCACCTCCATCACTTCCACCACTCCGATCAATCATTACCATCTTGGATCATGTTAGTCTTTCTGTATTTGTCTGACGCCGACCGGTGATGAGGAAACCGACTACCTGAGCCTGGGCCTGGTCGACTACCCTAGGGTCGTTTTTGGCCTATCAATGCGTCACTCAGGAGGCATATGCCCCCTGAGGCTTCCGTCGGTATTCTGTGGCCCGTTTCTTCTCGGCTCAGACCTTTCCTGCGCCAAGAGCTTCCGGGACGCCCGTCCCTTCTACCACGTGGGCAGCGAGATGTTCGTAGACTGGAATCTCGGCCAACCTCTCGACAATGTGATGAAGGGTCGGTAGCTTCTCCTTGTCTCTGGCATCGAAGACGAAAGCTGCGCTTCCCGCTGTCCAGACCTGGTCGACCTTTACATCGAGATTGGCTGGCACAGTTGTACTACTAATAGAGTGGTCCAGGTTGAGCTGACCTTTGCAGCCTATACCGGCTTCAGGCACTTGACGGTGAATCAAGATGCTCTCGTCAGCACTGTAACCTGGGATGTAGCCAGCGCTCGCGTCATCGACGGCGAGTCGAAGGTCTGATAAGTCAAAGCTTCCCCACCCAACACCACGCCATCCAGCCCTTATCAAGTACGATTTCTCACTGCGGTCCACGGAAATATCCGAAAATACCACCGGTGTACCGAATTCTTCCCGTTCGGAGGTGATCGACTCGGCCAAATATTCGAACAGAACCGGCATGTACGTACCCTTCGTTGTTCTACCATCACTCCCGGTGTACTCTACCCCATGGATATACAGTCCGAGACGGGAATGTCCTTGACCACCCAACCATTTCAGGCCATCTAGGGTCGTCTGACTGAACGAGCAACGTGCGAACGTCCCAGGCGAGCTGAACTTCCAGCCGTTCGAACCTGGTGGAAACATGTTCTGCAAGACGGTCCTTGATGTCTTGATCGTGATAGTGGCCGTAACGAATCTTGGTGGTGTGTCAGTTCTTGACCTGTCGGCGTCGTTTGATCTCGGTCCAGGCATCGGTCCAAACGCCACGGGTCCTCTTGAAGAACACGACGGATACTTCGACCACTTCCACTCCCGAAGCTTCTGGCTCGAATTGTCATGTTCGTCGTAGCCAAAGTTGTATCCCACGAACTCCATCACGTTGATCTTGGCCGTCTCGCCTGGCTTTAGGTCTTCACCCGCTAAGCGCGTGTACTGCTGCAGTCTGTCTGCACGTCCTTTACGGATCTGTTGATATAAGGTTAGCCGGTCTTGGACCTCCTCGGATCTCAGGCCCCGCTCCAAGACTACGCTCAGTGCAACTGCATCTTCCATGGCCACCGCTCCGCCTTGCCCCTGATGCGGCAGGAATGGATGTGCGGCATCCCCGAGCAGTGCCAAGCGGCCATGGGTCCACGATTCCAGAACCTCCTACCCTATTTCAGTATGCACAAGTTTTGTGAAGGGATCTGGCCTTACCATGTCCAGCAGTGTCCATATCTTCAAAGAACTCTCATCGACCTTGGTCAAAATAGCCTTGAAATCGTCATGGAAATCCTCGTAGACACGAAGCAGCATCTCCCGAGTCGCTTTGTTGTTCCAATCGCCGCTGGAAGCCGAACCTGTCTCAGCCTCTGGATGGATACAGACTAGGTTCAACAAGGTGTTGTTGCTTGTCGGATACATCACTATTCTGCGATCCTGGTGATACACCATGACCAGCTCGCCGTCGCATTCCGCATACGGTCGTGTCTGTGGATCGTCCACGACGACTTGTCGTGGTATCAAGAACCGAAATGCGCTTTTGCCACTGCCAAATGGCTGATGATCTGCCCCAGCCAGCAGACTCCTTGAGACTGCGTGGACTCCGTCCGCACCAACGACAACATCCGCATGGATCTCCAGGCCTTCGGCCGTCGTGACGCTGGCGCTCTGAGCGTCTACGCTGACGACTGGCGTGGCGAGACGCAATTCCGCGCCTTCCTTCAATGCGGTATCCTTAAGAGTGGTATGCAATTTGACGCGGTGCCCCAGTCTCCATGGCTGGCAACGTGTTAGGTAGAACGAGCGGGATATGACTGGGCGCCTACATGCTGCCAGAGGCCTGCAGAGCTCGAATTGTCAATTGAGTTCAGCTTATGTGCCCCTGCGGTATACGAAGTCACCTATATGGTCAGCAGGTCCCACGCGGAGGACCTTACGACGTACCCTGAGACAAGGATTTGCTCCTATTGCCGAAGCACTAATACCCATAAGCTCCAGCAAACCACCAGCATTCGGCGGGATGTGAATAGCGGCGCCAAGCTCGATAGAGAACTTGCTGGACTCGCATATCTTGCGTACAAGTCAATTCAACAGTGGTTGGAAATTTCGACAAGCAGCATACTATGACTTTGTGACCTTGCTGCCTGAGGAGGATAGCAGCGGATAGTCCACCGATGCCGGCGCCAATAACCACAACCTTGAGTCCTTCCTGACCATTTACTGCGTCGCTCATCGTCTTTAGTGGAATGCCAGTCGTGCTTAGGCTTGTGTGGGAATAACGAACGGAGAAGCTGTCGACGCTGAAGGGTTCGGCCTAACCTGAGCCTGTCTTTTATCGAAGCGACCGTATAGCCCCAACGTGCCCCTCAATACCCCAGAGCCGCCAGGGTTCGTGGCAACGAATTATTCATGCCTACCCGTTGTGGATCGCGTGTTTTCCAGTTCACGAGGCGGTTCGGTCATGTGGGGGAAGTGCGCGACCACGAAGCCGATTGGCGAGCAGCCGAAAGTTGACTTCCCAACTACTCAAGCCATGGTATTGGACCTCGGGTGGTTGGAAGAACACCAAACGGAGCTGTCGCCATACTGTCTACGACATTTGCATTAAGCTCTTGGGATGACTGGCAGCACTACATAATTCTCCCACTTCGGTCCAAAGTGAATGTGGTTCAACCCGGCCAGTCGCTCCCGCGGTCGATCATCTGTACCCATATGTGTGAAGATACCACTACCCTGTGTATCGCCACTAGCGACCTCGAGGACCAGTTTTGCGCCTTTGTCCATCACAACATTCGTGGGCCAAATTTCAACATCCACTGGGTAAACCTCTCCGACAAGTACTGGTAGAACGTCAGTAGAGAAATAGTCCCGATATGGCAAGTAGGGTCGATGTTTATGGTGCTGCTCGTTGACCTTGCGCATCGAGACGCGTAACCAGCCCTTACACAGAGGAACGGGATCTCCCGCTGTGCCTGTGTAGAACACCTCTTTCCCTGCAGGCGAGACGTGTCTCAGTGTAAGGAACAGGTCAATGTTGGAGGGTAGGGACTTTCCAACGAAGGACGTGACCGAGACGTTGAGATGCGCGACAATGTGCCCAGTAATCTCAATCTCGCTCTCCATCGGCGGCGTGCTGAAGCTGAGCAGCTTCGGGTCATCCAAAGTGCTAGGCGCTTCGTAGGACAACTTCATCGCATGGTCAACTGCTGGAACTCGCGTGTGGAGCATTCGTTCTGGCGACAAATAGTACTTCGTGTACTGTGTTCTCGCGATCGGCCAGGAATCCTCTGTCCGGCGAGGAAAGGCCTGTTCCTTTTCGGGGTCATTGAAGCCAAGATCGCCCTTCCGTAAGACCATATCCACCGGCGGCAGCTTTCCAGGCACAGACCATCCTATCCGGTCGTCACCTTTGAGGAAAGCATCCAAGAAGCTGCGCTGAATGTCTACCTCGTCGTGGTAATAGAAAGGAAGATCGTGGCGACCGACGATGAAGCGGAGGTACTTGAATTTGGATCCAGCGTGAGTCCACCCCTCGACATTGCCGCGCAGATGGAGCAGGATGCCACCCCAGTTGGCAACACTTAGCAGTGGCACCTCTATACTGCTCAAGTCGTACTCTTTAGACGCATAATATAGTTCATTGCGCCACGAACTGGCCGCGTTGTCGATCGTCTGGTCATTCCTCATCTGCTCGCGCTCTTCTTCTCCCAGGTCACCTTCAATCGTGTCTGGACCCCAGTTGCTGTCTTGCCGTCCAGGCCGCCCATACTGATTTGTGATGACCTGTCTGTTCCACCAAAACTTGATGAAGCTGTCAGACAAGATTCCACCGTGTCGGCAACGATCACGATAATAGTCGCTCATACCTTCCCACGGCACAATGGCAGCAAGACCCTTTGGCTTCAGTGCAGCGACTCTCCATTGGCTTCCAGCATAGTAGCTGATGCCCAATAATCCGACCTTGCCGCTCGACCATGGCTGTTCAGCAGCCCATTCCACAGCATCGAAGAAAGCCTCTGAAGTGCCGCGAGACATTGTGTCAAGGAGGCCGGGTGACTGACCCGAGCCGCGCTCGTCGACTCTTACAACTGCGTAGCCGGCTTTGGTCCAGAATTCGGGATCTGGCGTTTCCCATGCCGAGTGGTGCGACTTGTGCTCGGGATTGACCTCCGCGTAGGATCTGGGGTGGAAGTCGGCATAGGGGATGTCCTTCCCGTAAGGTCCATACGTCATGAGCACAGGGAACTTGTCATGATCTTGCGGCTTGGGACGATATACGTTACAACGGACGACTCCCTCGCTGCTCTTCAATGGTATGGTGACATTCTGTTCGTAGACATAGCCATACGACGTGCTATCAACGGTCGAGATGTCTCTCGGATCGTTCGGCATCTTCGAGTATTTCCCAGCAGCAGTCTCTCATCGAATCTCACGAATACGTTGTGCTGAGCCGCCAGGCTTTTGAAGCAGACCACTGCCGTACTGTGGGACCAATCGGAAAGTGCGGGGGAATGTCCAGCCGCTCGGTACACAGCATCTCCAAATGCACAACCATATGTCCACGCTTCGATGTACCCGAGACCACGATGGCCAGCCTTAAACTCTGCAGCACATATCGGGCAATCATCACACAACGACATCGATATCAAGGACAATATGACCGACCAACAAAAGAACTTAGCTAATGGACTCCCACAAACTTTCCGGTTCATCACGGATCACAACAGCGATGGCAAAGCCATTTTCTCTGATAGAATACCGGAAGGCCAGCCCTGGGTTCCTGTCGATGGGCAAGCCAATTTCGCGCTCAATTATACTACAAGTCAGTATCCTGTAAGCTTCAAAGACAACAAGGACTTGGCACAGTACGAAGGCAATCTTACGGCGAAGCCTGGTCTGGTAGTACCTGGAGGCTCAGTGTTGCGTGTCGTCGATCTGATGCCTGGCGGTGTGTCAGCAATGCATCGCACGGTAAGCCTCGACTACGGGGTTGTGCTCGAAGGCGAGATCTACTTGGAGCTCGACTCAGGTGAGAAAAGGCTCATGCGCCGGGGCGACATTTCTATTCAGCGAGGAACCAACCATGCCTGGAGAAACAATAGCGATAAACAGTGGGCGCGTATGATGTACGTCTTACTGGAAGCCGAGCCGATGCAAGTTGGGGACAAATTTCTTGGGGAAGACCTTGGTGAGATGAAAAACGTCCGATCATCAGGGTGATGTAAACGCGGACGACGTTACATTGAGTAAGAACGCGTGCGAGAGAGCCCTTATTCATAGTCAATACCTCCGCCCGAGCGTGCTTCGTTTCACCGCTCGCCGCCGATGGAGAAGCGGAAGATGTTGTCGTTGATCCTCCCTCCCGTCTGCCTCCACACTTTCGATATACACTGTATCTCTCAGCATCATCTCATGACTTCTCATCTTAGCCACAACTCACCGCAACAATCCCGACTCCATTGAGTAGTGTCATAACAAATGCAGTCTCTATCGGAGAAGCTGCCCATGGCCGCTGTTCATGGTCAAGGGTGTAGTCGATTGGCCGATGAGGAGGAATGCCGTGGTGGTCAGTCGGCCACCAGGCAGGGTTGGACTCTGAAGTTGCTCTCGGCCTCTCATTGACCGAAGTATCAGCGGGGGCCTGCTCGCCCTCGGAATGGGTCAACTCGTAGTCTGCTAGCAGACGAATGACGCTCTGCGTCGATACATTAGATGTCGTCGTCACGCTCATGTTGTGATAACGATCTCTATCGTAGAGGAGTTCCATCGATTTCGCTGGAGGTTGCTCGGGCTTTGCCATGGCCATCCTGATCGGCAAAAGATGCGGTTGGGTGGAGTGGCGGTCCACTCTGCGATGTGGTCCCGAACCGGTCTCGAGCAGTGTGGCTGGGGGCGGGATTGGCCCTGCATCTAGTCGTCGCGACAAAGGCTTGTTACTAGCACTCAGGCATGTCAACGACGCTCTGCGAGATCGACGGCAAATGACTCAAGCAAAACGCAACAATGGACGAAAGAATGACCACCATCCAGGCATCCGTGATCGACGGTATTGCTCTGACGCCTCGGTTCCGGGAACGCAACTTGACTGCACTTCACAGCGCGCTCCAAGACGTCCGCGCTGAGTTGGTCGAGGAAATCAAGCAGCAGGGAGCCACAAATGAGGAAGCAATGTTCCAGTATCTCTTGACCTTGAATGCACTCAAGGAGTTTCACAGCACGGTTCACCCGCAGGCGTGCCAGGAGGCAGAGTACCGCGTGGCCCGATCGCAAGACCACCCCGACCAACGACGACCATATGGGTATGCGTATATCGTACCGGCGCACGTCGACGAGCTTTATTCGACAGTTGTCGCGGTCGCAGCGGCACTAGCTGCCGGCAATTGCATCCTTGTTCAGCGGCGCTCCGAGTCCACACGCTTGCTGCAGATACTCGAGAAGCTCTTGACTGGCGCGCTATCGCCAGAGGTGTTCGTCTTTGCATCCAAAGATCCGTTTGATACGATATTCCAGCAGCGCCATAGATCCGTATTGCAAGGAGCTCCTGCTTCAGATCTCAAGGGGGGATCCCCGCCCGTGGATGGACAGGTGGCTGTTGTTGTCAATCGAACGGCAGATTTGCGGGCTGCGGCACGAGACTGTGTACACGCTCGATTTGCGTTTGGTGGCACGTCGGCGTATGCTCCGGATGTCGTGCTCGTCAATGACTTTTGTGTCGATGAATTCGCTTCAGCAGTCGCGGAAGCCGCCTTGTCGTACCTGACCGGTCCTGCACACCACAACAATTCAGACCCTCGACCTCAGAAGCAAGTTCAGGAACCGCCAACAGATTTGAAAGAGATCCTCAAGACTAGTGGTACAATTCTTGCCGCTGGACACGGTGGTCAAGTGGTGTTGCTTCGTCAACGTAACAGCAAGTTGTTGTCTCACAAGGTGGACTCTCCGGTCCTGGTCATCCTCCCCATCACCAGCGTCGACGACGCCATAGACTGGCTCAATAGTTCCCCGTCGCCACTGGCAGCAACATACATCTATTCCACCCCTGCATTTGCGAAGTACGTCAGTCAATTCGCCCGATCCTATCTATCCTTGGTGAATCACATACCACCAGAGTTGCTGGTTGGTCCACGCGCCCCTTCCGCGATTACCACCTCGGTGCACCCGCGCTACACACCCGAGATGTTCTCAGTTGTCTCGCCCACCCTTATTGAGCATCCTCCGCATCTACAAGGACTAGACCGGGCCATCTGGTCTGATGCAGCCGGTGGAAATCGCAAGAAGCTACAAGATCTTTTAGAAACGAGATTGACGCCGGTGAAGGAGCCCTTTGGACCCGCTGTCGGCTTCTTCGAGCAAGGGTTTTTGGTGGGAGCAAGCCTAGTTTTGTCAAGTACGATCGCTTGCGGTGTACTGTCTATCAAGTACGGATATCCAGCTCTCATGGCCAGACTTGCGAGGTAGCGACTACGTACTGCTTAGAGCCATGGCTTAGTCTACACGCTCCCGGAATCAGGTGGATGGGCGGACAGTAAACATCCCACGCCCGCAGATGCACGTGTCGGTCATTGGCGGGCTCAAGTTTCTTACGCGGACCATGCTGCCGAATCGCCTCCACATACCGATGAGCCGTGGGTAGTGGCGGTATAGCGGTAAGACTGCAGTCACGTCAAACGTCTCCAAAGATCTGGTCTACAATAGCTTCAAGATAGTCATATAATCAGCATCACAAGCACTGGCCGTTGGGACGCGTCGCTCACAGTGCCATGGCCGAACCATGTAAGATTACTTCCTCGACTGTGGTCATGCTCCTGACACGATTACAGTGACACCAGTTCACTTCTTCTCTCACGGCAGCACGATGATGCTAGGGGAAGACTCAAGGTCTGCTGACTACTGGAAAGCCGCCGGAGATGCAGCGCTCGCCAACGGCGTCAAAGGCATCATCGTCATGGGCGCGCACTGGGATTGCAAGCAGGACCATGCTGTGCAGGTCGCCATGACGGCCGAGCCGGTCAAGCAACCCGTTGGCAATGTTCACCCTTCCAAATACGAACATTACAGGCTCAAACCAGATCTCGAGACCGGCGCACGCTGCATCTCCATGCTCAACGCTGCAGGCATCAATGCCAGTGGTAACGAATCTTTTCAGTGGATTCACGATGTCTTTTTAGTACTTGTTCGGATGTTTCCAGATGACAACACCTTGCCACCGACAACCATCATCTCGGCCAATGCCCGTTACGACCCGCACTTTCACGTCCGTGTTGGTGCCGCCCTGAGGCCACTCCGTGCGGAGAATTACCTCCTGATCGGCAGCGGCGGTGCCGTCCACAACTTATACCGCAACGTCTGGTATCCGATGCTGCTATACAAAGACAACTTCGCACAGCCCACGCCGCCAGAGCCCTGGGCATTGGAATTCCGGCAGGCTTTCCGGGACGTAGTGGAGCAGAATAGTGGACCTGCGCTCCGGCGAGGACTTACTAGGTTGATGAAGCACCCACATTTCAGAGATGCACACGCCACCGATGACCACTACATGGCTGCGTTGTTCGTCGCAGGAGCTGCAGGTGATATACGAGACGAGGGGAGCGTGGGCATGCTGATGGCGGAGGATTGGGAGTTGACCAATATGTGCAGTAAGTTGTTTAATTTTCCACTGAACGTGCCTTAGAGCTCCATCACTGACCTATTGCATAGATGCGCAGTTTACTTGGGGATCGTACTTGGCAGCAAGTGTTTGATTCTTAGACAGTCGATTTCAAGAAGCACCTCTTGACAGATACTGCTCCTGTACTACAGCGTTTCACCACCCTCAGACCGTGACCTTGGAAGCATAGATCTCCGCCACACGACTATGAGTGGATACGTTTCATGACGATCGCCGCATTTCCGAGCGACCGCATCAACTTGCTCAGGTTGGTGACTATAGGCAGCGCTGACCGCTCATCACTTCCACTGCCATTGGAGAGCAGCGCTGCAATCGAATTCATCACTCTCGCGGGATCGGTGACGGGAATCGTTGGAGCGGCGTTCGAGGCAAAGTCGCAGTAGTCTCGAATGCACGGTGAGCCTTGGCCCAAAACAAGAAAGCGCTGCAGATGAACAACGTCATCATTATCCAACCCCAGGATCATGGGCGGGCCGTATTCGCGACTCCTCGTACTCGGATCGAGGAGTATTCCATACGCCCACAACACCAAGCTGGCATGATAGACCGCGACCGCGGCGAAGCCTCGTAGAGTGCCAGTCTCAAGCTGCGTAGCGGCTTCCAGTGCTTGACCCGCGTGGTAAAGTGCTTCACGCGCCTCCCGGGACTGGGCCCATGCTTGAAGCTGAGGCACCGTTCTCCGGGCCTCAGTCGCGCCTTCTTTGCCACCAAAGACCTGGATATCTTCGAGCGATACGTATAGGTGCATCTGGCAAAGTTGGAGCTTCAGAGCGACCGGGGCAGAGATGGAACCTTCCCATTCCACCGAACGCATCTTGAGGTACTGAAAGTTGTGCTGGAGCTCCTGATGTAGGCTGTTGGCGGGTAATGAATTGGAATGACTGCCGTCCAAAGAAGAAGTAGCTCGAAGCTGCCGGAATTGCCACACGCGTGACCAGAGGCCGGCGATAACTATTTCGAGGCTGAGTTGAACATCGACGTTGCATTGATGGTCGACTAACACTCCAAGGTTGGCCATGGTATCTCGTATTGTGGGCAGCAGAATATCGTGGCTTGTAGAACCGAGACTCTGCCATTCATCTGCTGAGGCCGCCGTCCATAACTTGGGCGAGCAGGGAAGCTCGAGCTGGAACTCGGCAGGCGACAGGAGAGGTTGCGTAAGCATTGACATGGACATCGTCGCGTCTAGGATAAGAACATGGTAGGCAAGACGTTTGAAGGACTCTTCTCGAATCCAGTTTCTCCATTCGTCTTGAGCGTTTGTATCCCCTTGGTTTGTCCGTGACAATCGGAATCGACCAGACCTACGCAGCATGGTAATCAGAGGATACGCAAAACTTTCCGCTATTTCCATTTTGCGTCGCATACCGCTCCAGAAGCCGGCATGGAGCTGGAGCGCAAATGCTTGGAGGATCCTGAGGTCGCGTGTGCTGCGGTTGTCCTCTTCGAAGCGGTTGGCCACGCCGATTCGTGCCGCTTCCTGCACAGCAAAGCCTAACTTTCTGATATCTGGATGATGGGATTCCACTGCAGCCGCGCTGAGGAGCCCAGCCAGAAACGTCTCGTGCTCCTGATTGACATGCATGCTGGGAACATGAAGCCACCATCCTGTTTCATCAAAGCGTCGAGCCAAGAACCAGTTCAGAATCGAGGAGATGAGTTTGCCAGATGGGAATCTAGCGAGCACGTGTCGCTGCGTGGCCGGATCGCAAGTTCCCAGAATCATGGATAGCAGGCGATCTCGACTGGCGAGCGAGACGGTGAACGAGGCTGGAATCTGAATATCATTCTCTTCTCGGACGATCTGATCCTCGGAGATGGTAAGAAAGGTCTGCTCCGCGGAACGGTTGTCACCGGATGCCGGAGTCCAGAGCCAGAACGAATCTTTGAACGCCTGCTGCCCGATGTCGATGACCTTGCGAACGTTCGGTGTCACTGCTCCACTGCGAGAGGGAGGTAATGGGTTCAATTCGGCGTCGGTATAAGTGGTCGACGGAAGCTCTTGATCAAACATGGGCGGCGGCATGTCGAGAAGCGTGTCAAAGCCGAAGTCCAGTACATCAGGCAGGAACCCCATCTGACTAGGGGCATTGTGTGAGGAGTTATGATCGGGGTAGATAATGTCCCGAAGGAAGTCTCCCATGAGAGCATCATCAAATGCAAGCGCATCGCCCATGGACAGGTCGGACTCTACCACTACCTCGACGCTCTCGCCATATGATCCGGTGGCCGGTGTGGCGAGTTGCTCGACAGCATGGTGGAACTCTGTTGACTGACTTGTACTCTCGCCTGGGTACGCTGAAGAATTGGTCGGCTGGGACCTAATCGCTTGAGGTAGCGCAGTCGGATTTGAGCCAACATCCGCTTCCAAGGAGTTCTCTTTTTCACAACTGACGTGCTTGGCGATACAGCGAGGACACGGACGGGTTTCTGCGCACTTTACTTTTGCAGCTGCACAAGCATCACACGCCTTGGTCGCTCGCTGGCCCCGCAAGATAGAGCGTCTCACTGATTGATCTGATTGGAAATGATTTGTGCGGTGTCGGCGAAGCAGATCACTATTTCGGTCAGAAAGACGCTATCAGAGGCGCAGCATGGCCTACATTCTGGAGAACCCTTTGTCGCAGTAATCACACACGAACGGTTTCTCGCTCGTGTCTGTCGGTGGTTAGCATAGAGGCGTGCCATTGGCAAGATGGCTTAATCACGTGAACGATAGTGGCGACCAAGATGGTCTAGCCGGCTGTACGTCTTCTTGCAGATGTTGCAAACAAACGGATTTTTGGGATCCCCTGCCGCCGATTGCTCAACAGAGAGTCGTAGCGCGGAAGTGGTCGCGTCTCCGGGTTGCATATCGGAATCGTGGAGAGAGAAGGACCGGCTCATGTGGAGAGACGGGAGCGCCTAACTTATATGCGGCGGAGAGAACTCAAGCTCGGCTCCTGAATCCCCACGTCCCGGCACCAGTACCGATCCCCGCAAGTTGGCTATTCCTGGTAGAGACACTCGGCACTCATTCTATATTCGAAAGTACTCCGTCGAATCGGGGCAAGAAATCAATACAATCCAGCTTGCAGGCACTGTCGTCTTTATCGCTCAGCCTATGGTAGCTGCGGCATGTGCTTGCCACGCAGCAGTTGATGTAGCTCCCAAAAACCGTGGTGTGTAATGCAAGCTGTCTTCACTCTTTTATTCAACAGCGTCGCATCGACACACGCAGGTTTGACCACACGATCGGAAGACTCAGTTCAAGAACTAGGATGAAGCAATACTTCAAGAAAGTTGCCAAAGGCGGGCTCGGTCTCGCCGTCGCCGTCGCGAGTCTGGGGACTTAAACACCCCCGAGACTTACCCGGGGACGATGAAGTCTCAACTGCCTGTCTATGCATCGGCCCGACAGCCATCATCAGCAATCCGGCATTTACTCATCGCCATGAGCACCTGCACCTTGCCCGTGTAGGCCAAAAGAGCCTATAATGTAATCCCATCCGAATCAATCACAGAACCGCACTGCCGGGCCTGATGCGCAACTCAAGAGGCGATGCGAATCTGCAAGATTGACTAAGAGTCCCCACGTGGCTCCGATACGAGGCGGCGGCCGGTAAGTGGAGGCACGCCTTGTCCGAGACCTTCCCCGTGGGGTCTCCAGGTCGCAGATCCCGGGAGACGAGCTCATACTTGAGCCTGAGGTTAATCAGAAATCGAGGTCGCAGTACATTTCTTTGCCCTACTGTGGGGGACTGTATCGTTTGAGTCGACAGTCAACTTTTCGCCTGAGTTCCATCAACAATGGTCACCAACAATGCTGAGAAAGGAACCCCTGTCGCCCATGAGAGTCCTCGCGCATCGAGCCATGAATATGTGGAAGACACAACCGCTCTAGAGGTAGACAACTATCATGGCTTGACACTCCGCACAACTCTGGTCTACGTGGTATGCTACAAACCTGAGTATCGGGTTGCAATCACTGACTAGCTAGGCTTTGTGCCTTCAGTACTTTGTGCAGATGTTCAACGTTGTCGGCTCCGGCGCAGTAGGTCAATTGCTTTCCCAGTGAGTTATCTGACATTGCGCAGTTCTCAAGAAGTATTGCTGCATCTGTTGGCGGCTCAGACAAGACCGTCTGGTTGAGTCAGGCCATCGTCATCGTGACCGTTGTTCTGGGCCCTCCAGCCTCTCAAGCCGCCGACTACTGGGGCCGGAAGGTTTTCCTCGTCTTTGGCTCGGCCATTGGCCTAATTGGTGCATTGATCCTCTCTCGAGCCGATACGATGGGCCAGGCTATTGCGGGACAAGTAGTTCTGGGCGTGCTCTACATTGCGCAGCCAATCCTCATTGCAGTTGGTTCGGAGATCCTGCCACGCCGTCTAAGACCGTTAGCGCAAGCTGGTCTGAACGCCGGTGGTGCTCTGGGTGCCGTCACGGGACTGTTGGCAGGCTCCGCGTTGACTGCCAACAGTCTTTTTGGCTGGCGTAGCTACTGGTACATCATCGCCGCTCTTCTGGGTACGTCAGCGGCCACCCTCGTATTCCTCTACCGACCGCTTCCAAGGTCACTGCAACAGACCTTGCCCTTCCGCGAGAAACTTGCCCGCCTGGATTGGATCGCCTACTCGCTCCTGCCCAGCGGTTTGACGCTATTCACCATGGGCCTTTCCTGGGGCGATAATCCATTCCCGTGGACGGATGCCCATGTCCTCGGCCCCTTGATACTTGGTGGTGGACTTTTCCTGGCCCTCATTGCACATCAGACGTTTGTTAAGAAGGACGGTCTTGTCCATCACGACCTGTTCAAGAAGGACCGAAACTTTGCACTGGCACTTGGCTGCTTTTTCGCAGACGGCATGATCTTCTGGTCGGCAAACAACTATTACGCCTTCCAAGTTTCCGTCTTGTACGAAGACGATACGTTGCTTGTAAACCTCCACTTCTGCATTGCGTTTTTCACGGGCGTCATTGCAGCAATTATGGTCGGCGTTATATCGACATTTACGAAGTCAATTCGTGAGCCCATCGTTGCATCTTTTCTATTTTTGACCCTGTTCTTCGGTAAGTAAATCCTCAAGCAAAGTCTCAGGGCTGATAGTAACATATACAGCTTTGATGGCCACAACGACATTGTCTAGCGCCAACGCAGTATGGGGTTATCCAGTGTTACTTGGTATCGGTCTTGGGTGGAGTTTGACATATCTCATCACGGCTGCGCAGCTCAGCGCCCCGCCCGAGCTCATTGCCATCACCAGTGGTATCTTGCTCTCCATTCGATCTCTCGGCGGCTCTATCGGGCTTGCTATTTGTATGAATATCGATGCCCAGCCGAGTAAAAGTACTAACGCTTGAATAGATACGGCAATCTTCAACTCATCGATTTCCACAAAAATATCCTCAGAAGTCCCAGCCGCCGTGATTCCCCTTGGTCTACCACCGCAATCTGTCGGAGCCTTCATTGGTGCACTGTCTGCCAACGATGAGGCAGCCTTTTCTGAAATCCCTGGCGTCACTCCTGAGATCATTGCTTCCGGAATTCACGCCCTCCAAGAGGCCTACCTCCAGAGCTTCCACCGGGTCTGGACAGCCGCTGCCGTGCTCTCCGGAGTGACAGTCCTAGGTATGTCTGGCGAGCTTACCAGTAGCGTTCTGCCTGCTAATTCACTTAGTCTCATGCTTCTTTATCAACCCTGTTGGGGACTTGAACAACCATGTCGATGCTCCGTTAGAGGAGGATTGAAACGAGTTTCCGGAAAGTTTATCACGAATGATAGCATATATGAAGCTGGTTTACTGTCTTGTCGAAAGCTATACAAAGCTATACTCGCGATGCCAACGGTTACGTGCCCGCTTGACGATTCCAAGATACTGCCAACGCGAGAAAGACCACGACTGACGTTTCAAATCCAGCAGGCTTACCATCGCAGATCACCCGTGAATGTCATCGTTTCTTTCCAGTATCCTCTCGCGAGTCTGGAGCCCGAACATTGTGTAGCAGGAGTCGGAAGAATATGTTTGTTCGTCATATCAAGCTTCTAAAATACCTCGCTTAGAACTAGGGTCGGTCAAACTCCCTGCGGCCAATCGAGAGTGTTGAGCGATAGAGCCTACACCAGTGACCACAGATAGGAGCGATAGCTTGATGTCGAGGTTGACTTTCCGGCGGTCATGGTGAATCTGGGTGTGCGGGCAGCTCAAAATGACCGAGTGGTGGATTTCAGTAGCCAAGGTTCAGCCCCGAAAGAGAGAATATGGAGCCGGCGTGGCACCGTGCTTGAGCCTGGACTAGCGTGGATGTAATTGCAAGATCTCCGGCGGCCGAAGTTGGAATCGTGGTACAATCTTGGTGGCGTGTTTGCTGTAGCATGCATCTTTACTGGGATCATGTAGCCTAAAGAGTCCAGAATATTGCCGATATGATATTGACCATTCCATTGAGACGGCGGAACTGCTCAGGGAATATCTGGCGTACACGCTACACCGATAACTTAACAATGATTGTTAGATTCTAACGTCACCTACCAGTGCTCGCTGCTCGTCAATCGCGGCCACGTGTAAGGGAGACTGCAAAAGAATGTACCTAGTGCGCGAGAGTCACTTCGGAGAGGAATCCACCGAAGGGTGTCCACAGGCAATTGTTACCTTGATGCAAAGCTCCCTTTAAACTGGGCTACATGCAGCGCGTGGCCAACAACGCCAAGGGTAATTTAGCCGGTGTGATGCCGCTCAGTACGACGTCGCCGGGCACTAGCCGGAGTAGTACCCCTATTTGTGTAGGCTAAAAGGTAATTCACTGCCGATTGTGCCTGTTCGAGCGGCAGTGTGCTGGGGCGGGCGATCCGCAATGCCTGTCTTTCGACGATCTCGCCAAGCAGTTGAGAAGACAAGCACGTGCAAAGCCAGCGAAATTCCTTGGGGAGGCCCCGCCGAGAGTGCTAATTCTATCTTGTGTTGTCTTGTCGATTCTCGGCGCGTAGTGAGATGGAGATCTGCCTATACGAACCTCGGACTGTCCCAGTGCATGCGACTCCAGGTCCTCGGCATGGATTGCACCGTAGAATGGGAGGGTCGAAGCAACATCGGTTATCCAAGGGTCGCAAATGCGACGCTGTGGCCGGCGGAGATATACTTGAAACGGGCAGCCGAAGTGGGGAAACTGGGGAAGTCGGGGGAGCTGTGGCCGCGTCCGGTGGGCACGTTGACCAATAGAGTCAGTGTGTCTTCGACCGAATTTCATGGAGTTGAATTCCTTAAGAACCTCCCTCGCTTGTGCTGTTTCTTCGATGTGACTTTCTTTCTCTTCTTCTACGCACCACAATCTTTAGGTGAACCTTCAACATGAGCGAACATGTCATTTCGCAGACACCCGGGGGCGACCCTGAGGTGGAAAAGGGAAAGATCTCAGCCGAACATGTCTATGACGTGGATGAGAAGAATGGATACAACAGGGCTGGTGCGATGGAAGCAGAAAACGAGGAGCACAGAATGGGGGTGCTAGAAGCTGTCAGAGCCTATCCCTCTGCTTCTTGGTGGGCCTTTGTCATGTCCTGCACTATCGTGAGTGATCCGGCCTCCCTGACCGTTAAGAGTTGCGCCACTGACTAAATTCAGATCATGGAGGCCTACTGTGTCTTCCTCATGGGAAACTTTATCGCTCTTCCTGCATTCGAGAACGCATACGGTGCAGAAGCTTCCGACGGCAAACGTTATATCACCACCCCGTGGCAATCTGCGCTCCAGATGGGAGGCCCAGTTGGTGCTTTCATCGGCGTTTTCCTCGCAGGCCCTCTCACCAGCAAGGTTGGATATCGATGGGCAACAATCTCTGGCCTCATGGCTCTCAACGCCTTCATCTTCATCTTCTACTTTGCAAACTCTCTGGGAGTCATGCTGGCGTCTCAACTCCTTGAGGGCATCCCTTGGGGCATCTTCATTGCAAATTCACCCGCATACTGCAGCGAGATCGTCCCTCTTAGGCTGAGAGCTCCTGCCACGCAGATGCTGCAAATGTTCTGGGCCATTGGAGCAATTATTGTTGGGGGTGTCGCTCTGTATTACAACGAGTTGGACGAAGCGAAAGCATACAGGTATGTGTAACGACACCCTAGACATAAGCGATGCGCTGACTTTAGTAATCAGGATACCTATCGCGCTTCAGTGGATGTTTCCTACTCCTCTTGCCCTTCTTATCTGGTGGGGACCCGAGTCGCCGTGGTGGCTGGTCCGGAAGGGGCGTCTCGAAGACGCAGCGAAAGCCGTCAGACGCCTCGGACGTACATCAGTGGTTGAGAACATCAATGACCAGGTTGCCATGATGCGCCGCACCATCGAGCTCGAGAAAACCGAGAAAGAACCCAGTCTTATCGAGCTATGGAAGGGCACCGACCGCTATCGCACGCTCATTGTGTGTGGTGTATATGCCGCCCAAAATTTGACTGGCAACCTCATCGCTAACCAGGCTGTATACTTCTTCCAACGTGAGTTGTCATTTCTACTACTTTGTTCTTGAGACTAATAATATCGCAGGTGCGGGCATTTCCACAAGCCTTTCATTTTCCCTGGGTCTTATTACATCAGCCCTTCAAGCCGTCATGGTTATGCTCTCCTGGATTCTTACCACTTATCTCGGACGGCGTACCATCTACGTTTGGGGCTCGGCTTTCAACACGGTCCTACTGGTCTGTCTCGGTATTGCAGCTTCGTTTGGCGAATCCGTTTCCACATCCTTAGCGCAAGCATCTCTAGGCCTTATCATCTCAGTCTTGTTCTGCCTGGGACCTGCGCCAGCCTCGTGGGTTATTATTGGCGAGACCTCGGCCATCCGCCTCAGACCTCTAACCACTGGAGTGGGACGCGGTTGCTACTACGCCGTCAACATTCCTTGCATCTACCTGGCAAGCTATATGCTCAATGTCAACGGCGGAAACCTTGGTGGCAAATGCGGCTATGTCTGGGCCGGCACCGGTCTCGTATGCGTTGTCATGGCTTGGATCTGGTTGCCGGAGATGAAGAATCGGTCTTACCGCGAGATTGATATCTTGTTCAATCGCCGTGTTCAGGCTCGCAAGTGGAAGAAGACTGTCGTCGATATCAATGACGACCATTAGTCGGAAAGGCTATTAGGGAAGAGACAGCACTATCATCTATGCAAGGTGAGGCTAGATCTGCCTTTCCGCCAGCTCTCCTACAGTGGTAACTCTTCGGCTACTTCTCGCTAGCTATTTTGTTCGAAGCAATCTGATACGATTACTTGCGCTTCATAGATTTATCATCGTCTTTTGCGTCTTATAGGTGAGACGGGTGACTTGTGCTATAAACAACCGGTCTGCTCCCCTGTGTCAATCAATGTAGTGTGGTGGATTATACCATACCCTCGACGTGGGGATTGACTCATTAATAGTGTAGTCAATATTTGGACCAGTGCCTGCGTAGTTTTACTGGGCACCTCTGTTGAAGAAGGCACCAAGGCGATCCAATGTCCAGGCCTAGAAGGCCTTACTGTTTTGTCTGGTTTCTAACCAAGAGATGTCGAGCTGTGGCTGTGCATGCCTGAGTGGCGCCTATTAAGGCGTTCTTCAAGCATCAATAGTAACGCCATGAGCCCTTCCTATAGAATGATGTGGCTCAATATTCAAGAGAAGGAGGTGAGGATGTTGGCAGGGGACTTGCAGGGAAGGATCAGTACCCGGCCTAGGGTGCTGGCATGGCTGTAGCGAAGAGGGATGGCATCTGTCGCGTCAGTATGGAGCAGATGCTATAAAGGATGGGGCTAGAGGACAAAAAGCGAGACTATAAGTTGTTGAAGGCTCAGCTTGAACTCGTGCGGATGTATTGATGGTTATATTAGACGCTATGTATGAAGAGTATGCTATCGGTTGGACATTTCCCTAACGAACACATCTGAATCCTTGTTCCCGAAGATGTTCGGCACGCTATCGCGATTGTTCCCAGGCTGAGCCATAGTATAACCAGGCGCAGTTGCTGAAGAAGCCATCAACGGCGGGACACTGGGAGAACGATCGGGATCAAATGCTCTGAAACGCTCATTGTTGCGGGTCACGGGAAAACCATTGATGCTCTGCCACAGCCCGAGCCCAGTACGTTCGAACACGACCCGCTGCATCTGCAATTTGTCGTCATGGATCCATGCCTGTTTCTTCGCCAACCCTTTCCTGAGTAGAGTCTGCACCCACCCGACGGCTGTGTCAATCACAAGCGACACTAGAATGATCATGCCGCCAATGCTAAACACGATTGACAGCCCCAAAATAGAGAACGATGTTGTCCCAAGGGCATCGTTGATCATCTGCGAGTGGCACATGGCTAGCGCGTCAGGATCGTTGTCACCTGGTGACCACACTTGACTTCCTTCAGGAACAAATGCTGGGCCAGTGGCATACTCTTGCGTAAGATACTGCAAGCGTGCAAGTGAAGCTTCAAACCAGCCGCTGACCTCGAGCTCCCATTGATTGGACGGGAGGGGTGATTGTAAGAGGCCGTCGGCACTTTCCGGTGCTCGTAAGGCTCCTGACAATCTTGTACTGACTTGAGAATGCATGTTGCTAACTGTAAGCGCCATTTGAGTACGCTGGACGGTGGCCAGTTGGCGGCTGTTGAGGTTGAGCTGGCGGGCAACAGCGGTGGAAATCTGCGTAACGCCAACTTTGTCAGTGCATCTGCCGGTGGGGTTAGAATCGCAGACGCGGTACGTATTCGCACAAGCGATTGCAACATTATACTCTAGAAATATCGGGAATGCCAAATTAGTAACGAGTACATGAAAGTGGGAGTTGTAGAAGTCTTAAGATTGGGGATGATGGGGCGTTTGAGCATCAAGTGCAACTTAACGTGGACTTGAGGGCTCTACAACATAACCCAGCAAAGCATGGTGTGCGTGAACCAGTGTCCGAGAGGCTTACCGTCTGCTTCATAGTAAGTCCCTCCACCAGACAACTGGATCTCGTAATGTGCGCCAAAGACTGGGTCATCAACAGGGGCCTGAAATCGTATAGCGTTGGGCGCAATGAATACAAGATCGATGTCCGCGTTTTCGACTGCAAGGTCGTTGATCGGGATCCAGCCAAGCGAACCGTCACCATGCGGTGCCAAGGACGCGACACTAAGCACCGTGTAGCCGACGCCAGCTGTACGCATGAGTCAGTGGGGCATCTTTACTGAGCGAAGGAAGATGGTCAAGTAAGGTTCACAGCGGCCATGACAGCCTGAAACCCCAGTTTGGTGGCCGGGTCCGTAGTGCGACGCAGGTTTGGAGAACAGGACCCCTTGAAGAGAAATTTTATGGAAACTTACTATCACATATGTTAGTGAGTCTCATGCAGAAGGAAGTCTATAGATAGACAGCGGCCTTTTTAATGACCCACCTGTACATCGATTGAGTGTTATACTGGTAAGTATAATTTCTCGAGTTAATGCCGCCATAGTTGTATCTTATAAAGATATGGCCTTCGGTCCCAGCGTCTGTCTCCCCCGCTGAACCATTGATTGCATTTCGTAGCTGCCGAAGTGGTGCGCAAGACGTCTCTCTGTGAATCTCGATGCGGTACTTGGTACGAGTGTTAATGCCGAGCTGCTTGTGCGAGTCGAGCCGTTCGGTGGTCAGTTTGAATGCGGCAGTATCACCGCCGAGGCACATCCCAGACGCAAAAGGGCAGGTCGTGTTCCGTTTAGTCTCGTATCTGAGCGCTGGAACAGGATATGTGCCGCAAGAGAGCGGGTCTGGGTTCGGTCCATAGCATGCGCGAGCATACGTGCTTGCGATTATAGACTCGTTGGCCATTCGTTGATGGTATGCTGATAGTGCCACGTCGGATGCGGCGTCCTCGCCAGGGATCCAAAACCCACAGTTGTCTCCTCCGGATATCAGCCTGGCGCTGCCCACGGCGTTACTAATCTGGGAGGAGAAGGTCGACAAAACCCCGAATAAGACCAAGTAGGTTACACCGAAGACGGTCCAGGGCAATGTTCTTAAGAGCGAGTATCTGGCTCTTCCACTCCAATATCGCGTCTCGAGGAGAAAGCTCCAGGCGGCCCCTCCAGGTGTGGAAGAATTGCGCAGGATGTTTTGTTGCTGGTGGTGCAATCCATCGCGAGGCTCGTCAGTGCTGCGGATCTGATGGGCTAGAAAAGTGATAATTCGCCAGAGCTGTGCTCCGACAACAGCGACGAAAGCCGCAACAAAGGAGATGAGTAAGCCCCCGCCACGTTCGGAAAGAGTTAATGTCGCTCCGCTGATCGGTCCTTTGCTCCAGTCTATCCAAACACCTTGGTACACAGGATCCATTGCGGTGCGAAGACGCGCGAGAGTGCTTTGTAGAGGATCTTCACAGGCTCTGAAAATCTCAAAAAAGGGAGAAATGGCCTCATAGATAGAGGATTTGACACTTTCGGCCATCCCAGCTAAGGGCGATTTCTTTCAAATTAACAGCCACGTGCCCGACCATCTTGGTCGAAGCTGTCCTTTCGACCATCCCATTTTGGTGATGGCCAGAACGACAAGCCGCGCGTGGCGTCTACATTAAGCGAGGCCAAGGCGAGAGGACGAGCTCCGGGCCAATAGGAGCCCTTTAATGGGGGCGTCCTCTTAGCCGACCGCCCTAGAATGGCTTGGCACTACTTGTGGTGGCTAAGGACCGACACTATAGCCTTGCCAAGGTAAGGCTCCGGATGTAGGACGGAAAGGCACCCTAATCAAGTAGGAGTTCGGTGTCAAGGTAGCTGGGTGTTACAAGCCGCGACCGTAACATGGCCAGGACCGGCGGCCGCAGGGACGCTAGGGCCCAAGGGGAAGGTTACCCGGAGGAAGGCTCGACCCTACAGGAAACCATATCCTAGGGATGAGGTCCATTTATAAGGTTACATGATATGCTCCGTGATCCAGGGTGCTCTCACTTACAGAGTAACAGAATATACAGAGCAAGACAAGCTACACAGCACTATATAGAGGGACTACCTATCCCGACACTAGATAGGACTCTCATAGTCAACTTTGTATATTAATTCACTCTATACACTAATAGTATAACTGCTACTATTAGTTCCTACGTTTACTTTGGCCTAGCCTTGACTCTGATACTATTTCCCCCAGCTGCTAAACCCAGTTTGGACCCGACGGTCGGAGCGGTCCATAACAATGACCACCATCAAAAACCCCTGCATCTGAGGTATATGCATCCACAACGTCCCTGTTGGAGGTGGAGTTAGGCATGTTCCAGATCCACTGCTACACCATTTCCTGCTAGATCGTAGCTTGTCTCCATGGGTGCAGTAATTAGGTGCTTTATTGATGCTACAGCTAATTATTGTTCTCTTGCTATTGTATCTTCAAAGAATCTTCCTATCAAATATACCATCTACTATACCACTAATATATTACAATACCCTCCCGGTTCTAGGCTTCGCTATAGTTGTGTTTGCAGCCCCACTCCCTACACTACCAACCGCGACTGCGATTAATGAATGTCCTACTCTAGGCAACCTACAGAGAGGTGTGCCATCAATCCCCTCCAATGCTGTTGGAGATAACGTGTGTTCATTTAGTGGAAATGAGAATACGTCTGGGTGTTGCCCAGCGGGCAGTGCATATGTGCAGGACGATGGAAGCCTGGATTTCATGAGTAAATTTACAGGCTTTTAGACGTCTTACTACCAGTCTGCTGTTCTCTGTCACACCAGTGTGCAAATGGCGAGACATCCAACGAGAGCGTTCGAGAAGTGCAACCTGGTTCAGTATAGCCGATAGCGCGTATTGAGCACGATGGCTCCACCTTCTATCGATCTGGCATGTGTAGCAGGCACCTTGTCAAATCTATGGGCCGAGTCACCAACACAGGCAAGGCTGGAACCTGTCATTCGTGAGGATTTCGTAACATTGCACTGTCTGACAGGGGGCAGGACTCTTTGCACTAATCACAAAGACCAGCAAATCATGGACAAAGTACTCGATGGGGTTGAACGCCATGGCGGAATGTGGTCTGCTGTCAAGAGAAGCAGGCCCTACGACAGGAGAACAGTAAGGAGACGAGTGCATCGGCCCCATCAAACGTAATAGGCACCGCTAAAGTGATGATCTACAAGGGCATTATTGGAACCAAAGGCGATAAGAGGCAAAATCATCGAGCACTGGCCAGCGGAGCAACCTGTTGAGTAAAGAGTGCGTTCGAGCACATGAATTTGGCGCCTCTAGAATATCTGGGTTTCCTGGCGTCCTTCAATGCATCGCGAGGCTACCATCTCTTCTTCTTACCTCCACAGCTCAAAACAACAGGACGGATGTCAGTAATGGATGGGAATACGGGCACGCTCCAGTAGAAGATGCCGTTGTAATACCAAGCTATGTTGTGCGAAATGTGCCCTTCAGAGTTTCCTTATGGAAGCCCATGTCGTTCTTCTAGTATTGACTTGCACTGGCAGGTTTCGCCCATTCCTTTCTTGTACCTCTCGAAAGCAGCTGCTGAATGTTTCCACCGATCAGGCATGAACATATTCGGTGGGTATTTCTTGACAGCACCTTCATTGACTAAATCGAAGGGGCGTTTTCCCGACTGATCCTGAAGCTCGACATCCATATGCAGGCACTCAAGGCAGTGACTCAGCAGTGTTGTGTTTAATGAGCCACATACAGCTGCACGGTGGAGTATAGTCTGATCTTTTGCATTGCATGCTCGAACATCCACCCCGGCTCTTTCCAGGCGTAGGAGACCATCCAGTTCGAACTCTGTCCATGACGAGACGAACAAATGAGCGAGGTTATCGCTACTCTGACTGATGTACCTAACATCTCCGCCAGCACGTATCAGTGCTTGAATTATGTCTGGCTCCCCAGGCATCAACAAGGGGCCGGTCAGATATACGCAGAGGGGGTCTCTGCCTGCGCTGTCCTTACGTGTAGCATCCACACCAGCTGCAATAAGCATTCGAACAACCCCTATTTCTGCGAAGCGTGCACCCCCGAGTGCATGATGCAGAGCATTCATGCCCATATTGTCGGCTGAATTTTCAATCGCCAAACGTTCTGAGGATTGGAGAATGAACTTGACAGTCGGCAAGTGGTTTGCTTGTGCAGCAAAATGCAAGGCAATGCGCCCCTTGGCGTCCCCCTGTGCTAGGTCTCCAGCTTGTGTCACCAATATCTTCATTGACGAGACATCGCCTGCCTCTGCAGCAAGATGGACTGGCGATACTCCCCGGACGTCCTGCGCTAGTCTTTCGTGACCTTTTCCCAGCAAGTATGATACGGTTTCAGTTACAAGATCGTCGCGTCCATAGGGAACTAGATGGAGAGCCGTTCTGCCCTCGTCGTCACGGACATTGTTTGACGTTTTTAGCACTTCGCACAAACACTCCAAAACAGATTGACGCATATTTCGAGCCGCTTCAAGTACCCTCTCCACCTCAGCCTCGTCATCCGGATCTCCCCATATCTCCTCAGGCATATGCATAAAATTAGACCATGTATCGTTGATATGTCTGCCTGGAAGGGTTTGAGAAACTGCCAGATGCAAAGGGCTGTTGCCGAACGCGTCACGCGCTAATGGATCTGCGCCTGCATCGAGCAAGGCTTGTGTTGCTGCTTGGCAGCAGAAATGTACAGCTGCATGAAGAGGTGTGAGACCCCTTCTACCTTGACCCATTACGGGTGGGTTGTATTTGGCCGCATTTATATTCTCTCTGTCCACTTCTGCATCGATAGCGAACCCTGCATCTAGAAGTATTCGAATCAGTCGGGTGTTGTTTCGAAAAGCTGCATAATGCAAACAGGTCATACCATCAGAGTCGGCACTCTGTACTAATCCTCCATGGCGTAACAATAAAAGTACCAAGTTCGTATTAACGCTGGGTACCCGTTCGTCGAGGGCATGATGGAGAAGACTTTTACCACGGTCGTCCAGCTGTTTTATGTCCAGGCCCAGGCCAATCATTTTCGTGACTTCTGTATTCCGACAATGCTCTTTGGCGCACCGTAGTACCGCAAGAACATGGGATGCTTGATGCTTGGTAGCATAGGATCTGAAGAGGGCCCATTGTTCAGATCGGCCCGAGTCAATACAAGCTGTCGTCAGCATAGCCTCCGCCTGCTTTTCGATTACACAGTGTCTCCATCGTAAGCATTCTTTCGAGGATCGGCCTTTCAAGTGATCAACCACACGTTTGGGTCTCAGGAGAAAGCTCTGCAATGAGTTATGGATGAGATGGACTCTGCCGCCGACGACGACATCGACCAAGAGACCGCATTCGTGACGGATTCGATCGGCAAGCTTGGCCTCGAACTCTGAATTCAGTGGCCCGTGTAAGGGACGCGATTCGTGGAAGAGTGCTGCCTCAGCGATGCTCAACGGTTCTCGGGCAAAGATGATGGCCGCAAAAACCCATTTGGCTACTTTACCACGCGGACAACGGTTCAGAGCACGTGCATAGTACTCTTCTAGATCGTCCGGGATCTCGTTGAAAGCAGCCAGGTGACCAGCCACAACCAACGGTGGTGATTCAATGAGTTTCCGAAGAGCCAGAGCTACGCACAGAAAGATACGGTGCCGTCTTGCTCTGAAATTGGCACTGACGAGAGTGACGTCATCTTTCGACAGTCTCAGGCAGTCGGCCATGCTCCGTAAATGCTGGTCGATGTATGCTTCGATATCCCAGGAGATGTGGTCAATATTTTCCTTTGCCTGAATCCAGTAGGAAGCCTGCAAGCCACTACGGCTACTGATGGTCGGGATGTAGTCTTGATAGGGTCGACAACAAATGAAGAACCGCAGAATCTGACCGGTTTTGTTGCAGATGCTGAGAAGCGAAGTCATACAGTCCATGAAACGTGAGAGGTACAAGTTGCTACATTGCTCCAGAGCGTCAAAGACACATAATACTTTTGCTCCATGCAGATGAGCCAGGCATTCCCCAAGAATGTAGCGAAGGGAACTAAACTCTCGTAGGACGGCGTTCCCGTGCTGATCCCGATAATTGGCCACAAATTTCAGAAGATCTGGTCGGGCAATCAAGAGCTGATGGATCAAGGCCTGCAGAGCACACTCGATGGTACTTTGCAATGGATCAGTCTCCAAAAAAAAGAAGTAGGTGACCAACAGGTTTGGCACATCCTGATACTTGTGCACAATTTGGCGACAAAGCACCGATTTCCCAATTCCGGGGTCGGCCGTATACCACAGCCAGCCTCCATTAGGGTTTTCGGACCATTTCACGAAGGCTTCGTGTTGATAGAACCATTTGAGAGTACATGGAGCGGGTAGAGGAATCTCCTCTAAGGCGCCCACATAATTGCTTGTCCGAAGAGCTCGTAGGATCCTCAAATGAGGTTTCGTCACAAGCCGGTGAAACCTAGAGAGTACATTAGAAGTGTTCTTGAATGCTGTAGAAGCCATTACCGCTCTGGCCGCAGACTTATTCCTTTGTCCTCTTGTTTACAAATTTTGGTTTTCAGTCTCTTGAGGGCACCTTCTCCTTCTCCATACCTGAGAGACATAGATATATTGAATATGCCGAGTAGACAATACGCCTTGTCTTCTACTTTCTTCGTTTCGCGATTTGTTGCCCATAGAAGCCGGTCTTCAGCGCTGAAATCGGATAATGGAGTGCCTCGGAGCGCGGCTACAGGAATCTGTGTGATCTCATGAATTCCTTGCTCGAATGATGTTTTCGTCCCCAATTTTTGACCCTCTCGAGAGAAGAAATGTACTGATCGTGGTGCGAGTAGTTCCTGAAGCGTCCAGCCTCTTCTGAACCACCGGCTCGTACGAAATGCCGATTCCCATTCGCGATTCTTGCTATTCGTATCGCCGTTGTTGTGGAAAAGGACATCTGACAGGTACACATAGCATCTAGCTGCGTTGTGATACCAGTGATACATGGATCGGATGGCCTCATCGAGCTCCGAGAGATTAGCCTTGTTGATACAGCACGTATCAATCCAGCAGTATTGTAGGCTATCAATCTTTGCTTGATTGACACAAAATCTCAGCTTGGTATATCCTGCCTTGTTCTGGCCAGTGTTCTTCTCAATATCGTCAAACGTGATCTCCTCATCGTCTGCCGCCCAGGTATGAGAGAGGATCGCGTAGGGGCCAGGCGGCGTGGTCAAGTCTTTGGTCAGCGTTGGACGCCCGTCCGGGGCGACATAGAGTAAGCGCATGCTTGTCGTTCTGACGTAGGCGTACGCACTTCGATAGTGATGTAAGTCAGCAAGTCGCTGCAATCAATTCGTCAACAATGGCAGCAGCGGCGGCCGTGCCGAGAAAATCTGCCTTCGGAACGAGCATTGATCACCTATCGTAGAGTGCTATCGTAGAGTGTCCCGAGCATGACTGCCGCCAACGGCGTGCACCATATATACGATCGGGCTGGGCTGTCCAGGTGGCTGAGCGTAGCCCGCAAGTAGGCTGAGCTGTATTGGAATTGTGGAAAGCTCAGCCCAGCGACATCGCCGTGCACTCGTGCAGTCAAGAGAAAGCCCGCAGAAGTCACCTCAAGTACTTATTTGCTACGATATTGGACACTTTGGTGGGATTTGGCCATCATGGGACGCAAAACTGTTAGCTCCAACCATCTCCCCAATCGCAGCCTGGCGCAAGGCCAAAATGCTGCTGGAAGGCTGGTTACCGTGCCGGAATAATGTTGTTCCCCAGCGGGTTTCGGCGACAGGCAGGCCCGTATAACCGCTGATGTCGTCGACACTCTTCCCGGAAGGGCCATAAGTTGATATCTTCCTTTATGTCTTTGAGGTCTGCGTAGCACCCTTGTACGATCCCGACGGCCCTAGACCCCTCCTCAACACGCCTCAGGAGTTTGAGCATCAGTGATGGAAATCATCGATACACGAAAAGGCCATCAGTCAACATTTTCCAACGACAGAGAAAAGTTTTTCTATTTCCGGCCAAGGGGCCTCGACCATTTGCACTGAGCACCAAGCATCGCCACTGTATCAATCGCAGCTTCATAGAAGTTAACGCAGTATGACCTCCTGGAAAGGATTGGGCGCGAGCATTTGCATTCCGCCGTCCCAACGTGACCGTGTGAAGGCTGAAAGCGGCAGACTGGGCCAAAGCTGACGAGAGCATATATGATAAGGTCACTCGTACGTCGGTACGATCAAGAGTGGCGGAAACGGCTCCATTTATGAGTTATGACAGCGTGCATGCTCACTCCATGCAGGTATGTTAGACTCACGTGATGATCGGAGTTCAGCTGGAAGAATGAGTGATTTGCAATGAAGATAAACCTGCACCTCGAGAGCATGTCGATGTTGACTAAATTAGTACTTCCTCAAATTGAGCGTTGAGCCTCCGGGCCATCCTGGTTTTCGGAAATGTGGTGGCCAGGGGAACAAGGTCGATTGCTCAAGAATATCGTCGCACATATACAAGCCATTAATCCAGCGCACGATGTTTGCACGTGGCAAGGCTTGATGTTTGGCTTGAGGCTGGAGATCGACTTCAAAGCTTACATGTTTCTCCATCGGCTCTTTGAGATCAGTTTCTGAAGGCACGTGGTGAGATGTGAAAATCCAAGTCGGGACACGCCGTCGCTTCCCCGGGACAGTAACAATTGCGTATCTGTCGCTTCTTTTCAACCGAGCGATGAACAACGGGGCTTGCTGACGCCAGGCTTCTGCCACTTCGGCGCACATCGCTGCTGCGTAACAGTATCTTCCACCACTCTGATTGTGGGAGGTGACATGCTCCACGTACTCCCGGATTTGTTCTGCGAGAATTGGATGTGACCGTTCTACCTGTTCTGACAGACTCAGCATTACGGCCCACGGATTTTGAGGTTGTACGGCTTGCCGTGCTGAAACAGACTGGTTGTCATAGGTTTGAGTTGCTTTGAGCCGTTCGACTACACGCCATAAATGTCCTTTTGTAATGACGCCTTCTTGAGTCAAACTGACTCCTGAGAAACGGCAGTGCTTTGTGAATGTCAAATTCCGAACTGTGGTTGGTGGAGTGATACCTGTGAATATGTGCCGGCGGAAAAACTCTGCAAAGCTCAAACAAGGAGATGAAGTGAACTTCGCTTGATTGTAGAGTACTTCACCGTTGAGGAGAGCCTGGGAGAACAGTGCCAGCGCAATGCCTTTATCTCCAATGCTTTCCAATTTGGGCTGATTTAAACGGCGTGTGTAGGCGCAACAGTTTGCGGAAATGGCTAACAAGTCTGTAGGTCGGCATAGATCTCGGTTCAGAAGGTCACTCATAAGGATAGTCGACAGTGTTTGTGCTCGTTGATCCTGGCGTTCTGCACATGTCCTTGAGTATCGTTCAGCACGTCGAAGTACGTGTTTCTGGAAGAAGTCTAGCTGCTTCGCGGTCAATTTGAAGCCATGTCTACATTTCCAGTAAAGTTCGCTCAGTCGTTCTCGGAAATCAACCGCTGAGATCTCGACTTCATCGAGCATTGTCCCGAAGTCGGTCGTCGATGATCGCTTCAAGCTCCGGTAGCATCGGATGAGGAGTCTCATTCTCCTGGCTGCGCAATACTCTTCCTGGAAAATCCAGGCACGACGCCACCATCTGTCGGATAAAAGTCGTGAGAACCATTTTATTCCCACCCAAATGTCAATGAGCGATTCCTGCGCATTCTCGCCTCTATCTAACCGACCCACCATGCTGCCGTTCAGGAGCTCACCTAATGTGTCAAGTTTCCATTGCTCGTTTATTACGGTGTCCACCAAACCAACGGATATTGGACTGATCGCATAGAGCCTGTCCATTGATTGCATGCTTCGTCTGTGAGAAATCTTGTCTTCTTGGTCCAGGCACTCGCGGTCGATCCAGAAACCCCGAAGTCCGTGTTGAGAAACAAATTGCAGTGCGCGACGCATGACGGTGTTCCGGACTCGAACAGCGCGGATGTCCCCGGCAAGTCCCACGATCCTGTATGCGCCTTCCTTTGAAGAGTGGTGCTGTGCAGCCGTCCATGAGTATGATACAGTTACGAGGTGCAAATCTTGTGAGTCGAAGATGTCCGCTTGAATTTCATATAGTGTGTAGTTGTCTCCTCGGAGTTGTGAGTCACTCCATGTCGCTGATAACGTACGGGGCATGTCCAGAGTTAGACAAGTCAAGTTCTTCATCCAGTCAAAACGCTTTAGATCAGTCCATTCTTCTTGCTGCATGGCCAACAAACAATCGACTGTACTGCGCTGCGATTGGTGGCGCCCCTGCGAGAGAACTTGGATATCCTCCATCATATCTGAATTGTGGCAGGCCGACGTGCGAAAGTGGTCTTCCCGGGCTGGCTTGCACCAGCTTGACAACAGCCAGAGCTGCCAAGCTTAGTGGGGCTCGCGGCCCGCTATTGGCCACGTTTCACTGCCCCTCTGAGCACTAGACATATTTGCTACGACGAAGGCCGACTCTGTGATGACGGCGCCGTAGTGTCTGCCTTTCGATTCGGCTTCTGCTTTGTCTTTCCACTGACATAGCTCATGGAAAAGACCAGCATCCTCATCTTCAAGCTGCGAAATCTTTTCACCAAAGCTATTGGCGGTGCATACAAGCTGTAATCATTGTTAGGCAGGATTTTGCTGCTCACTAAGAATGTTTCATTTACGCAGGGAAAGACTTCAGACATGATATCTCCTACCAGATGGTGAGGGAAATCGTGTAAATCAATCTAAGAAGTAATTTATTCCTCTGATTCATTTGAACAAGCTCTGAGATTGAGTTCTTGAAGCATCCTAGCTCCGCCAGCGCTTGATATAGCTTACACCTGGAGAAGTTGATCCTGGCACCATCAGTGCGATGAGCAACCTGGCCAATGTGCTTGGAGATCAGGAGAAGTACTGACGAAGCGACACCGCATCCTGGGAGAGTATCATGCTGACACGATCACTGCGATGCACAACCTGGCGGCCACGCTGGCATAACATGACATGCTGGAGGAAGCAGCGTTAATGCTCGGGAATGCTTATGTGCTTGGGAATCGGACAAGAGCGTTTTTTGATAACTGATGTGTGGTGACGTACTATCATAAAAGCAATATATAGCTAGCTACCTCGGTTGAGCTACTCTACCCCTCGTGCTGAAGGTGGACTTAATCCGCCATCGGGAGTTCATCGTTTGTTGAGGATTCCAGCTGCGATAATAAGCAGAGACAAACAACGTTGATCAATAGTGTGTGCAGCTAGACGGCATTAGCGCGTCAAGTTCCAATCATGAATCTCACAAAGTACTCACTCCTAGCAACCTCATCCTCTGGCGCCGCTCTAAATAGTGCTTCTGTCTTAGCGGCGAATAAAGGAGCACTTCCAATATTCACTTTCTGATACATCGTGTATTCATTTGACAGCATCCACCTTCGGTGCTTCACGTACAACCAAACGCGTCTGGGTTTGCTTTGAAGAATAAGGTCAAGTGCATTCGTGCAGGCTTTTTGTCTGAGACCGTTGTTGAGATTCCTGGTCAAGCCATGTGTCAGAGCGTGGAGCTTGTAAAGTCTCCATGATTGGTCCAAGTCCTGGGCAAATGTGCCTCTGGACCCGCCTAGACATGTGGCTGGTCAGTAGTAATCTGAAGACATTATCCTTGGTCTGCGCACCTAGTGTGTAGTAGGCTCGCCAGAACGAGACTGTTTTTGATTCAGAGAAGGATCCATCCCCGTCCTCCAAAATCTTCTTCATCATCTCCAGCCAAACATCGTCGAAATGTTGAACAAATGGTTCTCTTCCTTCCTCATCTTGATAAAACCACACGGGTACGGCCGTCGAACCAAGCATCCTGAGCACAGCGGACAGCTTCTCTAGACAATAGAGGCGGCTAACTCGAGCCCGGTGATCACCAGCGCCGACTTTCTTGAAGCCAGGCGTGGATGTGGTCATATAAGCTTCTAGCGTCCGCCTAAAAGGAATGATCGAGCCGAAAACAACGCTCCTGCATCGCAGAAGGTTATCCAAAAGGACGGAATTGATTGTGTCCACGTGCTTCGTAGAAATTTCCCAAAACCGAAAGCAAAACTTATCATTGGCCTGCCCCTTTCCCGAGGCCCCTTGCGCGAGTTCCAGTCTGCCATTAACGACTCTGGTATAAGAGCTTGTGGCCTTCGCCACCGGCAGGTCGGAAAGGATAGACTTGACATTTTCGGGATTTCAGGGTTAGGGTTAGGGTTAGGGTTAGGGTTAGGGTTAGGGTTAGGGTTAGGGTTAGGGTTAGGGTTAGGGTTAGGGTTAGGGTTAGGGTTAGGGTTAGGG